AGGGGACACATACCAAAGGGGTTACTGAAGATAAAAACAATAGCCCTTGGCAACAGATTAGAAATGGGGGAGTGGGGTGATGTGAGAGGCAGCTGGGTGGCACCAGATTGCACAGAGGGCCAGGCCTGGAATCAGAAAGATTCGTCTTCCTGAGTTCAAATCTGGCTTCAGACATTTACAAGCTGTGACCTTGGGCAAACTAAAACCTGTTTGCCTCAGTTTCCTCCCCTATAAAATGAGCTGGAAAAGGATATGGCAAACCTCTCCAGTGTCTTTGCCAAGAAAACTCCAAATGGAGACATGAAGAGTTAGCATGACTAAAACAACTGAACAGCAACAGTGTGTGTGTGAGGAGTCAAGGATGACTCAAAGGTGGATCAAATTATGCTATTCTGGGTATCTTTGTTTATAAACGACACTCCAATTAAATTATGGAAAACTCCAGATTTGATTTGCCTGATAGAAGTGGGTCAGCTGTTCTAATAGAATTGGATTTTTCTCATTGTCAGGATTAAAGATAAAGATAATATATATGAAAGCACTTTGGGGGAGAGGGTGAGTTGCTTTTTTTTCCCCCAACATTAAATCAACACAAAACATTAAGTATGTCAATACACAATATAAGAATGGAGCAGACCCTTTAGATTTCCCTGCTTCATTATTTCGAGAAAACCTCTGTGCCATTCCAATAGTTTGGACAATCTGAGATTTCAAATATTAAATACTTCAAGGCGTTAGTTGCCAGTATTAGAGCAGAAACTGGAAGATAAGCATAATTGCATGCTGGACTGCTTAAATTGCTCAATTTTCCAAAACATCAAAAATGCATGGTTGGTCCTCTGTATTGCTTTACTAGTTCAGGTATTCAGAATAAAAAGCCAGTGCCATTTTTAGTTTTGGTTATGCAACCTGACAATGCATAAATCTACTGTAACTTAATAGTCACCTAGTCTTAAATTCACAGGATTCTTTTTTTTCCTTCTCGATTCACCGTAGAGAATTAAATATCATTTTTCTTTTTTGATCAGTTGTAATACGTCAAGATCATTGTGACCTCATCATTTCCTCCAACAATGAATATTATAGCCCAGCTAGGCAGTATAGACTGTCTTTGTGAGTTACTGAAGCCAAAAAATAAGTCATCCCTGGTGACTAACCTTTTAGTTAGAAGCCTAAACTCCTAACTTAACAAAGCTGGTCCTGACATGTTGCTGTCCTGTGTTGAAGTCCTTTCCACTGGAGCAGCATCCATGAGAACTTGTATTTCCCTGACATAACTTTCCAGTGATCCAGGTTAAGTTCCACATCTGGATTAGGCATCAGAGTAGGATGTTTATAGAGGATATTGTCAGTGTTATTATTAACAGTATCCACAGTAATTAGGCAATCTTTCGGGATTTGTGATTAGTTAGCATGAAGATTCTGTCTTAGCATCATGTTGTCGTTGAATCGTTTCAGTAGTGTCTGACTCTCTGTGACCCCATTTGGGGTTTTCTTGGCAAAGATACTGAGGGACAGAGAAAAAAGAACTTATTCCTTCAAAGAACTGAGTTTCACCCTTATACTGCAAATAAATTAAGAAGAGGATTTTCTAAGGGCTTCAGCTGTAATTTTGAGCAATATGGTGGGACTATGTTTCTCAAGTGAAGTCAGAAACAACAGTGATGGTTAGTGATGACTAGCTGTGATCTTCCTCAAGGCTAAAACATTACAAGTAATTATTTAAGCCGTTGTGTTATACTTGTTAAATTATTAATAGACTATATCACTGATGACTCGTGTTTTATTTATGGCTAGAGAAAAGGGATTTCGACATGAACATATGAGCAAATACTTGTGGGAAAAGAAACTTCTCCATTTGAGAAAAGAAGTAGTGATTAATAAATGGGTTTGGGGTCACCTTTAGTTATTTAATGATAGAGAGACTGTAATGTTAATAGTAATTATCCAAACATATCTCTGGCTTACATTAAAACTTGGAGTGATGAGAGTGATTATGGTAACAAATCAAGTAGTAAATTAAGGAGTGATCATTCCATGTACCTTACACATTGAATAGTGAATCAGAAACCCTGTTCCACTAATAGAAATTTAGTAGCTGATAAGAGGGGGATTTCAGGGATCTCTTTAATGGTGCTGAGGCAGAATTCTCTTGCTTTGCCCATGCTTGGATCTTAGTCCCAGTTCTGGGTGGCAGTCCTGGGGCAAGGAGGAGCACTGGCATGGTGGAGCTTGTAGTGGCAGTGGAGAGGGAATCCTCCTTCCAGTTCCAAGGCAGAAAAGAGCACTTATGGTCACTCATAGACCAGAGCAAAAGCCAGAAAAGGAGTGAACACCTCACCCCTTATCATACCACGTTGGAAAAACTGAAAATTTACAGGTCCCTAGAAGTATCTCTAAAAACAGCTGCACAAAACCCACAAAGCTGGGGACAGTTCATTCTCCACATTGGAAGCAGACGCCTACCTTAACAAAGAGTTTATAACTCAAGTAAGTTTCTGGGATCATGAGCAAGCAGCGCAGAAGAAGTCAGACCATAGAACCTTACTTTGGTGACAAAGAAGATCAAAACATACAAGCAGAAGAAGACAACAAAGCCTCCAAGAAAACTACGAATCAGGCCGTGGAAGAAGAGCTCAAAAAGGATTTTGAGAAGCAAGTAAGAGAAGTAAAGGAAAAACTGGGAAGAGAAATGAGAATGACGCAAGAAAATCATGAAAAACAAGTCAATAGCTTGCGCCAAAAAAAATAATGCTGAAAAAAGCAGCTTTGAAGCATGGGAAGCTTGATGTATAGTGAAAGGGCTGCTGCATTTGGAGTTAGCAGACCTGTGCCTCTGAGTAGCAATGGGATTGGACAAGTTGTGCTCATGGTTTCTAAGCGTGATGGAGAATGGCAGCCATTTCATTTAACTTTTCTGGGAATAATACTGAGTTGAGCAAGTGGAAACTTTGAAGAACAAAGCATTTTTCACCATAAATGTGTGTGATGAAATTTATTTGAAAGCCTCAGTCATAAATACAATCAATGGCTTATAGCCTTTATACTGATTAGGGACTTATGTTTGAAAGTGATGTTATCGGGGCAGCTAGGTGGCGCAGTGGATAGAGCACCGGCCCTGGATTCAGAAGGAGCTGTGTTCAAATCCGGCCTCAGACACATAACACTTACTAGATGTGTGACCCTGGGCAAGTCACTTAACCCCATTGCCTAGCCAAAAAAAAAAAAGTGATATTATCTGAGATTCTCATACAAATATGAAGAGTCTAACCCAAATGAACTAGAGATATGTGGTGGTTAAATATTGAGGGGAAGTGTTATATTCCTTAGTTAGTAAAGAATTGAAGCAAGACCCTCTTTTAGTTTTTCCCAAGATAATAATCTCCATTTTGATGTTTACCAAATGGATTTAAAAAAAAAAAACTAGTATTCAACTATAATTTTTTAGAATAGACTTTTGCTTTGGAAACAAGTATTCAGTAAATGTACATGTTTATAAAAGTATTGGAGCCAATCATATTCCTGGATTACTCTGAAAGATGTTCTAGTTAAGGAATCTTTGATAATTGGGGTAAAAAATTTTATATCAATCATATCGTTTGGAAACAGTTTTCAGACTAAGGCAGAGATTATGTGAAAGCAAATTTTATCTTCTTGAATCTCTCTCAAAAAATACTTTTTATGACAAAGTAGAAATAACTGAGATTCTTAATTGTATAACTTCATAATTTATCACATTATTTAATGTTCAGAATTATAGCTATCAGTTAATTGGAGAGATGTCCATCTTATTTAAGGTATAATGAACTAGTTTCAATTAGCTAGAATTTAATATTTCAAATTCTACAGTAAAGTATGGAAAACTCTCCTTTGTTTCTCATGCCTGCTTCCTGTCATCCTTAATTGTTAACTTTTGTCTACCCCTCCCCCTAGACTTTTAGCTACTTTAGTACAGTGAGCATTTCATTTTTTGTTTTTGTATCCTTAGGTTGTCTTTTTTTTTTAAACATAATAGGCATTTAATTAATTTCTTTTGAATTTCTGCAGTCCCATGAATTTCCACTTAAGTTTTCAAAATTTAAATTATAACAACTAATTCTTCTATCCATTGAACAAATTGACTAAGGGTCAATGAGAGCATTTACTTTTTAATTGATAGCTGATAGCGGTTTAAATGCTTTGCATACATTATTGCATTTAATCCATAAAGCAAATTTGAGAGATGAGTAGTATAGGTATTATTTCCTTCATGGTACAAATGAGGAAACTAAGGTTTAGAGAGGATGAGTAGCTTGCCCTTGAGTACACAGCTAGTAAGGGTCAGAGCAGGTTTTGAACCAAGATCTGGCCTGGTCCTGTGTCCAGTCCTTTTACCTGTTACTCCAGGCTACCTTTCATTAGTAGTTTTTAAACTCTTAATTAATGCTGCTTAGCACATCACAAAGTAATACTACATGAAATGAAATAGTGTATAAAATAATACATTTTCAGTGACCAATCATGACTTCAGAAGATTGATGGTGGAGGATGCCTCCATATAGAGGGGTGGTAGTCTAGAGGTGGAGAATGAAGCCTACGTCTTAAACTTAACCATGGTGCTAGGTTGTTTTGCTTGACTTTATTTGTTAGAAGGTAAGGTCCCTGCAGGTATGGGTGAAGGAATCAGTGGAAAGTGACAGTGATTTCTTTTTTTTTAAACTCATCATTAAAATTTTTAAACACATTTTATTTTTTGGAATGTTTTTATTTTTCTCAATTACATGTAAAAATAATTTTTAACATTTTTAAAATAATTTTTGAGTTCCAAATTCCCTTCCTCCCCCTTTGTTGAAAAGGCAACAGTTTGATATAGATTTTACATAGTCATGCAAAACATATTTCCACATTCACCATGTTGCAGAAGAGAACACAGACCCAAAAAAAAGCCTTTTAAGAACAAATATCTGATCATATACCAAGAAAAGAAAGAAAATTGATCACTTTGTTTTTTCTTTGTACAGTACACATTTTGGAACTTCATACCCAAGAATTTGTTTGAGCAGTTCAGAAGAATAGCCAATTTTTATTTTCTTATCATCTTTCTGGTACAGGTAAGTCCATTTACTTCCTATCACCAAATTATATATATCACAGTGAATAAGTGTCATACCCTTCAGGAACTGACTTATTGCTTACTTAATAAGAAAAAGGACTGTTCCCTAATCCATTATTGTAAGAGAACAGCTTCTTACTTAATTTTCTTCATGAGTAAATGGTACAGCTACTGCAAGACCCTTGTAATAGATTTGTCTTTCAGGCTAAACATACCCATTAAGTTTACTTTTCAGTGATTATGTAACCCTTTTCTTCAGAGGGGTGTGAGGCAATGTTGCTTATTTTTTTCACCGTTGGTCCTTGAACACAGAAGACAAGAACAAGAATTAATTTGATCATGTAAATAAATACTGAAAAAAAACTAAGCAAGTCTATGCCTTAATATGATTAGAATCTTCCAAAATATGAACACGTACTCCAAAGAAAGCCAAAGCAACTTCAGCGTTTCAAAACCATCTTAGCTAGTTGATCAACTTCATGTACCTTGAGTAAGAATAACATTAAGAAAGAACTTTTATTTTCCTAAAGCACTTAGATGCTTTCGAAATATTTTCGTTAACACACAGAGTTGGCATTCTGGTGTTCCCAAACTTGTAGGTTATCCAGTTGGTAGGAGTTGTAAGCCCTGGGCAGACTAACACCGCTTTTCAGTTAACCAGCTGTACTGTCTTGAGCAAATCACTTAACCTCTCTATCCTTCAGCTGCCTCATTTGTACCCTGGGAATAGTAATTGCCCTACCTGTCTCACAGGGAGGCTGTTAAGATATAAAATATGTTGAAAAATCAGAAGTAAGTGCTATTGTGATTTATATTGGATACTGATCAAGAATCAGTCACCAAGCTGAGTATTTTGAAATAAACTGCCTAATTTTGTTTTAATTGCAGTTGATTATTGATACACCCACAAGTCCAGTCACAAGTGGACTTCCTTTATTCTTTGTCATTGCTGTCACAGCTATCAAACAGGTAAGAATTTTATCCTCAAAATTAAGAGGAAATTGTTCCATTTTCTTTCTATTTCTTTCTATTACAGGCTTATGCTGATTTATACTTGTGTTAAATTAAGAGAACTTGCCCAATCCATTGGCTAGATTGATGACCTAGAGAATTATATTAGGGGATTTCCCCACTAACTTTTGATCAAATAGGAATGTTCTATGACTTTGTGTGACTTCCTTGATATCTTCTTTGCACAGGTTTTTCTACCCATATCATTAGGACATGCTGATATGTTGAATTGCTGCAAATGTAAAATTGTTAAAAATTGAGTAGTCGGCTGAAGTAGTGTGGAGGTGACCCTTAAGTTCTCAACAGTTGGGTCTGAAGAATCTACTCTCTAGCTGGAACTACCCAGCTAGAAAGGCTTCTAGGGTTGGATTGATGATGGACTGTATTTGTGTTATTTAAAGGCCAGAGGACCAGCCTAGTTAATTTAAGAGAGCCTCCCCACCAATTTAACTGTAGAGTATTGAATTTCTATATTACAGCCACTTTTGAAGACTATCTACTGAAGTAGTCAATAAGTATAAACTAATTACTACAAAGAGTCATTTTACAGTTTGCATAGGTAGAGAGGTTATCCTTAATGAAGAATATCTCAGATCTTTGATGTATTAAAATTTAATGATTGAATGCTTTGATTTTTTTGGAGTTGACCAGGCTTTATGTGAGAACCTAACATTCTCTTCTTGTCCTGATGTGAAAAAAATGTGACTGACTAACTACTAGCCATAGTGTTGGTCAGCTACCAGTCCCAAGGAGGTGGGACAAGATTAGAAAATTAAGTTTTTTCTATAGTAGGCTAAGAGGTCTGGTTTGACTTGTTCATCCTATATTGGGTTGAATCTAAAAAATTCATATTAAAACACCAAACCCCTGAAAATCAGCTCTGGCAGTCTCCCATCCTCATCAGGACAAAAGTCTTCTTAGCCTGAGATGTTCCAAGGCATATTTTTTCCAGATTCACACTGCTTAGAGCTTCTTTCCTGAACCTATATTCCATGCTTATACTGGAGTTGAACTAATCCATGGTGCCAGAGAGGTTACATTTGCCAAGGGGTACCACTCGAGAATATGATAATGTTTTCTCTTTTTAAAGTATAAGGCACTTAAAAGAAGAGGTAGCTAATGGATTGAGTTGGCCATTGAGTCAAGAAGAACCTGGGTGCACGTCCTAGCTCTGGTACATACTATCTGTGCAATGCTGGGCAAACCATTTAACCACTCAGTACTCCAGGCATCCCTCTGTACACACTGCAGAAGTTGCTGAGCTGAGTTTCTTCATCCAGGACTTCCCTGTACCAATGAAATCCCAGGTCTGGTTATTTTTGTTGTCTCTGTCCCTATGGCAGCAATGCCCAAAGGGAGAATTTGATCCATTATTAGCTGCACTATGCCTATTGAATTAAGGTTGCAAGTTATCTAAAGGACAATAGAAGGGCCCATAGATGATAGATGTGAGCGGGCTGCAACCTGGGACCCCTTTATGTGGATTACGCAGGAAAAGTGGCCTCAAGTAGAATAGAAGGAGAAGTGGACCAATGAAGGATATTGTGAAGGATAACCCTTGGACCACACACAGGCTCCATTGATGTTTGTGCAGTGACAAGAGCTACACAGGAAGGGCCCCAGCATGTTTAGAGCCTCTGTGGAGGATTCATGCGAGCATACAAGGAAGAGTCTCATAGGATAAAATAAGGACCTGCATCACCAAAGGGGAGCCTCTGAATCAGTGAGGTCAGATAGCCGTCATTGTATCCTAGCTGTGCTTTCTTATCTGCATATTTAACATCTATCTTCATGTGGCATTTTTCAAAACTAGAAAATACTAAAACAATTGCACCCAGTTTTTTTCTCAGAGAAATGCTGCTTTCTAATTAAGGAACTATTGCCTTAGGTACTTGAAACCTGTGAAACATATGAAATTACATTCAGCTGTTTGCACAGCATATTTTCATTTGGGACACCTAGATTTGGAAGATGACGGCTTCTAATAGCTGTTGTGGTGAGGCTTTTCTGATAGACACCTTTTACTTAAAACATCATTCTTTAAACACACAACAGTAATTTAAGTAGCATAGCATAAATGGTAAGAAAATCTGTTCCACATGACATCATTGTATATGTGCAATTAACAAGAGCCACAAAGCTGTCATATTCCAAGATAGTTTACTTTCCAAGTAAAAAATGAGCCTTCTACTGCTTCTGTGAAACCCACAGCCGAATCATCCATATTTTCATCATTGTAGTTCTAGTTATCTGGTAATTCAGGAAAATCTATTTTTGTGCTTTCTGAAAAATTAATTAAGAACTTCTGAACCACTTAACTATCCAGATGTAATTTTAAAAGCTTTAGCTTAAATGACATCTCTTTTATGGTGCTGTGGTATGGTGGAAAGAGCATTTGATTTGGAGTGTACCATTGCATGTCTGCAACTGCTTTTCAGTTTATGGAGTTACCTTAAGCACTGACAGATCAGGTGATACAGCCAGTGTGTGTAAGAGGGGAAACATGAACCCAGGTTTCCCTGACTCCAAGACTCTTTCTGTCCACTGCTTCAGGCTACCTCTCAGTTACATGGGAACGTATTTTCTCACAGTCTCTATTCATTATATTTCCAATAACTCTGTACATCATTTACTTGGGGAATCAGACTTTTGGTTATGCTACCCCAGTGAAATTAGTGTCATTTCATGGTTATCAAACCAAGTTGCACCTGTAGCATGCATTCTTCAATTGGGCCTCTCCAGATTGATGTTGATACTGTGGCATCAGTACTGCATCCCGAAGGAAAAAAGCAGGTTTGTTCCTTGCTAACCCTTGACAAATTTTTGACCATGGAAGTGGTAGCCATGGAGGCCAAGATGTTTGGGACCTGGAACCAGGAATGTTTTCGCTAGGTTCCTCCCCCCTCCCTCCCTCTTATAGTCATGACAAGAAATTTTTGTAACAGGTGGTGTGGATAGGGAAGGTCTGTGACAAGAGTGCAGTTGAGTCTCAAGGGATCCAATTATCTAAGTGATTATAATCCATTAACTGTGTCTTCAGTACATTGGAGTCAAACTCTCCAGCTTTCATCCCCCCAGGATGCTCCCTGTCGCCTCAGCCACTGACAGTCCTTTAAAAGAAAGTCATCTGTGCTTATACTCCTAAAATCTTGACTAGAGACACAATTCCACAAGGAATTGTCTTGCCCGTCCCTTTGTCTTCAGGTGAAGTTGCTCACAAAATTTCCCTTAAGAATAATTGTCTACCTTATATGTAAAAAATGTCCAAGGAAGGGAATCCAGGACCATTGTTAGAGGAAAATATATGTTTAAGTATTCAAAGTTATCAGTCTTCTTGATGCTTTGAATGCTCAAAATGCATTACACAGGACTTTTGTTTATTTCCTTGAAACCAAGTCTCTCTTTCTACTTGTGCATTTTAACATTTGACCAGGCTCCAGTTCTGAAGTGATTATGGTTACAGGGGCAGCCCTTTGGGGGAACAAAGGCCCTTCCCCTATGCCCTGCTTAAATAACTGTCTGCCTCTGTTCATCTTCCCTTCGCATATCTGGTGACAAATACAGAGATACTCCTTTCTACACCTCTATTCCTTGTTAGCCATAACAAAAACCTCAAGTGGTAGGTTTTTCATTTTACATGTTCCTCAACTGTATATATATTCTGTGTACTCAAATCTAAAGTAGCTAAATGCTGGATAGACATACTGTTCTGGATTTTTTTTTCTCTTTCTTTGAAGCTGAGAAAAACACATAGGAGTAAGATAGCTGGTTTGATGAATATGATGGATTCTGGTTTATAGATATGCTAATTTTGCGGTAATACAGGACATCCTGATGATAGTGTTCATCAGATAGTCAGAAGACACAGAATCTTAAACTTATAGTTGGTTAAGATTCAGAGGTCATCTGGTCTAAGACTTGGGTCTTGATCTTATGTAGAGTACTACCAGGTAGTGCTTTTCCAGCCTCTGCTTAAAGACCTCCAGTGACAGAGAATGAAGCTCAAGTATGAGGTCCAGGTCTGGTGATAGAAAAGAGATTGAAAGTGAGCAAGAAAAAGAAAGGCTTAGTGGCATAAAATTTTGGAGATGGAGAAGGTGATGCCAAGAGTTGAGGTGGAAAGGTTAGTGTTGATAAGAAGAGGGCCTACTTCATCATTTGAGACTAGAAGGAAGAAGATAGGAAAAGACAAGCAATTTCAGAGAGGTGAAGGGAGAGAGGAATGGGGAGCCTCATGTTGACTGGCTTCATTTTTCTCAGCAATATGAGATATGAGTTATCTGCAATACTGAAATTTAAAAGTAAAAAACTAAGAATGAATTATTAAATACTAGAAACTGCACACACACATATGTATAGGCATTAGTCTGAACAACTCCATCTTAAGCAAAGGAAATTAGGCAGGAGACCAACCAGAAGACTTTTGTAGTACCCCAAGAGTGAATTGACGAAGGTATGTGCCAGGGTGTTGGCTTGTGTGAGTGGAGAGGAGATGTGAACAAGAGATGTTGGGCAGATAAAAATGGCAGGCTTTGACAACATGTGGATGAAGTGAGAATGAGGATTACTCTGAGGTTGGGCAACCAAGAGAATACCGGTGCCCTTGACAGAAATAATAAGGAAATTCAGAAAAGAGGAGGGCAAGGAGAGAAAGACAATGAATTCTGTTTTGGACTTGTTGAGTTTGAAATGTCTCTGGGACATTCATTTCAAAATTTACAAAAGATAGTTGATTATGTGAGACTGGATGTCAGGAGAAAGGATAGGGCTTGGTAAATAGCCTGAGATTCATCTGTCTACAGAAGATCATCAAATTCATGGAAACTGATGACAGATCACTGAGTGAAATAGTATCTGGAGAGGAGAGAAAATGGCCCAGGACAGAAGCTTGAGATGCACATCTGTAGTTAGTGGGTACAACCTGGTTGTAGATCTAGAAAGTGGTAGTGAACCTGGAAAGAGCGATATTAATGATGAAAACCTAAAAGAGAGAGAGAGAGAGAGAGAGAGAGAGAGAGAGAGAATATCCAGATAGGGGTGATTACAGATCAAGGCTACAGAGATCAAGAAGGGTAAAGTTTGGGGGGAGAAGATAAAGAGAAATGCCATTAGATTTGGCATTTAAGAGATCATTGATGACTTGGGGGAGAGCTGTTTCAGTTGGATAATCAGATCAGAAGCCAGATTGCAGAGAATTTAGAAGCAAGTAATAGGAGAGGAAGTGGAGGCACTGATTGTAGACAGCTTTCTCAAAGCGGTTAGCCCAAAAGGAGGGAGAGAGAGAGCGAGAGAGAGAATGAGAATGAACCATAGGCTTATGGGAGTGGTCAGATCAAGAGAGGGGATTTTTAAGGATGCTGGGAGAAGGAGAGTTGTGGAGACATGGCCATGTTTATAAGGTACAGCCCCCCAACTAAAAAAAACAGTTTGAAGGGCATTGTTCTTCACTAGGTCAATTGATAAGAACTGACCCTTAACTTACATTTCATACATATTCTAAACCCTTTGCAAAGTAGTTTCATAGAATCAGATAGAAATTTAACTTTCTACCTATAAATCTGGTCTGTTATAGCAATATAATGAAAAGCATGTTCAATTATTGAAAGTTTAGGTGGTTACGGCCTGTTTTCCTTCACTCATTACTTTCTGTTTCTTTTTTTGTAGGGGTATGAAGACTGGCTTCGACATAAAGCAGATAATGCAATGAACCAGTGCCCTGTCCATTTTATTCAGCATGGCAAACTTGTTCGAAAACAAAGCCGGAATTTGAGAGTGAGGAACAATTGGTGAAATTACCTTATTTAGGATCCATTGCAGCTTTATTTTCTTGACAGAATGGATTATGTTGTAATTTAAAATGCTTATAAGATTACACCAGAAAGCAGTTGATAAAACAGGAGAAAAAAATGAGACATCTAAGAAAATTAAAACAATTTTAGTAATTTTAAAATATAATGCAAAACTGTACTAATTTGTAATTTGTCATAATCGAAGGCTTGATGTCTCTCCTTGACTTAAAAAGGATCTGTGATTTTGCTGAGTAAATTAGTAGTGTAAAGGAAAAAATGCCTGTGGATAAGAGATTATGATATTTAACAGATTGCTATTTTCAGTCACTTGAGAAGCACCATTTTATGTGCAAATTATTGATATGGTCTTCTAAACCAGTCCTCCTGAGTGTGTTCCTGTCCCTTTCCTTTCCCCTCCCTTTTCTTTTTCTTCCAGTCTCCTCATGTTTCCCAGGCTAGCAGCCCAGGGGCTCCTCATACTCCATTCTTTCTTCACTTCCACATTCTTCAGGGTCATCGCTCCCTCTGTTCCCAAAGCTCTACTCTGCTAGAGCTCGTTTGTCCTGAATATGACTTGTTTGTACCTCGTCGTTTGTGTCTCCCACATGAGACCTTCAGTGGCTTGCGAGCAGAGACTGTTCTTTGCCTTACTTCCTGTCCCCAGTGCTTAGCATAGTGCCTGGCACATAGTAGGTACTTCATAAGTGCTTGTTGTTCACAAATGCTGGCTGTTCAAAACTGATGAAAGAGCAGTAGTCATTCACCAAAAAAAAAAAAAAAATCTTTATGTTAACATGGTCTAGTGCAAAGGGTGCTGGACTTCACATCAAGAGCTTTTTTAATTCAAATCCTAGTTTGCCATTTGCTGGTTTTGTGACCGTGGTTCAGTCATTGAACTTTCATTAGTGTTAATTTCCTCATCTATGAAATGGAGATAAATAAATAATATAAATAAATAAAATTGCCTGTTAGGTAAAGGTATGGGGAAAGTCTTTGTAAACCTTAAAGTACTACAAATTTGTATTATTTATTATTATTTTGGTGACATAAAATATTTACCTGGTTGGGAAACTGTGTCATTGGGTCAAAGATCATAAGTTGGAAAGAATCTCAGAGGTTAGTCTTCTAGTCCGACTCTGTTGTTTTACAGATGAGACAACTGAGGCCTGGGTGGCCCTTTGGCCATATGCTCAAAGTCACACAGATAGCCAGCATCAGAGAAAGGACTTGAATCCAGGTGCTCTCATTCCAAAATGAGTGATTTCTCCTCTGTACTATGCTGTCTTATAGACAACACTCTGTAAAGCTAATGATCATTACTTTATATGTGTAAGAATTTTATCTTTACAATGCCACAATATAATTTTCTGACTTTTCAATCATTCTGATTAGCCTTTTCCCCATTTGCTCCAAATTAATGATCTTAAAATTGATTTACTTTCCTCACCTGGTGAGTTTATGACACAGTGGGTGACCCAAACTGTCTTTTTGTGGCCATTGTACAGATTCATGCAAACAAATGGGTAAGTTCTGGGAAACTAGGATTCTTTGGCAGTATAAGCATGTTTGCAAGTGTATGTGGGATGAAAGACATGACACACCAAATCACAGACTGACATTAGCCCATCATTCCGCCCCCCCCCCCCCCACTCCTCTTCAGAGCTTAGGCCAGATTTCACAGCTGTTTTCTTTAACTGTGTTATAATCTTTGCACATTTTCTCCATATTGTAGGAAGGGATCTGTCATTTTTTTAAGCCAATAGACTTTGCCATTGTCCTTTTAAAGGAAATGATCTGGATTGTTTAACTAAGCTAAGTAAAAATTTTAATGCATGAACTTCTTGTGAGAAATATGTAGCTTTGTAGTACTGAGTATTCAAACCCAGGGATGTGTTAAATTTACTATTAGAGGAAGAAAAAAAATAGATAAAACTCTTCTGATGACAGTAGACATGTAGCTCTCCTTGCCCATAATGACTCCAGACTTTAGATTCACTTGCGCGGCAGTCTCAAGTAGGAAGCTGAAAGTACTTCTTTTAAAAAAAGAGAAAAAAGATGGTCCCCCACTAATTTTAAAGTTCTCTGAGGTTCAGTCATTTAGTAAACAAAATGTGGCTATAGGAGAGAAACCCATTTATTGTATTGAATCAGTTGTAATGATTTTTTTTAAGGCAGTTAGGGTTAAATGACTTGCCCAGGGTCACACAGCTAGTAAGTCTGAGGCCGCACTTGAACTCAGGTCCTCCTGACTCTAGGGCTGATGCTCTACCCATTGTACCACCTAGCTGCCCCTAAGTGTAATGACTTGAAAATGCCTTGCATGTAATAGTTTAGATAGCCTAAGTGATCAGAAGGATTTTAAACCTGAGTCATTTATCCTGTCTGGTCATGTCTTGATTTTTGGTGGCACCTTTTTCTCCAGATATACAAACTATTAAAAGTTCAGCTTAGAGAAAGGGGATAAATGGGATATTTGAGCTATATCACAGATGCCGTTCCCTCTAGGAGGATATTAAGAAATGTAGAAGTCTGGCAGGTCAACTGTGTTTTTCCTATGGGTGATAGATATAACTGATGTCCAAGAAGCCTTTAGTTGAACTCAATTTCTTTTTAGATTTTTATGGCAAAGAATCCTGTGCTTCCTTTTTTTTGCATGTTTCTTTTTTTTCTACTTGTCTCATTATTTTATGATTATTTTTTTCATGCTTAGTCAATGCTGATTCAATAACTGTGTTAGTAGTATTTAAACATTGCTTTTTGGATGTCACTAAACCTTGTATTTAATAAATAATAAAATTTTAGTGTAAGCAGGGATCTTAGAGATCATCTTGTCTTACCTTCCCATTTTACAAATGGAGGAACTAAGGCAGGATAGCTGTGTCAAAGCACATATGTTTTCATTGAAATAGTCCAAGCATCCAAAGACATTATAATTTCTAAAGCACTGCACTAACAATTTTCACTGTTGCACTTTTAAAGCTTCCACTAATGCTTTTTGTCCCAAGTCAAAATATTGTCTCAGTCATGTGAAGTTTTCTTACTTTTCAACTGTTTTAAATGTCTACATTATTAGTCATAAAGAGATATTTTTAAATCCAACTCTGGACTTCAGTTGCTTCAAAGAAGGAGCTACCTCTTTATAAGATTTTTATATCATATATATCTTTTTATGATTTTATATCTTTATGTTTATATTTACTATATCTTTATATGATCATAAATTTGGAAATAACCTTAGCAATGTTGTGATTTACTGTGGGTGAAGAATAACAATAACAATAATAATGATGATAGCTAATACTTACATAGTGCTTTCAGTGTGCCAGTCATTGTGCTAAGGGCTTTACAATTATTATCTCATTCGATCCACACTACATCCCTGGGAGGTAGATGCCATTATTATTCCCATTTCACAGATGAGGAGACTGAGGCAAACAGAGGTTAAGTAACTAGTAAGGATCTCAGGCTAGATCTGAATGCAGGTCTTCCTGACCCTGGCAGTCCAGCTGCTTCACTGAGCATCCCCCTACCTGTTTTTCTTTCTGTTAGTTCTGCTTCTTTGAGTGTCAGCCATGGATTGACATTGATAATAGATTGCTTGCACATTTTTCCGGAACACCATCAAGACTGACTTTATGAAGTGTGGAAGTGAATTTGTTCTCCATCCCCTTTTACACCTTCTCTTTAAACTAAATTAGTCTTTTCTGCTTCCCAATCCTTTTGGAGCACTTGTGACTGCTTCTGTGTCCTCTACTTTAAAAAAAAGTTGGGAGGGGGGCACCTAGGTGGCATAATGGATAGAGCTCCAGCCTTGGAGTCAGGAGGACCTGAGTTCAAATTTGGCCTCAGACAGTTGACACTTACTGGCTGTGTGACCCTGGGCAAGTCACTTAACCCTGATTGCCTCACCAAAAAGCAAAAAAAAAAAAAAATGGAGGGAGGTTGAGGAGTGGGAGAGAGAAACTTTTGTCAGTTCCACAAATGTGTGTGCTGATTAGCTACTGAAAAGAAAATTAATTTTGTTGTTTTTTCCACACCATGTAGGTTGGAGATATTGTGATGGTGAACGATGGTGAAACCTTTCCATGTGACTTAATATTTCTTTCTAGCAGTAGAGAGGATGGAACATGTTATGTTACAACAGCCAGCTTGGATGGTGAATCAAGTCATAAAGTAATATATCCTTTCATTAAATTGGGGGTTATTAGTTCTATGTTTGGGTAACCATAGAAACCAGGCTTCTGTTAGAGAAATTAGTGTGGACAGGGCAAACAGTAAGGACCCCATGGTTTTTCCTTTAAAAAAAAAAGTTCCACCCTCCATCTTCCCTTCATTTTCCACCCCAATCTCTCTGTAACTTATTGCAATCAGAATAACAGAAAGTGTCATAACTCAAATTAGGGTGGTGTGATTTGAAATAAGGAATATCAAGTGTAAATACTAACCAAAAAAATTGCATGAATAAATTGTTGGTATGAGAAGACTGGGTTAAAATTGTATTTTTATTTTTAGGTGCAGTGACTCAGATGATAATTTTAGTGGTCAGAATTAATGTCTGACTACTACAGAATTATGTCACAAGTAACACAATATATTCTGGTTTTACTGGCAATTGCGTGCTTGTCGGTTCAGTGAGTGCTTTAATATAAAATACCCTGAGAAGCCGAAATTGAATTAGAATTACATTCTTGCCCTCTCTCTACACAACTGGATATAGGCTGTTCTGCTTTAGCTATTGCTTTTAAGCAATTACTAATAATAGATGGATGAATAAAATAATTGTTCTTCTTCTTTGTAAATGTTTTATCATAGAAATATGAGAATTGAGTATGCTACAAAGATGCTACAAAGGCTTTGTGGAAATGGCCATAGCTTAATGGACCCAAACCTTTTCTTAGCCTTTAATCGCTCCAAAATTGGGTAATGCATAATAACAAATTAACGTTTTGCAAGTCCAAAACACCATAATAGTAGGCTGCATTTGCAGAAATGTCTATGTGTGGAAAGGGAGATTAGTTTCCTGTGTAGACATATCCTAAGTGAATTAACCTCTTGTTATAGGACATTATAGGCAACAGTGCTTTGAGTTATAGGAAATTTCTCTGTGACTAAGGTTTTTACTTCAATCAACAACTGTAGTAGTACCTTAGAGGAAGAAAGAGCCTCTATAAAAAAAAGTGATGAACTTTCTCTAGAGCTTGAAGAACCCATAGAAATTGCCTTTGTGGGCAACATCTCCTACTAATACTACAAAAGATGCCAAAGGCATACCTCTAGGCCCACATCAAATGCATTCCAATGATATAGAAGCCGATAACTCAGGTAGAAGAAAGATGCATTTCAGTGCAACATCATTGCCTAAGTGTTCAGAATGGAAACTCTTAGAATATTTGTACCACTTCAGGCTTTTTGTATATAATTACTTTCATTTATTTTAATTTTTCTTTGTAGTCTTAAAAGCTAGGGAATAGGGTAAATGACTATTGACCATCTTTAAAAACAAGGACTGTGTCTTTTATGCCTTGTGTATCTTTTAGAATCTATTACGCTAATGCTTTGTTAGTGAAGATGATGAACTCCTGTAACACACTTAGTTTTTGAAAATTTCGTTACCAAAGATGGAAATAATAGAATAGAATAGAAATGAATAGAAATGGAGGAAGAATAGAAATGAAGATTCCTTACCCACTGGGCCTTTGTGGGACATTCCTTTCCTCATTCCATGCTAGGCAAGGAAGGTTCAGGTTCCCTGCACTTTGGGGCCCAGTGTGCAGTGTCTCAGCTTGCTTAGACCCTCTTTGTTAATGCACACCTGCTTCCCTGGGGATTTGTTAACCTCTTTTTCACTGGATAGTGCTCTATGACAAGATCCTATTGCATACTCAGATATTTTTAGCTGCCTGGTTAGATGTGTTGTTTTTTTAAAAGATACTAATAGTAAGATCATAACAGCATTATGTTTCAGATTAAGTGGAAGTCAGATAGGAAGTTGACGGTACTATGCCATTGATAAGTTTGGGAAATGAATTGATGTCCCCATCACAGCAGTCACTTCCATTGGATTTGTTAGATATGAAGAAAATGAGTAAATGGAAGAATTAGCCCTTGGAAGACTATGCCTGGATACAGGGAATACCACAATTGACCTGAATATGTATATAATAGGAATGTAGCAGCTGTTTTCTGTGTATGCTCATGCATGTGTTTGTGTTATGTGTCTACACTGTTTGCATACATTTTAAGGAAATAAAAGAAATTTGCTTTTCTGGAAATAAGGGAGCTTTTTTGTTTTCATTTTTGAATTACGTCTTTACGTTTCTTTTCAATTGATAGACTTATTATGCAGTTCAAGATACAAAAGGATTTCAAACTGAAGAAGATATTGACAGCTTACATGCTACCGTTGAATGTGAACAACCTCAGCCTGACCTCTACAAGTAAGGGGAGTCCTGATAACTTCTTGAATGTTTTTTCTTAAACTATTCCAATAGCTTTGCCAAGAAACCCACATGGGTCAGGGAGAGTCAGATGTGACTGAAATGACTGAATGACAAAGCTCCATCTTCTCTCTCCTGGACTCCACTCTACATTTCTACTTGCTTTGTTGAGCTTCTCCACATGGATGTCCTGTCAGCATCTCCAGCTTTATGTGCCAAAAATAGAGCTTGCTATCTTCTCCCTACCTCATCCTTCTATTCTTCCCTACTTATGTGATGGTACCACATTTCCCAGTCCCTTAGGTTCATAATGTGGAAGCCTTCCTTTAGTCTTTCCCCTCAGAGCTAATCAGTTCCCAAGCCTTGTCCATTCTACCTTCACAGCATTTCCTCCACCTCCCTCCCCCTTTCCGTTCACATAGCCACCATCCTAGTTGTGACCCTTCTCACCTAGACTGTCATGACTGCCTCCTCACCAATAGATAAATTGTTATCACTGAAATAGCAATCTGATCATGTCACACCTCTACTCAAAACCTTTCAGTGGCTCCTTGTTCTCTCAAAAAAAAAAAATCCTTGGTCTTGCATTTTAAGGCCCATAGTAGTCTGGCTCCCCCCTATCTTTGCAGCAAAATTTTACATTCCTCTCCTTCAACCACCCTGGATCCCATTCAAAGTAGACTAGCAGCTGTTCCTTAAGCATTATGCTCCTCTGTTGCCTCGATGAACTCACCCAAGTAGACCTCCATATTTGAATTATATTCCTGCTTCAATTTGACCTCTCAGAGACCTTTTCTAACTTAAGTACTCAACTGAAGTGTCACCTTTCTGAAGGCTTCCTTCATTTCCCTACCTGCCACCCCCTTGTTAGAGCTCTCTCCTAACATTACCTTGAATTTACTTATCCGCATTCATGATGTCATTGCCTCACCCCACTTTAGTTCTGGCCCTAAGCTGTAGAATGAGGGCAAAAGCCATTTCTTTTGTCTTTGTGTCTATAGTATTTTGTACATAGTAGGCACTGCTAGGTCAGTGCTTGGATAACAAGCACATATACAGTTTGTAATCAGGCCCATTGGTGTGAAGTCTTCACGACTCCCAGTGTCTTGCTTCTTTGGCGTGTCCTTTGAGAACTCACAGTTATCTTGACACCGAAAGACAAATCCAAGTGCAATTGGACTGTCAGAATGAGGCCTCTTCTTCTCAGAGTATTTTAGTGACCTCCAGTACCATATTGTTTAAATATTAGAAAAATTTTGATAGAACCAAAAATATTCAGTATTGCTAGCCATGCATTAAGGATGTCCACCAAAATGTAAAGAAAGTTAAATACTGGATAAGGGAAGAATTTAGGACCAAACAAATTTTAGAGCTCATTACAAAATGTAAAACAGACCATTTTGATTATATAAACTTAAGAAGTTTTTGCACAAACAAAACTATGCAACCAAAGTTAGAAGGAAAACAGAAAATGGGAAAATATTTTGTGGCACTTCTCTCTGATAAAGGCCTCATTTCTCAAATGTGTAGAGAACTGAGTCAAATTTTTAAGAATACAGGTCATTCCCCAATTGATAAATGGTCAAAGAATATGAACAGGCAGTTTTAAAGGAAATCATAGCTATCTAAAGTCACATAAAAAATGCTCTAAATCACTACTAATTAGAGAAATACAAATTAAAACAACTCTGAGATACTGTTTCACACTTATCAGATTGGCTAGTACGGTGGTGGGGAACCTCTGGCCTCGAGGCCACATATAACCTGCTAGGTCTTCAAGTGTGGCCCTTTCACTGAATCCAGACTTCACAGAACGATATGGGCTAGTATGACAAAAAAGGATAATGATAAATATCAGAGGGAGTGTGGGAAAACTGGGAAACTAATGCACTGTTGGTGGAGTTGATCCAACTATTGGTGTGAACTGATGCAGCCATTCTGGAGAGCAATTTGGAACTATGCCCGAAGGGCAATCAAACTGTATATACCTTTTGATCCAGCAATACCACGGATAGGTCTGTGTCCCAAAGAGATTTTCTAAAAAGGAAAAAGGATCTATTTGTACAGAAATATTTATAGCAGCTCTTTTTGTGGTAGCTAAGAACTGGAAATCAAGGGGTCCATGAATTAGGGAATGGCTGAACAAGTTGTGTTGTATAGTTGTGATGGAATACTATTGTGCTGTAAGAAATGACAAGTAGGATGATTTCAGAAAAACCTGGAAAGACTTACATGACCGGATGCATAGTGAAGTGAGCAGAACCAGGAGAACACTGTACATAGTAACAGCAGTATTATATGATGAAGAACTGTGAATGACTTAGCCATTCTCAGAAATATAATAATCTAAGACAATCCCGAGGGACTCATGATGAAGCATGCTATCCACCTCCAGAGAGAGAAGTAATATTGACTGATATTCTTTCCCTCCCTCCTTCCTTCCTTCCTTCCTTTCATCTTCTTGTACAAAATGACTAATATGGAAATGTTTTGCTTGATTGTACATACATAACCTATATCTGATTGCTTACTGTCTCAGGGAGGAGGGATAGAATTTGGAACTCAAAACTTTAAAAAAAAAAAGAGGTTAAAAAATTGTCTTAGGGGCAGCAAGGTGGCGCAATGGGTAAAGCACCGGCCCTGAAGTCAAGAGGACCTGAGTTCAAATCTGACCTCAGACTAAACACTTGACACTTATTAGCTGTGTGACCCTGGGCCAAGTCACTTGACCCCAATTGCCAAAAAAAAAAAATTGTCTTAACATGAATTGGGGGAGAATAAGATATTCTTTTTTTTTTTTAAGTTAAATTCTTTCAGTTTTATGAATTTCACAGTTATGAGTCCATGCACCTCAGGGAAATCAGGGACTGAATCCCTATATGTAAAATGAGAAAAAGCAATCAATTTATAACAAAGAAGAAAGGGAAAAGAATTAAAACTAGTAATGGTTCAAATAGGCATTGGTTTCAGTTATGAAGAAATAATGGCAATTCATACGAGGACATTTTGCCCATTTAAGTAAGGAAAATACAGGCATGAAAGCATGTCTTCAAGTTCTTTGATGCTTCTTTTGTTTCTGATTTTTCACTCATAGTCATTTGTTGTCATTTCAGATTTGTGGGCCGCATACATGTTTACCAGGAGAGAAATGACCCTATTGTAAGGTAAAAGGATATATTTTATCTTAAGAATATTTGGCCAACTATTTGTCTGTTTGGCCTACTATATTTGTCTATGGAATTTTTTTTTAATTATTCTTTTATTAACAAGAGATTTTCTTGGCGAATAATTTTGCTGAGTCATTGTGAAAGAAGGAGTATAGGATTTTCTGCAAGATTCCTTTTTGCTTCGTATTGGACTGGTATTCTAATTAATATGTGGCTTCATCTTATGCTATGAAGCTTGAAGTGTGTAAGAGAAGTTATATGTCAGTATTTGTCTGTGTTTAAAAAAAATTCCTCTCCTGTATGGAGAAATCTAAAAGTAAATAACTTTCCAGATATGTGTATGTGCAATTTTCTCTTCTGAATGTGTATCCTGAGAAATCTACCTTAGGTTGCCAAATTTTTTGGTAGTAGCATAGTTCTAGGTAAAAAAATATAATGCAGTGCCTTCCCATTAGAAATAACTATCTCATAATTTATTTTAAAGATATATCTTGAAATAGGAAATTGAAAGTTTCTTAATTTGGTGACCATCTTATTGGAATAAGTAGATTAGTCCAGCTCTTAAAACTTAATGTGGGAAGAAACATTTATCCCTAGCTTACTTCCCAGATTTAATGAACTGCTGTGTACAAAGGGCATATCTGTAGGTTACAATAGATAAAAGAACATGAATAAGTTGTTGTCAGGTTATGAAAATAAGCATACTACATAAATCATAGCTGATGTTTTCATTTAAGAGTCTTAGGCAGTTAATTATAGATATTGGACTGACTGGTCATATACGCCCTGGGTTTGCAAAAAATAGCAATTTACTAAATATTTAATATAATAATCACTACATTATACTTTCTTAAGACCAATTAAATGCTAGAGAGCTAATTATGTTGTCATTGTTCTGCAAAGATTCGTCTACCATGTTTTTTGAGTCTGCTTATTGCTTTTGCTTGTCTAGCCTTTATTTACAGTAGAAGAAAGAAATGGCTGAACTTCCAGGTATTTTGTTTGCACTTTGTTTCAAGATCCTGGGAGATGCTGTTAATGAAATATTTGGCTTCTGAAACTGAGGAAGTAAACCTTTTTAAATCAGGTTTTAAAGTGTGCAATTGGACATAAAATCAGCTTGTTTGAGAAAAATGTCTTCATTCAATCAAGATACAAATTACTGTTAACCTGATATGAGACAACATTATACCTTAAATATTTTCACCTATCAGTGAAAGTGAGCTGAATGGAAAGTTATTAGCCAAAAAAAAAAAAAGTTGCTAGAGTTAAGATGACCCTAAGAATCCCCAGCCTTTGAAATTAGGTTTTTTTTTCTTCTTTTTTTTTTAAAGGAAAGCCACTTGTACATTTAAAAATCTGCATTCTTGTTATGATCCTTCATCAACAGTTTAATGAAAGCTTTTCAGAAAACATAAAGCCATTGCCTAGTGAATTTATAAAATTGCATTATTCCTAAGGTGAACACCAAGGTGAATTCCTTTCTTTTGTCAAAGTAATTTGTGTGTGACTGAGTAAATAGATTTAGGTATATTCATTTTGCCAGTGGGATGAAATTAGATGATATAATTTCTTGCAGAGGTAAACAGAGCTTTCTGTGCCATCATTTAAAATTTGTTTGTCTAGCCGTCATTAGAAGGAAATTACGAAAATACAGCTAGAGTCTGATCCACCTATTTTCAAATATCCTTATTATTTCAATGTCTGTTAATGTTTGAGTTTTTAAAGCAATGTGTTAAATTTAGTGAAACTAAAAAGTCTATACCTGTTTAAAAAAAAATTGTTACTTTCCAGATTCATAACTTCTGGCACTCAAAGAGATAGGAACCATTCCTCTACCTCCTTCTCACTTCGAGAAGAAAAGTAAGGAGCTAACTGAAACTAGGTACTCCTGGTTAGAAGCCAAGAATGATTTGTTCCCCCTCAAATACTTTATGTTTTTAAAATGTCACCTTTTTCCCATACTTTTCAGAGATACCTTTCTGTCACACTCTGTTTTATGACTAGTTTTAGAGGAATTATTCTGAATGTGTTGCTAATATAATTTGACATTGTTGTATAATCACTGAATGACAAATATCCAGCCTGAGAGGCTGTGTTTTTAATGATTGTTGGGAAGATGAGTGGAGGTTAAAACTTATCTTATAACCCCAGGAAAAACATGTCACTTATTATATGTATTCCAAAGAATCTCTCCTCCAGTGATCAGTGCCCTGGGCTCAGTCCTATCTAGTTCTTGAACCAAGAAACCTTACATTAAAGGATTGTTTTAGGTTCAGATAAACTGAAAACATTTTGGCTTCACAACTCCGCAGTTCACTCTCTACTAGTTATCTGTGGTAGTAGAGGGACTTTCATCATAGATTAAATTATGTTACATTAAATACATCCTGCCTCTCTAGCTTCCTTTTGTATGTTGTATTTTTCCATTAGATTGTAAACTCCTTGAAGGCAGGAACTATCTTTTTCTTATTTGTGTCCCCAGTGCTTAGCACAGTGCCTGACACATAGGAGGTGCTTAAAATATGTTAGTCGAATTGAATTAAATCAACTATGATCGCAAAACTTAATTTTAGTTTTATGGTTTTAAACTTATCAAATCTTTTCAAATAACAGTTATCCTAATGGATAGATTTGAAAATCAACTCTTACTTCTTCATTTTACCATGTAATAAAAAAGGTAATAATCATCAGTCAAATGGAAAAAAAAAATTATCAAGCACTGTTCCAGGAACTGTGTTAGGTTGTGAGGAATATAGATAAAAATATATATGACATGGTGCCTGCCCATTAAGAACCCGTAGTGTATTTGGAGGAGCAAGGCAACTTAAAAGAATAATTAACCATACCAATTTATTGCACCTAAATCATTAATTAGTTCTGTTAGGCACCAATGTGAGATGAATAAGGATTATAGGGAATTGTTAGCTATATAAAGAGTCAGCAGCTGAAAGATACCATTTGGGTTTTTTGACTTTATAATGGTGTTTGTTTATAATATCTAATATACTGCCAATCATAAAATGCTGTTAATTTTAACAGCCATGTTTTATGCAAGGTCTGCCTTTTAAAGGTATTAGGTAAATGCCCCATGGGTGGTATGAGTTAATACCCTAGGAATTCAGAAGAGGGAGAGATAAATGTGGGCTACAGTGATCTGGGAAGGCTACCTGGAAAAAGTTGAGCTTAAGCTAGTTTGAAAGATAAGCTAGATTCACATAGAGGGGAGGAGTGTATACTGTAGTCACAACAGTGAAATGAGCAATGAAATGTCTAATATTTCCTGAAGTTATGATCTATAAATAGTATAATCCAACCTTAAATAACCCAATTAATCATACTTTTTACCTAGTCTCAAAATCTATTTCACCTGGATCATCTTCCCAGAATCACTTGGGGATTTCCATCCAGTGGTCTTTTGGTATTGGTCTCCATTTACAATCACTATCATAAAGAGGACATTCCCTCCCACCCTTCATCCCTCACCCCACCAAAATTTACCTTGTGCTTCCTAGTGGATAGAGAGCTAACTTCCAAGTCAGGAAGACCTAGGTTCAAGTCCCACTTCTGGCATGTATTGGCTTTATTGTCCTAGGCAAATCACAACCACTTAGTACACTAGGCAACTCTCTAAGACTACCTTGTGAAGAAACTACCAGTTTTGTTGGTAGGATGAGTTTCCTCATCCAAGAGTTAACTATGCCAGTGAAATCATAGATCTCCTTCCTCTCCCCTTCTTTGTGTATACATGTTGTCTCTCATTTGTATCCTCAGAATCTGACATAGTGCCTGGTATATAGTAAGCAATTAATAAAAGCTTCTTGATTGAGCATTGATTGACCCAAGTTTTCACCATAAGTATTTAAAGCATAACCCTAGAGAGAAAATAAGTGTGAAATAAGTATGTTCAACTGGCTATGTATGTGGATGTTGATAATACAGTTGATCACTTCCACATTGCGACTTTCCTCATGGTTTTGCTATATTGTGGATCCACTTAAGAAATTAAATGGGAATTTTGGGGGAGTTTTGCAGAAGCTGCAGACACATAAAGACCAGCAGACAACACAGAAAAAATTTAGAAATTCAGAAATGCATAAAATAGATGTATTGTATAGTATCAACCCAATTTTTACAATAAAGTACTATAAACACCCCCCAAAAGAGAAAAAAAAATTCAGACTTTTTGTCTGGTATGAAGGGAGGGCCAAAAATTTTACCTCGATTATTCAATCATGGGGGCACTGTGCCCCTAACCCCTGTGATGTGGAAGGAATAACTGTGTATGTAAAAGTGAAAATAAATAGACCCCATATACCAACCTTAAGTCTTTTCAAACTGGGTCTCCTGCAGTGTCAGACACATCCTAGAGGCAAGAAAGATTATTAGGGCAGGGGAGTGTATTTATAATCCTACACACAGTTAAAGAAGATTTAATTTCACAGTAAAACTGGATCTGTTTTTATCAGCTGAACATAGTATCTACATAGAAACACCCAGACCCCCTCATTAAAGTCAAGCCCCATCATTAAACAAATCAATAATTTTTCTTTCTGTATCTCATCTTTTTCCACTAACTTTATCTTTATAAGCACTTAACATGTCCAATAATCCTTATCTTTGCAGGTCGTTAGGATCAGAAAATCTGCTTCTTAGGGGAGCCTCTCTAAAGAACACTGAAAAAATCTTTGGTAACTATTTAAATTATTGAATTATTAATGATGGCTTCTAAAATTAATAAGGATACATTAAGTAAAGTTAAAAATCTATAATGGCACTATAAGAGCATTTTTTTTTTTACTTTGATGTACTATAGCCTTCACTAGTATGATAATTATACTTCAGTATGAAAATTACTGTTGATATATAAACCACAACAGGTCCAGCCGTGGGAGCTGATAATGATTGTTTGCAGATTAAGTGCCTGTATTCTTAGAATCAGAAGAGCAAGATTGCATCCATGCAAGAATTCAGTCAATAAAATTCTGCAAGGAATTTATTCTAAGATTTATAAAAACAGCTGCAGTTCCTTGGCCACTCTGCTTAGCTTTTTGGGGCATATTTTCTTGTTTCCTATTTTTTAATTAATTGTTTCATAAGATATGTTATAATAAAGTATAATATATCTTAAAATCTAATTTTACTGAACATATTATAGGTTATTTGGATTTTAAGGAGGAGAAGGGAGGAGGGCATTTCTTTATCTTAAAGTAATCCTGTGTGAATTTATTTGATTTGTTTTTTTTAAGCTGATCTTATGTAATTAAAATGATTACAAAATTTCAGTTTTTATGACCATTATAAGTAATAGAGCTACTGTTTTAAGTAAGGCATGTTTACATCTTTGATAAAATACTAATCTTTTTTTAGGTGTGGCTATATATACTGGCATGGAAACTAAGATGGCATTAAATTACCAGTCAAAGTCACAGAAACGGTCTGTTGTAGAAAAGTAAGTCTTATTGCTTCTAGAATATTATTGTCAGCATTTATATAGCACTTAGCACATGCCAGGCATTGTGCTAAGTGCTTTACAAATATTATCTCGTTTGATCCTCACGACAACCCTGGGAGGTAGGTATGCTATTATTATCCCCATTTTACAGTTGAGGAAACTTAAGGCCAGCAGAGGTTAAGTGACTTTCCACTGAGTCACCCAGCTAGTAAGTATCCAAGCTCTTCCTGACTCCAGGCCCTGTGCACTGTCTACTGTACCACCCAGCTGCCCCTCAATAATGCTTATAGTGCATGGAAACGACATAAATGATTCAAGAGATACAGTAGAATAGCATAAGCACACAAATGACCTCCTGTGTATGTAGTGCCGTATGATGATGGCACTCCGATGATGAAGGTTTATTTTTTGGTGTTGGTTTTTTTTTTTTTTTTTGCAAACCATTGTCATTGACTAATTTCTTTACAAAATAAAATTTGTCTTAAATCCAGAAAGAAAATTACCAGAAAACTTCATTTATTTTTTGCACCTTTTCGAGGGATGTAAGTGTCCTTTATCCCATTAACTAGTTGTAATTAGAACATAGAGGCTGTGTGGTATAATGGAAATAATATTAGCTACAGAGTCAGAGGCCCAAGATTTAAATGCTGGCTCCACTATTTGGCTACATGTGCACCCTTTACTTTTGTGAAGGAAGAGGAAGGGATTAGTTTCTCAATTTCTCGTGAATAGATAATCTATATTATCTCTAAGTTCTCTTTTTGGTTCACTGGTTATCAATGTATCAATAAATCATTTATAACATACTGTATTTTTAAAATACCTGTGAAGCGTATTATGTCTGTGTGATTGACCTTTAAAAGCGATCATCTGATTTCTTCTTGACTATTACATCAAAAGTGAAATCTGAGATTTTGTTCTTTATAAACAAGGATGCTTTGTCTCCCAGATGTCTACACATGGCACATTTGTTTCAGAAATAGATATTGGAAAATCAGATTTCCTTTCAGAAGAACTGCTAAGATTTCGGTTCGTCTTCAGCATTTCCTCTCAAATGAGAGCATTTCCCAACATCGTATATACTATTTTCAGCCTTTGTGGTGATGTTGTGGGTGAAATTGCTGAATCTTGAACTCATTACTTGACCACTTAATGTTAGGAGAAATTGATTTTTAAAAGGTTCTCTTAACTTGCCGGATTTTTGAATCTACAAATGTTCAGCTTAGGTTAAGAGTCAGTGAACAGTTATTTGAAATTTAATGAATGTTACTCATTTTGGCTATGTGTGGGTTACCTCCATGATGTACAAGGTCCTGCCCTTCTCTTATATGCCAAAAGTCAGAATGCTTAGTGATAACAATAAATTTGTGTCTTCATTCATGCTTTGTAAAAGTCAGCAAAAGATCAGAAATCTTACTGAAGTTTTCCCATATTTTATATACCATTTGTGTATTTGTAGGATAGGAAATTTTGTGCTTTCCGCAAGAACTAATTTACTATTACTGCTTTATTATTTTAGATCAATGAATGTATTCCTTGTCGTGTACCTCTGCATCCTAATCAGTAAAGCACTGATAAATACTGTCCTGAAATATGTGTGGCAGAGTGACCCATTTCGAGACGAGCCTTGGTTTAATCAGAAGACAGAAGCAGAGAGACAGAGGCACCTGGTATGGAAAATTTCACGTGAAATATGTTACTCTTTTTGTAATGTTCAGAGGTGATTTGCATAACATTTTTATTAAAATGTGGGACCCAGTGAATCCCAATCCTTGAAAGAACTGTGTAAATTAGAGCTTCGCACTGTAGTAGCCATTGGGACAGAAGATTTATTTGAGAAATATTAAAACAAGAAGACTTGATCATTTTCTCTCACCCATTTCATTTCTTACATGTAATGGCAAATGCATCTCCAAATGAGAGGATCTGTGGTGACTTAGCATCCATACTAGAGAAAGGGAAAAGGAAAAAGCCCTCACACTAGACTTCTGTGTCTAAAGAGATTTATTTAAAAAAATAGTCTTTATGGCTGAATGGAGAGAGGAGTGGGGTGTTGAGTTCCTCCAAATCTGCATCCAGATTGGTGGCAGTTTCCTGAAAAATAGCTTCCCAGTTTTCCATTTTGTGTAGGAAAAGTTTCATCTATGACATGTTAGAGATGCTCCCTTCTTTTCAAGCATTGCAGGACGATGGGTGGAGACCAAGATGTTATTTCTCACCTACACTTCTAAATGTATGTTTTGAGATCTTTGAATACAATAATTGGTTGAGGGGGCTGAGACTATAGGATTGGAATATCTCCTCACTTACTTGAGGTCAGCTAATAAGAGGGATGTGGAGGATCTTATCTGTGATTCCAAGTGCTATGGGGCTATTTAGGCTCAGAAATACATTTATCCAGTTATAATTAGGGAAACAGAAGGAGTTTGGTTTGGTTTCAAGATTGAAAACAAGAAGTAGTTAAAACTACAAAGGTTATACAGGATTTCAGCCAATTCTAAATTGCCTGGCAAATGTCAGGAAGATGGCCTTCAGTTGTTTTCTCTAGTGAAGATCAAAGGCCTCCCATTGATGTGCTTGTGTTTTTGTTTTTGTTTTCCTTCCCCTTGGGATTCTGCATAGGAATGCTAACTCAGATTCTACCGGGGAGGGGAAATAAGTTTCCAATACACAAAAATTCCAACAAAGGGAGAAAGGCCTTTTAAAAAATTAACATAGCTGTGTATAAATGTGTGTGTATGTGTATATATCTATGTCTATACACACATATACATACACTTCAGCAAGTGATATCAATTAATTTACTTATATTCCTCAGAGGAAAGATAGAGCTTAGAATTCAAAAATTCCAAGAAGCAAACATAGCCTTATAGACATCATTAAATGACAGGATTTAGAACTGGACCTCTTAGAGGCCTTGGAATTTACCTCCCTCCCTCTTATTTTGCACCTGAGAAACTGAAGACCTATAGAGGTTAATTGGCTAGCCCAAGCAAGATCATAGAAGTAATAAGTGACTGCTTAGCTTCCAGCCTGTGTCTGCTTACTCCAGATCCAACAGTCTTTCTTCTCTACCACACTGCCTCTCAGTCATGGGAAAGGTCGTAGAAACTCCAGACCGGACATCATGTAATGTATCATGGCAGTTCTAGTTTTCTGGGCCCTACAACAGTGTGGTGGAAATGTTTTAAATGGGGTCAATTTTAGCAAATTCACATCTCCGATTCTAGCCCCTCAGCTAGTCTTGTTGCTATGCTGATAGGGATCATGTCTTAGACCCTCTTGCTTAGGACAATGCAGGCAGGAGATAAATGTATCCTGCTGATTATGACTCATGGTGAAATAAGTGATGTTACTTTGTGGTGTGTTTGTGTGGCTAAGAATGATAGGGAAGTGTTCTAGGGAAGGCTAACTATGAGGAAGGATTCTGAGACCTGGCCCTTTTTTTTTTTTTTAATTTAAATTTTTGGTGAGGCAATTGGGATTAAGTGACTTGCCCATGGTCACACAGCTAGTGCGTATTATGTGTCTGAGGCCAGATTTGAACTCAGGTCCTCCTGACTCCAGGGCTGGTGCTGTATCCACTGTGTCACCTAGCTGCCCCCTGCCTGTCTCTCTTGTCCTTAGGAAGAACCTAGTCTTAAAATGCTTTCTTGGGATTTCCTCAAACTATAACTGCAAGACAGACATGTGTTTGAAATATTAGAGCCATGTGAACTGGATATATAAAAATCTTAGGGATGTGGAGAGATGCCTTGTAACACTTTGTAAAGAAGCATGACTGGGAAGTTCGAAGCTTAGCTAGCTCTGTTTGTAAAAGCTTGTACGTTGCGCCTCAGCATGCAAACATCTCTTAATAATTTCCTGGGAAATAAAAACATAAGTTTTTATTGATGTCTTTTGGTTTTTTACATCACCATTATTTTCCCTAGTCTCTCCTCTCTCCCTCTCCCAGATTGCTATCCAATTCCCTATCTATTGAAGTAGCTGGAAATAAAGCACCATTTTAAACAAAGATGCATTCAAATATTCAGCATTTTGTGCTTTGTGCTGTCTTGTTACCAAAGAGATTCCAAATCTCCTATCCTTTAATAAATATGACCACATTCAAAGAAAAGACTCAAGTGTTTAGAATATAAATCTTGCTAATTGGGTCTGTATTCAATTGGAATTGTTTTTTCTTCTGACAATTTAAGTTCTTGAATATGTAATTCCAACCTTTCCCCCACTGGTTGCTGTTCTATAAAGCATGCATATAGATCTACCCTTGTCTCTGTGTTAGTGGGGAGTAGGGGAAATTGGGGAATGGATAATGCAAACCTAGAGCTGCTGCCATCAAGGAATTCTCCTTGTCCTATGATCCTCCCTCATCCTGGGGTTTCAAAAACACTTTTTTTTTTCAAGAATGTCTTTACTATCTGTGCCTAATAGTAAGCAATCCAAATGGTCAGCCTTTCTCTCTCTCCCACGTACTGATTAGATGAAGAGTGTGAAGTCTGTGAGATATTAACAAGCATTCAAACTAAGAGGCTAAACAATACAAGTGAGGAAAAGGTGACTGGGGACAGATTTGAATAACTGAACATGCCTGAAGATTAAACTTGAGAGAAGTGTATACATGTGTCTTTGTCATAAAATTAGAGAGCTTAGAAAGACATCAATAAAATTTGTATTTATTCTTTACTCTTTTTGCAGTTTCTCAAAGCTTTCACAGACTTCCTGGCTTTTATGGTACTTTTTAACTACATCATTCCAGTGTCAATGTATGTCACAGTTGAAATGCAGAAATTTCTCGGCTCCTATTTTATCACCTGGGATGAAGATATGTTTGATGAAGAAACAGGTGAAGGACCTGTAGTTAACACTTCTGACCTAAATGAAGAATTGGGACAGGTAGGTCAAATAGTAAGCTTAGTAGAACTATGTCAGCTGAATGTTTCCTGCTATTTGAATGAATGTATGCAAAACATCTAGAGAATTCAGTCTTTTTTATTTCCAGTTTCAGTTTACATATGTGACATCATTTAGATATATCTTGTAGCTGATGAAAGATCAGAACCATTTGAAAAGGTGATTATTTGCAGATAAGAAAATGGACAATTTTTTCATGTTTGTAATTTGAAAAAATGTTTTCGTGGCTAGTTTATAGAACATTGAGCTATGGTCCTTATGAAGCATTATTATTTCTTGGCTGTAAGAGTATGAAGGAGAAAAAGAACTTAGGAGGAAACCTGCCTTCTTTCAGAATGCTTACACATTTTGCTCTTTCCAATGTAAATAATTATCTTAGGAGCTTTGGTTCCTTCCGAGGACTAGCTCTTAGGCCTCCCAGCAGCTCTCACTGTGTCAAGCCTCTCAGGCATTTGGGTTACAGCAGAGACTATCTCTAGGAAAAGTTAATAGTCGTTATTAATTTCTTTCCAGGAAGAAGTTCTGAGATGTATTTTTTACAAAGAAAAAAAAAGACCTTTAGGATTATTTGCTAGTTTTCTTCCATTCAGAAGAAGTGATGCCTGAGAAAGTGTCTTTCTCATGAGTTCAAGATAAATTGCTTGCTTGAGTACAGTCTGTACTTTGGTCATTAAGAGCCTTAACTTTTGACCAGAGATAATCTTTAAATCCTATTATGTTGTCCCGCTCTCTCTGTGCTTTGTTCTAATTAACGCTTCTGTTCATTATGTTTTTAATACCTTTGTAAAAATTTTTTCTGTTTCCACCATTTGCTACCGTATGGTCTTTGAAAAATAGATACACAGTGATCCCATGTATAGTACATTGGAGAAATTCACAAAGAAGAAAAACATTTATCAAATTTTTCAGTAATAAAGGTTTCCAAGTTCCACTTATTTATAGCAGTTTTCTACATAAATAAATTTTTGCTTGCGTAAGTAAATTGGACTTCTTCATCTTCCACATGGAGTTTATTATAACAAGATCCTTCATTAAGAGGTGGCAGCTAAACTTTTGATCTCAACTTTAATCCAGTACAAAAAGTATTAAGGGCCAACTATACAAGGCAGTTGCTAACCTTTGATGGGGTGACTAATATGCTGAGACTCTGGGGGACCCAGATCACAAAGAGAAAAAAAGGGTGTCACCTTTCTAACTTAGTACAATGAGGTTAGAACGTTACAGCTTGTTTTTCTCTACTGGCGTGTAATTATTCTCTAGCATGTGAACTAGAAATACATAAGCCCTCGAAACTGCAGTGCCCACCACAGCCTCTTCCTGGGTAAAAGTTTCCTACCTTGGATTGAACACAGCTAAATCTAGCAAGCAAACCACCCATTGAGATAATAACTGTCTTTTGCTCTGAGACATGAGTGTGGAAAAAAAAATCACCAAGTAATTTCTTTCCCAGTGTTTGATCATTTACAAGATTTTTACATAATTAATAGCAATGGAGAAAACAATTATTTCTCTCTTAGTGATTAAAGTTGTTGTTTTGAACTGCACCTAAAGTATCATTATGCTGTCACTTAGATACGAGGATCCCTGCATTTTTAAACATGGCAGTTTAAATGATTTGTCAGATTTCCCTTTATTTGCCCCAGTATGGGTCTGGCAATTCCTTGTAACATTGTGTGAAACACATTCATGGAATCCTGAGATGTCAGAGCTAAGTTGGAAGAGATGTTGGAGATCATCTGGTCCAAAGCCTTCATTTTACAGATGAGGAAACTGACAGTGTAAGAATTGCCAAACTTCCTCAGAATCGGGGTCACATGGTCACATGGTCACATGATCTGCCCCTGACAGGAGCACCGACAATTGTGATGTACGATGGGTTAGGGATATTTCTCCTCCATCCAATTGGCACCTGTTCCCCTCACCAATGCCCCACCATAGGTTTGGGGCCTTCTCTTTTCCCATTGCATAGCCTCTCCCTAGGTGCTGTGTGCTTTTCGTGAGGCATGCTCCTACCCCAACACCATCCTCAATGTTCACAGACCTTTCTCTTTCCCAGTGCCGACCTGGGCTGGAGAAATGACTCACTGTGACATTTTCTTGAATTTCCCCATCTGTATTCAGTCTGATGCAGTCTCTAGATGTGGTTTTGTGGGCAAGCTGAGCCTGACAGCTTTCTGCTACTCTGCTATCTCTGCCCACCTAATGCTTTCATTCTTTATAAATTTCAGTCATATCTTCTCAGCTTTTCTCTGTCCAAAATAAAGCATTGTGATCTTTTTAGCCCATCTTCGTGTAACAACTGTTTTGTCCCCCTTTTTTTTATTAGTTTGGTGGGAGAAGAAGTAGAACAGGTCTATGGAACAAGCTTGGATTTTGCTTAGGCTGCAAGATAGCAGCATGCATTTTTTACCAACTTTAGGAAGATAAAAGCATTGACTTTTTTTCCCCCAATTTTACCTCTTTCTAGGGAAATGCCGATTAATACTAGGCTTTAAGTCAAAGAAACATGTTTATTTTTTTCAGAAACTTTAGACTATTGACAGTAGGTAGGTCACTGCTTTGGGAGGAAATGTTAGAAACCCACCATCACAAGAGCGTATTAGTCTTAAGAAAAGCACACTTGCTACAGTCTCTCAAGAAGGTTAAGTTTAATTCTAATCCTTGATTAGTATGTTTGCTGTATTCCACAGGTAGAATATATCTTCACAGATAAGACGGGAACATTGACAGAAAACAATATGGAATTCATAGAATGTTGCATTGAAGGCAATGTCTATGTGCCTCATGTCATTTGCAATGGGCAAATCCTTCCTGACTCTGGAGGCATTGACATGATTGACTCTTCGCCTGGAGTGAGTGGAAAGGTATGTTGAAATTTGAAAAAAAAGAAAAATAAGCAAACAAATAGGCTCTCTTTATTAGAAGGATGAGGGTTAGTATTGCAGTGGTAAGATAAAATCTTTCTCAAGGAAGTCCAAATGTTGAATAGAGAGGTCCAGCCTCTGGAAGTGTGCTGTTTTTTGCAAAAATCCCCTGCCTTATGTGAGCTGTGTCTCATCTTTTACCTCATTTATGCTAAATGAGAGGGGAAAGTCCATTGTGGGAATTTATTGCCTAAAATTCTCAGATACTACAGTCCTTGAAAATGTTTTACTTAAAATTAAGTAGCTAATATTTCACAGTGACTGTGAACAAAATAAGTAGAAGCAGGATGATTTGATTTGGGGTGACTGCTTTCCTCTATTTCGATTTACTGTCAACAAAGATGAGCACCTGGAATGATAGAAATGAGGGTTAAGCTCCTGGATGTCTAAGGTAAGTGAGGCTCTTTGAAAATGGAGAGGAGAGGACAAAAGGCTATATTGAAAGAAAAATAGCCGTTGAAGCATAATTCTTCCACATCCCAGTGACACGCAGGGGGAGGATCATCTACCTTCCTCAGTCTTTGGCAGAATTAGAAAAACATCTCCCACAGAACCTTATTACAAAGATTGCTGACCTTGTATTCTGAGCCAACTCAGACAAGGACAGTGAAGTCAGTCAATCAACAGGGTGGTGTTTTAAGCTCTTAGTATGTGCTGAGCACCGTATTGAGTTGTGAGTTGAAGGAAGAAAGCAAAAATAGTCATGGGTCTCCTGGAGCTGTTCTAATGGAGGAGAGACCATGTCTATAAATAGGCCCATGCAAGTTGTATGCAGGGTATAAGATGGAAAGTAACCCCGGGAGGGAAAGCAGTATCACTTGGGGGTGAGGGGTCAGGAAACACCTCCCACAGAAGGGATCTGAGTCTGGAAGGAGGCCAAAGATCCTATGAAGCTGGCTTCCTTTTACGAGTCCGTTATGTCACCCTCTCATCAGTAAAAGGAACATGATTCAATATCAAAAAATACTTCTGTTCTCCACATTTTAGTATTGGAAGCTGCAATTCTGCTACAAAAATTCAACAATTGGAGAGAAATAAAGCATTATATGATTTTGACCTGAATATAATAGTAGCATACCAGAGCCTCACAATACTTTGACCTATCTCAGCATCCGTTTTAAGCCAGACTCATCTTAAACTCTACATATCTGTCTGACCACACCTTCTCTGTTTCCTTTCCTGGATCTTTATAGTCCACATAATGCCCACTAACGGGGTGGAGGGTGTCTCCCAGAGGCTCTGTCCTGGGCCACGATCCCTTCTACCAGTAACCTATTTGATTTGGTTACCTGATGGTTCCATTTATCCTCTCTATTCAGATGGTTCTCAGATGTACTCGTCCAGATCTACCCTCTCCTGACCTCCAGTCTCAAATCTCTGATTACCTATTGACATCTCAGACTGAATATGCCTTAGACATCTTAACCTCAACATGTCCAAAACGGACCTTATTATCTTTCTGCCGAAACCCTCCCCTCTTCCTTACTTAGCCATTAAGGTCAAGGGTATCACCATCCTTCCAGAAACCCAGGTTTACAACCCAGGAGTCATCTTTGACACTTCAGTCATCCACCCTCATATCCATTCAGTGATCTAATCCTGTTGTTCCCATTTTTATAAGAGCTCTCATATAATCCTCCTTTTCCCCTCTGACACTGACACCATCCTGGTGTGGGCACTTATTATTCCCTCATGCTTGGATTACTTCACTAGCCTCCTGGTGGTTCTCCCTGACTCAGTTCTCTCCACTCCAGTTCATCCTCCCCTCAGCTGTCAGAATGACTTTCCTGAAGCACAGGTCTGATCCTATCACACCTCTGTTCAACTCCAATGGCTCCATGTTGATTGCAGGGTGAAATAAAAATCCTTTGTTTGGCTTTTAAAGCTCATGGTAACCTGGCCCCTTCATGCCTTTACAGTCTTCTTAGACCTTCCTTCCGTCTGTGTATTTTGTGGTTCAGTAGTACTGGCCTCCTTGGTGTTCCTTGAACGCAATACTCCATCTCCCAACTCTAAGCATTTTCACCGGGTGTCCTTCATCCCTGGAATGTTCTCCTTTATCTCTATCTCTTAGCTTTCCTGTCTAGCTCTAAATCTCAACTAAATCCCATCTTCTGAAAAAAGTCTTTCTTGGGCTTGCTTCATCTTGCCACCTTCCTTCTGAGACTACCCCCCCCATTTAGCATGTCTATATCTTGTTTGTACATAGCTGTTTGCATGTTGTCTCTCCCATTAATAGACTGGGAGCTTCCTGAGAGCAGACCTTTTTTGCCTTTCTTTGTATCCCCATCACATAGTAGGTGCTTAATAAATGCTAGTTGTCTGACTGAACAAGTTAATTTAGTATGGTATAATAAAGAATAATAATGACTTTGAAGATAGAGGACTTGAGTTCAAACCCTGCCCCTGTAACTGCCTTTATGACCTTCAACAAGTCAGTGAAACACTCTGAGCCTCAATTTCCTCAGAGGTGAACTAGATGACCTCTGAGGTTCCTTGTAGCTTTGAATCTATGGTCCTGGCATTGTTAATGGAAGAACATCGTTACCACACTGCTTCACTTGTAATGCTAACCTGCAGTATGGGCGATGTTCTAGCAAGACTTCATATTGTATTATTGTAATATTGTAGGTTAACAGACATGTGCTGGAATTCCTTAGAGACTCTTGAAAAAGTTTTCCTTAATTCATTCTTATTCTTTTTAGTCATTCTCCCTTTTATATGTAAGCACTCTTAAAGACATGCTTCTTCATTTTTTGAAAACATCAGCGATAAACTCTTATTTCACTGAAGTTCTAGGATTTTTTTTTGTCTTTAAATTTCCAATGATCTTATGTGTTTATATATCCTTCATTTCACAATCTATGATCTGTCTCTTCTTTATCCCAGAGAGCCATCCTTCATAACAGGGAATAAAAAAGAAAAAGAATTTAGCAGAACCAACCAAAATGGCAATTAAGTCTAACATTATATACAGTTTTCTATACCTGAAGTTCTATAATTGTTTATCTCCATTCAAATGATTGTGAAGATATCTAAAAAGAAAACAAGCATAATTAAATTCCACCTTATAGCCGTTAAAAACTAAACATGAGTTTTGATGTTTATTACTTCATAAATAATTGTCCCTTGTCCTTTGTTGCTTTTGGTTACCTTCTTTTGATTTTAAAGCTATCTGACTGTAGGTTTTTGTTGTATTTTATTGTCTGTCTTATATTTTGATAGGAGAGAGAAGAGCTGTTTTTTCGGGCTCTCTGTCTTTGCCACACAGTTCAAGTGAAGGATGATGTCCTTGTAGATGGAGCCAAAAAATCACCTGATTCATCAAGATCTTGCATATATATTTCATCATCACCAGATGAAGTGGCGTTAGTTGAAGGCATTCAAAGGTAAGTACAGTTGGCATCGTTTTTGGATTTGAAAGTATACAGATTTTATTGAAGGAATTTCTGCATTTGGTAGAATGTTACATTAGATGACCGCAAAGGTTTCATCCAACTTTAAGATCCCAGAATTCTACATAAGACCCCAAGTTTGAGTGTATTCCTAAATTATTGTGTGAGAAATGTTCTTCCATGGACTTCTATTATGATTTTGAAAATGGGTTCCAATGGAGAAAATTGCCTTCAGCATCTAATAAGAATCTTACATTATTGTTCAAGGACATTCCTTAGATGATATGCCCTTTGTCACTCTGAAGACTAGGTGTGTGTTTCCCACACAACCCCTACTAACTTAGCTAGAAGGAATTTTCTTTATTCTGAGGCAGAACCATTGTTTTTTAGTTGTGTCCAACTCTTTGTGACCACATTTTGGGGTTTTCTTGGTTTTCTTCGCCAGTTATTTGTTTTTTAAACAGATGAAGAATTGAGGTAAGCAGGGTTATGTGACTTGCCCAGGGTCACACCGCGATAGATTTTAACTCACAAAGATGAGTCTTCCTGACTCCAAGCCTGTTACTCTATCTACTGCACCACCTTCCTGACTAAGTGAAACATTAGGTATGTAAATTGGATCAGTTGTTGGGATTTATTAAAAATATTAGAAATTTAAACCTAAAATAAATGAACATGCTCCAACAAGGCATTTTGCTTAGGAAATGGATTCCCAGATGAAAAACTAAATGTATTTCAGCCATGCAAACTGGTTCCAGTCCAAAGAAAGAAGAGCAGCTAGGAGGTACAATGGATAGAACACTAGGTGTGGAGTCAAGAACATCTGTGTTCAAACCCAGGCTCAGACACTTACTATCTGTGTGAGGGTAGGCAGGTCACTTTACCCAGTTTTCCTCAGTTTTCTCATCTGTAAAATGAGCTGGAGAAGGAAATGCAAACCACTCCAGTATCTTTGCCAAGAAAACCCCAAATGGAGTCACAGAGATTCAGACATGACCAAAACAACTGAACAAAATGAACAAAGAAAGAAGGGAGACAGTCCAGTGATCTACTGGAGTGGAATGAGCATGACTCTTAGAGCCCGGTTGAGTCCTTCTCCTGACTCCACTGTTAACCAACCTTGTGACATGAGCCTCTTATACCATGTGGTTGGACTAAATGATCACTAAGGTCTCTACCAGCTCTGACTTTATATTCAAAAATAATTCAAGAACAAGGAAGAAAGAATTATAATAAAAAGAGAGATAATCAGTCCAAAATGACGTATGCTTTATCAGCTGCATCATCTTTACCACAGGAGATAAGGTGGTAAGAGCATTACGAAAGATTTTGTGTAATACTGGTGAATTTGGGGATGTGCTAAAGGGGAACACGGAGTGGTTTCATATATCAAAACATTATTGTGCAGGTTATAGCCTCAGTTTTTTCAATATTCTTTCCATTTGAAAAGCAAACCTCCCCAGAGGTTTCATAATTCTCCCCAGAGAAAAGCAGGATTCATCTTCTCTTACTTACAAATTCTGAAGTCCTTCTATAATTCCTGAATTTCTCCTTTTACTATTTATAGGCTTGGTTTCACATACCTAAGACTGAAAGACAATTACATGGAGCTGTTAAATAGAGATAATGATATTGAGAGGTGAGTATACATTCAAATGTAGAAGAGGAAAAAAGGGGTGAAAACAGAATTTTTTTAATGAGTCTGGTAGCAATTATTGAACTTTAACCAACAATTATTAAGCAACTACTTTATGCAAGGCATTGTCATTAGATGGGCCAGGTTCAAGGACCTTGCCCTCAAGGAATTTACATTCTTTGGGGAGATATGGCATGTACACAGATAATTAAATACAAAGCAGTATAGAATAATTTCTGGAGGGAAAGAGGATTAACAATTGAAGGAATCAGTAAATGCTTAGTGTAGGAAGCAAGTCAGGGATTCCAAAGGGCAGAGGCAGGAGAAAGTACAATCCAAACATAGGGGACTGTCTGTGCAAAGGCAGGAAATGGGCTGTCATCTGGAAGTAACCACTGCATAGCAGGCAGTTGAACTGGAATGGAAAGGCATGAGGAGGAGCAACTTGAAATTAGATTAGAAAGGTGTGTAAGAGTCAGATTGTGAAGAGCCTGAAATGCCAAGCTAAGGATTTTGTATTTTAAAGTATTAGAATTGCCATTGAAAACTTCACAGTTGGGCACGAGATGGTCAGATTTATGTTTTAGGAATAGTTAGAATTCCGCCCTGTCCTAAATCCCATCCATACCCCTCCTCTCTTCCCTCAAACTACCCACCGCCGCCACCACCAAAAAAAGTTCTCTTAAGTTTTCATTGAAACATCTTGACAGTTTTATATGATTTGAGTATGTGGGGAAGAGAGAACTATGGATGGAAAGCAGTGTCGTGCATTGGAAAGAAGACACTCGATTTAGAGAAAAAGGACTGAGTTAGAATCTGAGCTCTGCCAGCTAAGGTGGGATCTTGAGCGAGTCAAGTGTGGGTTGGACTAGATGACTTGTAAAAACCCTTCTATCTCTAAAGTTCTTAACCTTTTTTGGGGGGGAGGGGTTACCTTTTTTGAGACCCCTTTGGAAGTCTAGACTACTCAGAATAATGTTTTAAAATGCATAAAATAAAACACAGAGGATTACAGGGAAAATCAACTGTTTGGAAAATGGTTATGCTAATGATAGAAACTCTGATTCTCTAAAGAAAGAAAATATTGATATAATTGCTATAAAACTGTGATTAGAGGTTCTGGTTTTACATTGATCTAGTCATTTTAAAATGCTCCCAAATTTTTTAAAATACAACTTTTTAATGAAGGAAAATGGTTTGGTGTTGTATGGACCTCAGATTTCATCAATGTAGGCAAGCTCCCTGTGGAGAAACTCCCTTTATTGATGGACGTTGGCAACTGTATATAACGTAATCTTAGAGAACTGCCTGAGGCAACTGAGAGTTTAAATGATTTGCTTATAGTCACACAGCTAATATGTGTCAGAAGCAGGATTTTGAGATATGCAATCAGAATTTCCTTAGTTTTCAGAGATTAGGGTAAATTACAACTACTCCTTTGTAATCTTGTCCCATTGCAGATAAACCAAAAGAAAAGGTATAGGTGAATAATTGCCTCTGTCACATAATACAAACAAATGAACTGAAGAGATATGTATATAGGGACCTTTAAACCTGAATTTTGAGTAACACATCTATTGGAGAAGATTTTTCTGTTAAAACAGGGGAAGTGACTCTTTCCAAATTCCTACCCAGGCTCCCATATCTTAAATGATATTCACTTACCCTTAAGTCCTTGAAAAATTAACCTCTGATTAACCTATGATTTCATATCATATCATTATAAGTGTAGGAGGGAGGTAATAGTGGCGTGTAATGCTGAGTAAAAACCACTTTAGTGCAATTAAAAAAAATAAACCCTTACCTGTTGGAACACATTCTATACTTGATCTTAATACAGTACAGAATAATACTTAATCCACTTAATATTTAGCACAGACACCTTGGCCTTGCATTTAAGGCTCCCTACAGTCTGACCTCACATTACCTTTCTAGTCTCATTTCACATTGCACACTGGAGAAGGAAATGGCAAAGCATTCAGTATCTTTGCCAAAACAAAAAAAACAAAAAAAACAAACCTCCCATGGACATGGTCCATGAGATCACAAAGAGTTGAACACGACTAAACATCCCTAGTACAGACACTTAACTTTTAATTGAACTAAATATTTTTGGTTTCATGTTAAGCTGTTACATAATTAAATGATAAAGAGGGCTAATACATACCCATTTTTCCCCTTCAGGTATGAATTATTAGAGATTCTGACTTTTGATTCAGTGAGGAGAAGGATGAGTGTTATTGTCAAATCTACTTCAGGTAGAAAAATCTTGTTTCATTCTTTATTCAAAGTTACATGAAGGTTGAATTTTTGTTTTTATGATTGAGTTCTGTAGGACCTACTTATGCCTTTCCTGACTGTGAAGACTAAATTTTCATTCTTCTTAAGATCTATGAAAATAGTCCCTGCTTGAAAACTGATTTTATAATCTTGAGAGAAATTTAGTTTTAAACTTTTAATATTTTATGATGAATGCAAGAGTCAGTTCTTTCTCTCCTGTCTTCAAAATCTTAATATTCTGAGAATACTTAATTATCTCTGGCTTTCCTTAAATTGTTTTTAGTAAATCTGAATATTTAAAAAATTTCTCCATAATAGAATTTTTTTTCTATTTGAGATTTTTGTAGTCCTTTTCTTTTTTCTCCTATTAAGAAGACAAATTTAAAATGATCGCCTTTAAAACAAGTCGGAAAAGACAATTCAAGATGCAAATGTTAGTGTCTCTGTAAAATACCACTAAATGTTATCAGCAAAAGAAGTCACATTAATCATTTGACATTTTACAGTGATGTTTCTTTGCATGAGCACAATTTGATCAATCTTCCTTTTTGTGTGTTTGTGTGTGTGTATGTATAGATACATATGTATATACACATATATACATACATTACCCATCTCCATTAATACTTAAAGTTGTATGAAACATACAAATCAGATCTTGTTGCAACACACTTCAAAGGAATGGCCAAATCCTTGCGCTGGACTTTAAAAAATCAAATATTTGGAAAGAATGGTCCATTCCCCTTTGTTTCTTTCTACAGAGGATTCTGATATAACTCATTCATTGTAAAAGTGTAAACCTATTCAGTGCATATTCGAAGTTTTCTGTGTATGAACAAAATGTTTTGTTTTGCTTTTTGAAAAACATCCAGCTTTTGAACTTTCAGCATGTGCTTATCTTCTTTTCTGATTAACTGTGCCCTTTGCTTTTCCTCCTTTCTCTACCTCCTTCCTCAAGGTCATTTCACTGCCCATTAGTAGCACCTCCACTAGAGAAAAAAGACAGAGGAGACAGGAGATGAAATGCAAACTAGTTAATTTTGTTTCTTGTTCCCTTAAGTTTAGAAGGGAGCAAAGTTAAAATGTTTTTCGTTTCTTTTTTTTCTGGATAATCTGTGAATTTCATTTATCCCTGTCTCCCATTCCCACACCTAACCAGAACTTGATTGTACATTAGCCAATCTTTGAAATTCACTGAAATGTCCTTTGTGATTGTTTCTGACCTGCTATGTCTTTTCTTTGAGCATGTCTACAGAATGCTTTAAAGACTTTCATCACAGTGTGGTGGAACCTTGTTTTGTTATTAAAGAGGATAGTTAGAATTATCCATTTAGATTCTTCCCCACTATTTACTGAGTTTATAAAGTATGGACAGAAACACCAGCACATTGTGTTTTAAGGCCAGGTGTGTTATTATGATTTGCTTTCTCATTCTGCAGGGGACATCTACCTATTTTGCAAGGGAGCAGATTCTTCAATATTTCCAAGAGTAACTGAAGGCAAAGTAGATCAGATACGATCCAGAGTGGAGCGCAACGCAGTGGTGAGATGATGCCTTGAGTATGCATTAGGCTTTTTTAGGGCCAAGCTGAGTTGCCATAAGGAAATTTTTTTTTTTTTCTGGTCATATTAGAGTCTGAAAATTCCAAACATTGCCCAGAATAGGTATTATGGTCACTGGATGGGTAATTTAGAATGGGGAAACTCATCATACAGGACAAATAGTTATTCAGTTATTTGATGGGGGGGGGTGGAGAGGTGGTGGTTAAGGAACCATTCTGCACATTATTTATCTATGATATACAGGTTGGAGCCCTGGAGCTAAGAAATGTCGGGTCTAAATGGGTTTCAGATTAATTAATTTTAAAAAATAGGATAGAGCTTTTTTTTTTTAACCTTGAAAACATTTTAGTCATTTTTTCTTCTTAATACTATTTTGTTCATTTTTTTCTTCAACCTCTGCGTGTATTTTTTCTCCTTTCAATTTTTAAGTAAAATGGATAGATGAAGACTTCCTAACAAACAATTGAGTCTCTACCAGCATATCATAAAAACTGGTCTTTCCTTTCACAAAGGTCTGGCTTTTCACCTTTGTGATCTTTTGTGGGGCGGAAGCACCCCATGTCCTGTACCCCTGTCTTCCTTAATCCATGAGCCATCCATCTTCATCCCAGCAAAGACAGTTTTGGGGTTCATCTAACTCCCAGATAGTTTATGGTTCTTTATCTGAGAACCACCTTCTTCAAATGACATCTGTGCTCAGGAGTGTGTGGTCATATCCTTCTCACCATCACAAGTAAGGGAATTCTTTTCAAAGGCCTTCAATCCACAACAGCTATCTCACCTCACACCTTTTCGTCGGTAACTGTGGGGATCTCTTTGTCTTAGAAATTTAGAAATTGACGGTTGTGGTATGAAATTTTAAAAAAATTACTATAAAAGAACATTTTAGCCAAGAAAATCTCAGTGGGAAGTTCACCAACATCCAGTAATGTGTATTGATCAGTCGGGTACTAAGTACCTTCTCTAGGCTAGGCAGTGGGAATGCCAAGGTAAAAGAGAAACATCTCTTACCCTTGAAGAGTTTGTATTCTGTCAGCATTTGCACAAATGTGAATACGAGATGATGTTAGAAGAGATGCACTGGCAGCTGGAGGAGTTGGGGACAGCCTCATGGAGAAGACAGTGGTTGAACTGAACTGTGAGGGAGGAGAATATTTGATCCTGGATTACATCTTATAGAGGAAGGGTCGTGCAGGGGAAAGAGGCCTGGCTTAGGGCTTTGGAAGACTTCCGGCAATATGACTTTTACCTGCTGCCTGTGTAGCCTAACCCTATCAACTCCCTCCTCCTGGCTTTGGTTCCTCAACTGTAAAGTGAGTAAGTTGTGCCAAGTCATCATTAAGCTCCCATAGAGTTCTAACTCCTATGAAAGTGTTGTAGAAGGAGTCAGAAGTGCCTTTGATCTTCATACTGAGTCTAGAATGGAGCTCTCAGAGTCAGACAGCTCTTAAATGTCACTTGCAGAGTTTTAATCCAGGTCTTCCTCTGTTCAAGTCACATTGCTGCTAACACTTTTTTTTTTTTCTTAACATTGATAAGCCCAGAAACCCTAAGCCTACACACTATTCATTGGCCCATCAGTTCAAGAGCCATTACTCATTGAGGCCACAAGGTGGAACCAGTACGATTTTTGCTGTTGTTTTACGGACCCAGCCAGCTGTCAGTTCCTACAACTATGCCACCATTTTCTTAGCAAATCAACATTTATGTTATAAACTATAAATAAATATATATACACTCTCATATATAACTACTTTACAACTAGTTTATGTCTAGTTTAATAATATAAAATACTCTATAAAGTAGTTATACACTAGTTTAAACTAGTTTAAACTGTGTCTAGTTTATATAAAATTATATATAACCAATACTTTTTATATATACACATACACATAACTAATATCAATGGCCAAATAGAATACTTCATTAAAAATTACTTGTGGAATACTTAGAATTTAATAATAAATCCTATTTTATAGTATTCTGGGGTTTATGGGGTACTTTTCCTCATAACAATTCTCTGAGAAATATATTATTAGTAATTCCCATTTAACAATTGAAAAGAGCTTAGAGAGCTGTAGTTACAAAGCTAGTTATTATCCAACTTAAGACTAGAATCCAAGCCAAGGCTCTTGACTTCATGTCCAGTGTTCTTCCCACTACATATATAGCAAGTTGTTTCTCTACTTGGAATTTTTAGAGCTGGTAGGAACCTTAGGGAACAAAAGTGGCTTATAAGGAAGTCTTTCCTGACTAAATTGTACTAAGATTCCTGACTGTTCTCCCGCAAATAACAAACTTAGAAGGTTCTGCTAGACTAATTTGCAAAGAATTCTTCTATTCAATACTTAGACTTCTGACTTTGTTTCCCAAACTTCTTTGAAGCTAAGTTCTTCAGGACTTCTGGCTGGAAACCTTCTTTAAGTAATCACCACATCCATCTCTCCAGCTGAAGTCAGAGTGTGGAATTAGGGGATTGGGAATGGGCTGGAGGTTCTCCTCTATTGAAAGACTGCTGGATTTGGAGTCAGAATACCTAAATTGAAATCCTGCCCACTGGTGTGGACCTTGAACACATCACTTAATTTTTCTCGATTTCAGTTTCCACAGCTGTAAAAGGAGGAAGTTAGAACAGATAACCATGAAAGTCTCTTATTCCTCTAAATCTGTGATCTTATGAAAAGATAGACAGAAAACTTATGGAAACCATGACTGCTCTTTCTTCTTTTCTCTCATTACTTTATGTTACTGTCAGGAAAGCTTTTGTGAAAGAGCCCACATGTCCCACTTGCTGCTAGGTTTTCTCTTATTTAAGGGATATGCAGGCCTATTTTTACTTATTTGTTTTAATTTGTTTATTTACTTATTTGCAGTTAACAATAATTTTCTCTCTCATATCCACCCTCCTGCCTTCTATTGAAAATAGAAAAAAACCCAAGTATTCATATTCAAGCAAGATTTCCCTCACTGGTCATATCCAAAAATCATATATCTCATTTTATACCCATATAGGCTTATTCTTTCTTTCTCTCTCACTCTCTCTCTCTCACTCTCTCTCTCTCTCTCTCTCTCTCTCTCTCTCTCTCCCTCTCTCTCTCTTTCTTTCAGGGTCGCACAGCCAGTAAGTGAAGTGTCTGAAACTGGATTTGAGCTCAAGTCCTCCTGACTCCAGGGCCGGTGTTCCATCCACTGTGCCATCTAACTGCCCCCATATAGGCTTATTCTTTTTTTTTTTTTTTTGGTCATATAGGCTTATTCTTAATGAGCTTGTGGCAAACCTCATTTGCTAACCAACAGTTACTTTAAATAGATTACAATATAACCACTTTATAACCTCAGCTCTGCTGGGAATCGATAAGACTTGTGGACTGGGAATAGAGTGATTTCTTATCATTTATACAAATGTTTATCATCAGAGGCTATTGTAACTTGTAAAGCTATCTAATAAGGCTTGGGATGGAGTTGCCCATCGGTGTTGGTGGGGGAATTATTCGCATTGATGAAATTAGGGATCCTTGGAGCTCAGCACATCTGTATGTCTGTATCTGAGCTATTTTGCATGGTAAAGAGCTTTTGAATAGATGTTGATAGAGTTATCCTTGACAGGATAATGTGGACAGGAATCCAAGGAAAAATAAGAAGCTTGTGTTTGTCCTTTGGGAGAGACAGTTGTCTTTGAGGAGTGCATTAAAAACAATATTGCACAGATAATGAAACATTCTTCCTTCGGGAAGAGAAGCGGAGAATGACTAGAGCTTCTAGAAGGTTGCACACTTGTTAGACGTGCACTATTCTGTGTGTTTTTGCTCAGTTGTTTTTCTTTGTTACAGAGAAGGGTTTAGTCCAGACAGGGTCAAAGTGGGGTGTTTTTTATTTTTCCAAAAATGACTAATATAACGAGAAAGGGCATCAATAAAATTTTATTTTATTTTAAGTAGAAGCAGATAATGGTATAGTGGCTAGAGTCCTCATCATGGAGTCAGGAAGATTCGAGTTTGAATCCTTCCTCAGACTCTTACTAGCTTTGTGACCTTAACCTCTCTGAGTCTCTTGTTTCTGCATCTGTAAAATAGGGATAATAGCATCTACCTCACAGGGTTATTGTGAGGATCAAATGAGTTTATTTACATAAATAAAAAATACTTTGCAAACCTTAAAGAGTTTCACACATATTAGCTATTATTATGATTAAATGGATGGCCAAACTCTATTCTTCTCTCACTTGAGGTGACCATTGCCCTGTACAGATTTTTAAACATTTGAGACAAGTAAAGTAGCCTATTTACAGAATGATTTTGTTACTCATAATCAAATCTTTCTCCCCACAATGAGAAAAACTGGAGATAATCATACTGAAATACTTTCTGCTTGAAGGAATACTGGTCCTATTTTTTCCTCCCTGTATTACCCCCTATTACTTTGAGAGGGAGGTCATTTGTGAAGTACAAGGAAGTTAATGGAACTAAAAGAGTAATCCAGTATGTTCTATCTGAGCAGCTTCTGAGTCAGAAACCCAGGCCCTCAACTTTGCTATTTCTTCATCTTATATTATTACATTATGCCAGATTCCTAAATGCAGATACTTATGTAACAGAAGCTACAGGCACAAAATTTGCTGTGCCATATTTCCTGAGTTTTTGTGCTTTTTGCAGAAGTGACAACTCAGAAATATGTTTCTATTTTCCTTTATTAATCTTACTTTGTAACATTAAAAATCTCTTAAGATAAATTCTATATATCAAAATCATGTAACAGAAGAAAAGAAAGGTCCTCATTCCTTTCAGTTTCTACCATAAGACTTTAGGATTCCTAGAAATCTGATAACACTGCTGTGTGAGGGAGGCAAAAAACCATTTGTTTTATAACAGTTCCTACAAGTAATGAGAAACAGATTGTTTTACCAGTAGTTTGGAAATATAACATCCTTCCAAACTCTTTTTAAAACATACTTAGACATATTTTTCTTCTCAAAAGCTAACATGGATTAAGTGGTATCTTGCAGGATATGACAGGGTCCATTAGGACATACATGGACCTCAGAAGTCCTTTACATTTCCAGAACCCTGTGAACCTCTAAATATCTGGAGCCTTTTTACAGTCTTGTAAAATACTACTGGGGAATAGACACTGGAAAAGAACTACTATAGTTTTATTTGTAAATTTTAGAGCTTAGGTTCCAAAAATCAATGGCACAGAGATAGGATGGGGTGGGGGTGGGGGGGCAAGGCCAAACAGCAATTCTTTTTTTGAGAAGTTGGGAGAAACCTGCAGGTTTTGGTGGACTGCGAGCCCAATATCAATTAACAGTGTAATGCTAATTGGATTTTTGGCTTCATCACCTCAGTACATCAAGAATCTGTGGTTTCGTTGGTGTAGACACTCTCTCTACTATGTCAGGTGCCATGGTCATTTATTTAGTCCAAAGAGAGATTTGAACCCAGGTCTTCCAAACTGTCACTTTTTCCACTATACTGCGCTGCCTTTCAGTTAAAATTCATTATTAGGAATTTAATATTCAGAGTGAGAAGCAGTCTACTATGGTGGATAGAATGCCACCCTGGGAGTCAGAAAGACCTGAATTCACATCCTTCCTCTGATGAATACTGGTTTATAGGACGATTGATTGAAGGAAATAAAGATGTTTATTCTGAAGTAGAGAATACTTGGGGGTCATACAAGTAATTTTCAAATCATAAATTTAGGAAGAAGGTGAATTAGGAGGGGATCTATCTCAGATGTCATCAAGCCCATGACCCCACTGCTTAGGACTCTCACTTCCAACATCTTGTACAGATAGTCATTTAGCATATGCTCTAAAGACCAGGAAATCATTGCCTAACCAGGTAACCCAATCCATTTAGGGGCCATTTCAATGGCTAGGAACTTTTCTCTTATGTTGGTAAAATTAACTTCCACCTATTAGTCCTAGTTTGCTCTCTGCCCAGAGCAGAACAAGTCTAATGCTTTATCTATATGAGAACCCTTTAAGGATTGTAAATGTTACTTTCATGGCCTCCCTACACATTCACTTCTCTAAGCTAAACATTCCCATTTCCTTCAACTGTTCTTCATAGGATGTACTCTCAAGATTCCTTACCATCTTCATCCTCTTCCTCAGAAAGTGTTCCAGCTTGGCAATGACATTTTCAAATGTGGTACCCAGAACTTGACATAATACTCCAAATGGGTATTTAGAGTTTCAGGATCATTCAATTTCACCCCAAAGGAAAGAACTATGACCACAAAGTAGAAGTTACAAGCAGGCAACTTCTGATTCTATATAAGTAGAGACTTCGCTTCAATTAGAGCCATGCATGGATTTAATGGTCTGCCTTGAGAGATTTAGTGAGATTTCCTTCGCTGGAGATACTTGAGCAGGAGCTAGGAACTGCTTTCTGGGGTTATTGTGGAGAGAATTTGTGCTAGTTTAGGTTGGGTTAGGGTTGGGACCACAAGAATTGATTCCATTCTGTACTGTTCTTCCAAGGGCCTCTGGATGCCCTCCAACACATTTTTCACAATTTATTTATAAGCACCACCCTTGTGAACAAGTTGTTTGGCCTTTATAGCAGCTTGCCTAAATTCAGTGGCAAAGCCAGGATTTGAACTTGGTTTTTTAGACCAAAAGTATGATGTTCTTTCCAGTACATCATTACTGCCTCTCACAATAATTTGCAAACTTTAAAATTAATGCGGTCCTGCAACATGTAAAATTCACTCATGAGTGGAGGACGATCCCCAAGTCTCCCCTGCCCCACTGTTAATGCTTGCCTTCCTCCCCCAAACCCAGAGAATGTAAACTCCTTCAGGGCAGGGAGTTTCATTATCTTTGAATCTTTTCTTAGTCATTTTAATTATATATACAGTTATCCATTCTACACCCTGGCTTTTCTCATTGGGGTTTCAATACATCAGGCTGTAGGTAAGCATAAGAAATTAAATGAGTTTTACGGAAGCTTCAGACAACATGAAAAGGCCAGCAGAAAACAACAAAAAAAGTTTAGAAACTCAGAAATGCATAAAATATATGTATAGTATTGTATAATATCAACCCAAATTTTACCAAAAGTACTATAAACACCTCATAAAAGAAAAAGAAAAAAATCCAGACTTCCTTCTTTGGTAAGAAGGGAGGGCCAAAATATTATATGCAGATTCTCCAGATTGCAGGAGTGCTGTGCCCCTAACCCCCCTGATGTGTAAGAGATAACTATCATTAAGTGGAAGGGAAAAGAGGATTAAGAAAGATAATAAAAAAATAATTTTGCAACAGGCTACCCTTTCAGGTTATAGTTTACGTGATATTTGTTTTTGGATGTATCTTTCAGGAAGGGCTGCGAACTCTATGTGTTGCCTATAAAAAACTCACCCAGGAAGAATATAATGAGGTTTGTGAACTTCTGCACGAAGCAAAAGTGGCACTTCAAGAACGAGAAAAGAAATTGGCGGAGGCATATGAGCTTGTTGAGACAGACCTTACTCTGCTTGGTGCTACAGCTGTTGAGGACCGGTTAAGTACCGTATTTATTTAATCTTTTTTTTTTTTTTTAATAACACATATTGGTCAAAAAAGACAACTTGAGGAACACATTTGTTTGTGTCTTTTTCCCCTAAGAAGAAGGTGGAACTTTAACTGTCATTAACACAACTGTGCCTGTATCACACAGATAAAGTCCATGAGATTAGATAAGATTCTATCACTATTAGCCAGTATAGAGAAACTGGGACAGACTGATTAAAAGATTCATTTGATAGACTCCTACATAGGCATTTGTTTGAACTAAACAAAATGATAACATACCTGGAATTTCATAATTTATATAGTTTTCAGCAGCTCACTTTTTGTTGTTGTTGTTATTCAGTTGTTTAGGTCATTTCTATTTCCTTCTCCAGCTCATTTTACAGTTAAGGAAACTGAGGCAAATAGGGTTAAGTGACTTGCCCAGGGTCATAAGTGTTTGATGTCAGATTTGAACTGAGGTATTCCTGACTCCAGGCCCAGTGTTCTATCCGCTGTACCTCATTTTCACAGTATAGAGTTGTGTGATAGACTTACTTATTTATTTGTTTGTTTGTTTGTTTGTTGATTTATTATTTTTAGGCAATTGGAGTTACGTGACTTGCCCAGGGGCACACAGCTAGTAAGTGTCAAGTATTTGGTCTGAGGCCAGATTTGAACTCAGGTCCTCCTGACTTCAGGGCCAGTTCTCTACCCACTGTGCCACCTAGCTGCCCCTTAGGCTTTTTTTTTAAAGCATATTTTTTACAATAGAAATATTAACCAGGAAGCTTCTTAAGGTTCAAATCTTTTTTTATTATCAACTTAACAATCATCAGTAAACTTGAATATTTAACCTTGCAAAAAGCAACTTATTATTAAGAGTGTTCTGGGGGCAGCTAGGTGGCACAGTAGATAGAGCTTTGGCCTTGGAGTAAGGAGTACCTGAGTTCAAATCTGGCCTCAGACACTTGAGACTTACTAGCTGTGTGACCCTGGGCAAGTCACTTAACCCCGATTGCCTCACTTTAAAAAAAAAAAAGAGTGTTCTAAAACTGTATTTTGGGACACTACAAAACCATAAACTGTTGTATAGCTTTGGTTTTATTAAATAGTTTAAATTTAATATAATAATAACAATTATCCTGTTTGATTGTATCCCTTTCTGAGCTTATTTTTTTCTGGGTTTTTTAATATTTTATTGATGCTTTTTGAGGAGCAGACATCTCTTATCACTGCACACTAACTTCAACTCAGCCTCCAGAAAAAATTAAAAAAAATAAGCCCTCCCTTAGATAGTCAAGCAAAACAATTCGAGGTATTAGCCACATATTAAAATACAGATCTCATGCTGTATCTCGTCTGTCACCTGTGTACAAAGACGTGGGTGGGCATGTTTCATTATCAAACCTTTAAAGTTTGTGCATTGACCAGAATTCTTTAGTCTTTCCAAGCTGCTTTCCATCCCATCACTGTGGGCCTCGTGTGCATCGTTCTCCTGGTTCTGCTCAACCTGCTCTGTATCACTGGGAATATACCATGTTCATCATTGCTTATGACATAATGATATTCCATCACGTTCATTTAACACATTTTTTTTTTTGTTTTGTTTTGTTTTTTGGTAAGGCAATTGGGGTTAAATGACTTGCCCAAGGTCACACAGCTAGTAAGTGTCAAGTGTTTGGTCTGAGGCTGGATTTGAACTCAGGTCCTCCTAACTTCAGGGCCAGAGCTCTATCCACTGCGCCACCTAGCTGCCCTCATTTAACACAGTTTTGAACAAGATGCCGACACGTGACTTTTTTTGTTTTTTTTCTGTTGAGTTATGGACATGAATGTTTGTTTAGTCTTTACTCATAATGCATGGGTGTGTCTCCGTGTGTGTGTGTGTCTGTGTGTGTGTGTGTGTGTGTCAGAGTGTAGGGCATAGAGCTGACCTTGGATGCGAGGTCATCTGGGTTCAGGTCCCACTTCTGGAATAGTGGCTGTGTGACCCTGGGCAAGTCATTTACCTGTCAGAGCTCCAGGTAAGTGTTAGAGACTGTCAGCTGCTGACAAGGCACTGACCTGAATTGGTAGAGAGAGTTGCCTATATCAGTGAAGTCACAGGTCTATCCAGATAGACAGATATCCCCCCCCCCCCAAACACAGACACACACACACACACCCCGCTGTCTCAGAAGTCTTAGTGTAGTTTTAAACTTTTTTAGCTTAAAATACTTTAGGGAAATCCTGCATGCGTGTGTGTGTGTGTGTGTGTGTGTGTGTGTGTGTGTGTGCGCACGCTTTCACCAATGTGAGGATTTCTGTCACTGGTACAACCCAACTCCTCTTTCTTCCTCTTCCCTTCTCTCTCCCCTTCCCCAAACCCACCCCAGTAGACAGGTTTCATGAGTCCTTTTGACCAAAATATTCATACCTTGATACTGGCCACCTCTTGATGATAAATCTTTCCATATTCATTCCACGTGGTCCTCAGACTCCTGATATGCCACCCAGACCTTACTTGAAGTTTTCCTATCTTGGTATAGGGGCATCCTGGTTGTACAATGGTTAGAGCACTGGGCCTTGAATCAGGAAGACCTGAGTTCAGAAACTTACTAGCTGTTGTGTGACCTGAGACAAATCACTTAACCCCTGTTTGCTGTCATTCCTTAGTTGTAAAATGGGGACACATTGGAGAAAGAAACAGCAAACTGCTCCAGTACTTTTGCCAAGAAAAACCCATGGGTAAGTCCATGGGTCACAAAGAGTTGGATGTGACTGAACAACAACAAAAATCTTGGTGTAGGACCTGCCTTAATCTTCTTATAATCTTCTGCCATGGCTTTTGAGACCCCTCAGAATGTATACATATATATATAGGTATGTACATGTGTACATCTATGTATGGACGATGACTTTATCAGTATATGGTCTTAATTACAATTTTAAAGCAGGAGATTGCAAGTAACAAAATAGTATTCTCTGAAAATCCCAACTGCAAATCGTCATATTTTGCAAAAGTAACTGCTCACCTCTTACAAAAATGATATAACTTGCAATATTTTTAAGTCTTTGTTAGGCTATAAGAAATGGCTGTTGAGTCACATTTTTTAGTTTCAAGATGTAGAATGAAAGAAGTAGATTGGAATTCATTTAGAAATAATGAAGAAAAAACTGAAAATATACAGTGAATTGAAAAGCATGAATAAAAAGCTGAAAAAAGTTACCACTTGGGTTTTTTCTCTGGAAGTGATTATAATCAGAGGGCTGGAAGTAACTTTGATTCAGCTTAGGCCAAACCCAGTCTCCACCAAGGACTTCCCCCATGAGAACCCAGTAAGATGAGTTGATAAGCATCCCCCCCCCAAAAAAAAGTAATGCCCAATGTAGAAATGACAGTCTAACACTTGGAAAAAGTCGAGGCTAAAAGAAGAAATAGTTTTCCTTCCTTAGTGTTTTGGTCCCCAGAGATATTCTATGTTGCCTTTAAGTACTTCAAGACCAAAACATTTTAAGAGATTCACAAGACTCTGGCATTTTTTTGTTCTGATTTGCTTTTTTGTCAATATTTATTATTTGTTTGCCTCCTAGCCTCCAGGAGAAAGCTGCGGATACCATTGAAGCTCTTCAGAAAGCAGGCATAAAAGTTTGGGTTCTGACAGGAGACAAGATGGAAACGGCAGCCGCCACCTGCTATGCCTGCAAGCTTTTCAGGAGGAACACCCAACTGCTTGAGCTGACCACGAAGAAGATTGAAGAGCAGAGCCTGCATGATGTGCTCTTTGAGCTGAGTAAGACCGTCCTGCACTACAGTGGCAGTATGACCAGGGACAGTTTCTCAGGGCAAGTAATACCTTCATTCCTCAATCAAAACGGGGTCATGGAACATGTGTTAATTTAACTGAGAACAAAACAACTGAAGCTACTCAGAATGGCCATTGAGCCAGATGCTGCAATTAGCTGTAGTCTGTCATGGTGATGTAATACTACTGGCTCCATCTTGTAAGTGCATGCCATTGACACAAGAGATGTGGTGTAAAAGATCACAAATGCCTCCATGAAAATTGTCCCAAGAGCAGGCTGCAAACCCAATTGAGTTCTCACACTTTTTGCCTCGTATAATTTTCTGAGGCTACTGAGAAATGAGCTGCCTTTCCTGGCTTTCTCTTCAAGCAGTGTTCCACTCCAGTCATACCCATTCCAGGTCAGAGTGTTCAGAGTCCATTCAGATTCTTGCATCATTATCACACAATTAAGGTAAAATGAAGCAAGAAAGTTCTGAGCGTGTTCATTTTATTGTTAAGGCTAGCAGTTACAAATAAAAGCTCCTTAGCAAGTAGGGCTTACAGGTCATTTTTATAGACAAAAAGAGCATACAAAATAAAAGGTCATACATAGTGAAAACAGTATGATTGGCTGGAGATCAGATATGTGGGACTAGCAACCACCCCTCCTTCCATCTTGTTGCTGATTGATTGAATCCACCTGCAAAGTTAGGTAATGGTATATGGGTAATAAATCAGACTTCCTTGAAGAACAGAGATAACAGACCAGACTTCCTAGAAGGATAACTGTGAGATAGAGAAAACATATTTCATTGATATAAGAGCACACCATTGATTTCACAGAAAAACTGAACTTCTAAACTTATGGACTTCTGAACTTAGCCCAGAGACAAAGAAACATGATATAAGCAGTTGTACAAAATGTTGATGGTTGGTATAGAATAAATCAATTCCAAAATTGAATCAATTAGGTTTTTTTTTTACTGCTGTCTGCCTTTATTCACATTTAGTCCTTCTATGGAATGAGCTCTTCAGGTTGCTTCTCATTTGTTGCTAAGACAGAAGTCTAGGATAAGGAAGTCAGAGCTGATTGCTGGGGGACAGATATGGAAAAATGAGTAATTCATGGTAAACACTTATGTCAAAATGATCATCCAAAGGTAGGATATATGATAGGACTGGTTTTCCCACTAGTGGTGAAAGCTGTGCTATGATCCATCCATTCTTTCCCTTGGTCAGAGTTGTGACCATTTGCAGACATTTATAAGAAGAGATATTGTAGCCTGGTTGCCATGGAGCAAGCCCATGCCTTAATCTTGTTAATGCTAGGCTTTAACCAATTTAGATAACTGAAGAAGTGCCCCAAAGACAGGATAGCCTGAGAATTAGGGCTTGGACTGGAAGATGGGGAAGGACATAAAAACTTTAATACTATAAAATTTGTAAACATTTATGTTTACTTCAGAGGTAAACTATTGAAAACTTGCATATCAAATTATTTGAAATAATTTTAAGTTAGAGATTTTCCTAAATTCAATGGGGAAAAAAAATTGAATTAGAGCACAGTTTAAAACACAATGAAGGGGCAGCTAGGTGGCGCAGTGGCTAGAGCACCGGCCAGAAGTCAAGAGGACTTGAGTTCAAATCCAGCCTCAGACCAAACACTTGCTGTGTGACCCTGGGCAAGTCACCTAACTCCAATTGCCTTAAAAAAAAAACAGTGAAAATAAATCATTGAAGGTCTTGAATCAAACACTGGAAAGGATAATCAAGAAATATCGTTCCCTTAAGCCCATTGATGTATTGTCATTGATGTGTGTAGCCCTCCTGTAGACCCCCAAAGATGCCATGTTCCTCTCAAAAGATGAAGATTTAGCATTTGTTATTTGTGCATCCTGCAGACTTTCAACTGACATGCAAGATTTTGGCTTAATTATTGATGGAGCTGCATTGTCACTAATAATGAAGCCCCGACAAAATGGGAGCTCTGGAAACTACCGAGAGCTCTTCCTGGAAATCTGCAGGAACTGTAGCGCCGTGCTCTGCTGTCGGATGGCCCCTCTGCAGAAGGCACAGGTTAGTGGATCTTTTCCAAATAACTTGACAAAGTGGTATCACTTTAGGTAAATATTGAATGTCATTACTCAGTTGTGACAGCCTCTAATAATTTTAACTGTGGTGTCTTTTGCTCCCCACCCATCTACAAAATGAAAAATGGCAGCAAAAAAAAAATGACATACTAAAACTAGAAAGCATGAAAATCTTGCTGATAAATGCAATTAGGTAATGACACATTAAAAAGGCTCCTTGCTGTGCCTCTGTTTGTGATTTGTGTCTCATTCACATACTCTTAATATATAACCAGTAAACGAACATGTTTAATTAACTGTTTTTTCCTGACTCTGTAGTGACTAAGATAATGCTGTGTACCCTGTAGGGTCTTTGTATGAGGTGAATAGAATAGTAGTACCTCACTGTGCCAATGGGTCTGTTCTGTCTGTGGAGTGCTGGATAGACTACTTTACAAATCTTAAACAAAATAAAAGCAAAGACAAAGTAATAGGCTACATAGTTTTACTTATTTTACAGTAGCAAGGAGAATAATCCTTTGCATAATCGGAAATAACATTCAAAAACATCATATACACTTTGTATCAGAAAGAACTTGTGGTACTTAATGTTTCTGTTATTGCTACAGTGTGATTGTTTCTGATGCCTGGTAATTCGTAACACTTTGAAAAAACAGAATAAACCATGTTAAATAAAGTGCAGCTTCCACATCCTGCTTCCCTTTGTCCTGGTCCATGCACAGATTCTGTCAGTTCTCAGTGAGATATAACTGTATGGCCCAAAACAGATGTTGGCCTTGCTAAAAATTTAATGGGGGCTGGAAGGTATGTTTTAAGTTAGAAGGTCTTCTTGTACAGCACCTGCTGATTTAAATGAATGTATATAGATACATAGATATGTAATATATTTTTAAATGTTACATAGGTATGTGAAAGAGGTATATAATTTCTAGTCTTTCAGAACATAAGATCATTATGAAGTTAACCTCATATAAAAGCTTAGATTCTGAACTCTCAGAGGACCGGGACTAATCATTTCTTTTATCACACCAGTGTAATGCCCATCATACATTAAGTAGTCAATAAATGCTTATTGATTGGTTGAAATCAGCTTAGCAAAGTAGTGGGAATTAGGGACTGTACCTGTGATTTCATTGCTATAAGGAGCTCCCAGGTTGGGAAACACCCTCTCCCACAGTACCTCAGCACCTAGAGCAGAGATGTCAAACACTCACAAATCTCATGACACTCTAGAGTACAGCCAGAACCAGACTAAAATGTAATTGGAAGATATTTAACAAAATAAATAAAATTTAATGAAAGAGAAAGAGAAGAAAGAAAGAAGATATACAGCCTGCAGGGATCCATTTATGTAGGGTGTACTGGCTCCTATTTCTATCTGAATTTGATACCAGCGACCTGAGACACTGAAAGGTTTTCATTGGCACTTGGTCATCTATCCAGCATCTGTGGGAGCTGGGACATGAAACCCAGGTCTCCTCGCTTTCAAGGTCGGTTTTCTCTCTCTCTATTGCACCATGATGCCTTTCAGCAAAGTATTCCCAAAAGGATAAAATTGACTTCTCCCTACTAAGTAATATGCCTAATGAAAGAAGATGTAAAATTGTCATCTTTCTGTGCACTTCGTTCTCTACGTGGGGAAATTTGATCTGTATGACTATGAAGTTATGACAGCTATTTTATTCTTGCTCTTCCAAGGTGTTTTGTACCAGGTAAGTGTCCTTTTATGAAAGTTGCTGTCATTGTTAAGGTATTTGTTAATTCTTCACAGGTTCAAAAAGAAAATATGGCAGGGAAATAGCATGTAATCATCTTTATTATATTTCCAAAAGCCCTTTTCCATCTCTGTAGTTTGTGATGCTACATGCTTCCTACTCTCTCAAGTGTGCTAATGTCTATGATACATCTGTAGTGGTTCTGCAGACCTTACTGAATGGAATCACATCTCGATAACCAGATTTCACTAAAAATTAAAATGATATGTCAATTTGAAACTAACCAGGGTGTTTAGGTTTGTTACAGTTCAGATGAGGTATGATGTAAAGATGAAACGTGAAGTGCTTTGTAAACCACAAAGCCATTTGATTTTTTTCAAGTTCTAAAGAGTGTCACTAGTCTACATTTATATAAATTTGATAAAAAAAACTCATTTCATTTTCTCACTGGCACAGCTTTCACCACTTATGGGAAAAATAGTCCTCTCATATAGCCTACCTTCTGATGATAAGTCATTTTCACATTAGTGTTTACCATGAATTACTCATTTTTTCCACATCTGTCCCTGAGTAGTCAGCTGTGACTTCCTTATCCTAAACCTCTATCTTAGCAACAAATGAGAAGCAACTTGAAGCACCCAGTCCGTAGAAAGACTACATTTAAATAAAGGCAGATACCAGTGAGAAAATAAAATACTTTTTATTGAAATTACATAAATGTAGACTACTAGCATTCTTTAGAAGTATTGAGGATTCTTTCAAAAATGACTAAGATCCTTTAAAAGTCAGTAAAGCGCAGATGGGGGAAAAAAACATAAAATACCAAGTTATCATTTAATCAATAATTTTGTGTGGCCACATTAACAAGAAGGACCAGAATTTAAGAGTGCCTCAGGACCGAGCTATGTTAATTGACATGGTGCATTTGAAGGTAGCAGAATGAAAATTTTTCCTTCAAACTAAAATTATAAAATCTACTCGTAATTATTTGTATTTATGTGTTTTTGTACAGATAGAAATTATAGGAAAATTAATAAAAACTATTTTTAAAAATCATTGTGTCTCTTGACATAATTAATACCCCTGATCCTTCTAATAATATGAAAGTCAAGTTTAGATAATCACATTAACTTCACTAAGGATTATCCATTAAAATTCTAATTTTTTATTGACATTGGCATTTCCTTGCGTACAAAAATAAACTCAAATAGAGAGATTGATATATAGGGCTCCTGTAACCTCTGACATTGACATACCCAGGACCTGGCTGTGGATTACCTTATGATACAATATTATCATCACCCAGTAGCCCATTGGCCCTATATTCCTAAGAACCCAGGCAGATTACAAACTAGCTCAGTATATAAGAAATCCTCACTGACATATACAAACCAAGGAGAATACAAAGAAATCTACCCACACTGAAAATATGGACCTTAGTGGTCCTAAAACCACTGTTTCCTATCGGCCTAAACCTAGTTCTTTCCTGCTTTCAGCAAAGCTCTCAGTAAGAATAGCTGTCTGTTGGTGGTGGGCCAAAGGAACTGTGTCATTTCCTTCTAAAATACAAGCTGTGATGAGCCTAGCTCCTTCTACCTGCAGAAACTTGCTATTTCTAGCTGACCCACCTCCTTCACCAACCTCCAGCCTCCAGATGCATGGGCTCAGGACTTTCTTAACCTCTTAATTTACAGCCCTCACCCCTCTTAGTTTTGAACTTAACCTTTCTCCCAGGAGATGATTTAGCTCAATGAGGAGTATTTTGTGGAGAAGGTTATCTGGCCAGCAAGTCCTGGAGCTTGCTCATTTTAGCCCTCCTTAAATATCTCAAAGTGAATCATGACTGGCAGAGCACAGTAATGTACATTAGCAGAGGTCTCGCTCCCTGCCTTATATCCAATATCGAAACTGTTTATCTAATGAACTACATCTTGCGTCTTCTCAGGATGCCCAAACATAATCAAATGCTCAGCCTTAAAGAACTAAAGGGAAAGATATTTCAAGAATATTTCTCAATTAAGTGTATCCCTTTTTTAAAATTGTTTAACTGTGATGATTGACACCCTTACCTGATTTGGTAGAAAAATATGGGACTACTGAGTCTGACACATCAACTGACTAGTGACCACGAAAGGCAAATTCTTCTCCTCCCTGCCTCCTAACAATGTGAAGTACTAGAATCGTGGGTTAAGGTGCCAGCAAAACTGTGGCTAGGAAAGGCGTTTCAGAGGAGTTGTCTGTGTGTGAAGTTCCCCAGGTAAGACATTGCTCATTTCCTAAGCTTTGTACCTCATATCCACTCCTGTAGTTGCACTTGTTAACCCCCAGGCTCGACCCCACTCCACACCGTGCTGACGTTTCTCTTGGATCCGAGATCCCTGACTACTGGCGTCTCACATGGTCCGACACAGCCATACCCAAGACGGTCCATGTGCTCGTAAAACTGGAAGGGACCTGAGAGGTGTTTCAGTCCAACAACTTCATTTTACAGATGGCAAAACTGAGGCCCAGAGTGCTTAAGTGATCTGCTCAAGGTCAGACAGTTAGCAAATAGTGAAGCTGGAATTTGAACCTATATCCTTTAACTTGAGAACCATCTAGTACCCCTTCTTTGGCATTGCTCTGCTGTCCAAGAGAGGCTGGTACTGACCTTGTGACACACAGGGATATACCATTGCCTAGTCCTGTGGTATTGTCTTAAGGCCAAGAGCTCCATCAGTTTGCAGGGCAGTCGAGGACACACAATTTTCTCAGGGATGTCCCTACATACCTCCCTTGGAGAGAGACACAGAGAAGAGATACAAGGTAGAATATTAGAAACACCACATCCTCATCTGGCTCTCTTCCTCTTGCTCCTTCCAGCATACACACACTCCCATGCACCTGTAGTATCTTAGGCTACTCTAGACGTAGACGCTTGCTTTTTGCTATTAGAGGCCTTAGAGTGGGAAGGAGGCTGACACACTTGTTAGGGCTAATGCCTTGCCTCCCTAAGATATATATTGATGCCGTGTCCTCTAGGACTTGATGGCATAGCTCTAATGTGAGACCTTTAAGAGTATTTCAAAAATATTCAGAATTCTTTTAATCATGATCTTGCAACTTGGGAGACTACAAAGCATGTAGCATCACACAATGCATGTAAATTGAAAGAGACTTACTCAGAGGAAATATGCTAAGGAGGTATTTCCTTGTGTCAAGTTTGCTTTCTAAACATATGATGAAGTTGAAAGATAATTTTTCATTGAGCAAAGTTTCAGAAAATTATTTATTCTGATTCTGATTTTTGCAGAACATCTTGGAACAGCAAGTTGCTAATATTGCCTGCATTTTCCCATATGGATTCAAAGCGTGAAGTATATAAATAAAAAATGTATTTCATTTATCTAATTTTTCCATCTTTAGAATTTTCTGACGAGTTTCCTCCAGCATATTTGAAAGTACTATCTTAAATTTCTTTTTCCATCTTCAATGGGTAGCTTTATTCCTCATGGGCAAAATGCATCATGTATTCAATTACCACAAGACAGGTTATTTTTATCTGTCGTCATTGAATAACCACCATTATAAGTGGGTCCAAATCTTTTTTTAAAAAAAGTACTCTGACCCATCCAGGTTGCTGTTGGGTAGTCACTGGATGCACTTAGAGGAGCATATGTGACAGAAAAGAGTGATTCTGCATTTGTTTTCTATTTTTCCAGATTGTTAAATTGATTAAACTTTCCAAGGAGCACCCTATTACTCTAGCCATCGGGGATGGCGCAAATGATGTCAGCATGATTCTAGAAGCACACGTGGGCATAGGTAAGCCTTTTGCCCCTTCACCTTTTTTGTCCACATACTTGGATAACTCTCATCCTGATGAAGGAGATGAATTAAGACAAAGGTAGTACTAAAGAATGTAAATGGTCTATTTTGAAACCAGAAGCAGACAGTTCCTCTCTGAAGAATTTATGGATGAGAAGGCATTAAGGAATTAAAAATCTGCATCAATGAAAGGAGTTCCTATATCAGGGAACTCAAAGATTCATCTCTGTATCCAAGTATTTGCAAAAGCATGTGCCATTTAATATATGAACATTTGAGAGAGATATTTAATAGTTCTCACCCAATATTAATCCTTCTTCCATATTTGTAGAGTTGAGTGTATTTGCTAAATATATCCCAACAAATTGTTATCTTTTAGGTGTCATTGGAAAAGAAGGTCGTCAAGCAGCCAGGAACAGTGACTATGCAATACCGAAATTTAAGCACTTAAAGAAGATGATCCTTGTCCACGGACATTTTTATTACATTAGGATATCCGAACTTGTGCAATACTTCTTTTATAAGGTGAGGGAAGTTTCCCTGCTGTTATCTCTGTTTCCGTTGAATGTGACATGTATGAAGTGGCACAGTTGTTGAAATGGCTTGAAGCCATAGGAACAGACTATCTAAAAATAGATGAGACAATGGGAAAGAGATAATGAAGCATCTCTTGGAATAATCTTCTTTTCACCAAGGAAGAAATCCATCAAATTCTCCCTGTGTTAATGGAAAAATAGGAAAATTCTTATCGTTCTCTAATCAACCTACCAATCTGTAAGTGGTATAATATTGGGGGGGAGGGTTGAATGTTTGAAATAATTCTTTTTTTCTTCCAGTTCTCCTACTCCTTCCCATTATGTATTTTAATACAGTGTGATAGAGTCGAAAAGAATATTAAATTTAGAGTCAGAAGACCAGCCAGGCTTTACAATCTGTCACTGTCTGTGTGACGATAGGCAAGTCCCTTAACCTCTCTGAGACTCAGTTTCCTTATCTGTGAAGGAGAGGTGATAATATTTCCACTACCTTTTTCACAAGTTATTGTGAAGATCCATCCTCTTGCCAGTCTATCATTTACATCTTTGCTAAAACAGTCTTCCTGAAGCTCCAGATAGATGATGTCATTCACCTGCTCATTGTGTGGTTTGTCCTTCATTCTCAAAGAGGGCTGTGACATAAGTGAGATGACGGCATGACTTGCGATTGAATTTGATTTGAGTGATGGAGGGCTGTGCAAAGTCACCAGCCTCACTTTCTCCTCCAGAGCCATCTGGGACTAAGCCTTAAACCCAGTTCACTCTGGATCTCACTGATTGGACAACAATAGGTCCCTGCCCTGCCCAAGCATCACTTAATGATTATTTTTTGGGCCCTCCTGGCTTACAGTGAATGTATAGTAAACTGTTTCTGTTTTGACTAGCAACCCTGAGGGTCTTCCCCTCCCAGTTTGATTTTTAATTAAATGAACCATCCTTTGGCTCACTTCTTAAAGAGGCCTATTCACTGAGTGGACGTTGCCATACTCAAAGTGAGGACTTGAAAAGACCTTAGCTTAAAAAAGCCAAGGTCTCCCCCTGCATCCTGGGCCATCTCCAGTTGTCCTGATCTATATCTGGCCCCTGGACCTAGATGGATCTGGAGGAGAAAGGGAGGCTGGTGACCAGTCAGAGCTGCACTACTGGACCTCGCTGGCCAGTTCCCGTTGGGCAACTCAGCTCATCCTCTCCTCACCTACTCATAGTCTTCCAGTGATTTCCTATTGCCTGAGGGATAAAACACAACCATTCTGGTTTAGGTGGTACCTCCCACCAGAAACTTTCTCTAGTTCTATTGTTAAGGTTCTCTTCTTCCTTAAATCCTTCTGTATTCATCAGTTTATTCTTTATATCCAGTACAACAGAAGTTCCTTTGGACTGTTGTTCATTATTGTCTTTGTGTTTCAGGGCCTTATGCAGAGTAAGTACTTAATAAATGTGTGCTGGATTTAATTGAATTGGCATTCAAGGCTCTTGCTGTCTAGCTTCAACCCAACTTTCCAGTCTTATTTCATACTGCTCCTCTTCCTATCTAAGCCACACTAGATTATTAACCATTTCCTGATCTCATTACATCCAACCTCACTCCTTGTATTTATGCATGCCTTGCTTCATATATGAAATGGACTTCCTCTACATCTCTACCTGTTGAAATATTTTTCTTACGTGCAGGCCCAACTCAGATGCTGCCTCCTTTCAGGAGGCTGTGTTTCTTGAGACCCTCTTCCATGCACTTCCTAGGCAGAAAACATTCTTCCTTCCCAAAGCTTTCATGCCTCTCCCTTGAACCTTTCCTATATACTCTTTTTCATTCCAACTTGTATTTTATATATTTGCATATATCTTACTCCTCTAGTAAACACTATCCCACCTTTGGAATTTTGTATCCTTATATCTCCAGAGCCTAGTTCAGTGCCTTGCACATAGGCATTTAATGCATGTTGGTCAAATGAATGACGTCAGTGCTGTATAACTATAAATGTCAGCCAAATTTTTTTTGTGCAGTCAGCTGGTAAACATCTTTACACATATTTTTTATCTATTTCATTAAATATTTCCCAATTACATATAGAAAAATTTAGCATTCATTTTTTAAATTTTGAGTTTCAAATTTTCTCACACCTTCTTCCTCATCCCTTGAAAAGGCAAGCAGTATGATACCATTTATCCATGTGAAGTCATGCAAAACGTATTTCCACATTAGACATGTTGCAAAAGAAAACACACCCAAAAATACCCCAAGAAAAATAAAGTTAAAAAAGTATGATTCAATCTGCACTCAGACATCATCAGTTCTCTCTCCAGAGGTGGATAGTATTTTTCATCATGGATTCTTGGGAATTGTATTGGATTATTGTATTGGTCAGAGTAGCTAAGTTTTTCACACTTGATCATCCTTACAATATTGATGTTACTGTTTACAATGTTCTCCTGGTTCTGCTGATTTTACTTTGCATCAGTTCATTTGTGTCTTTCAAAGTTTTTCTGAAATTATCCCACTCATCATTTCTTATAGCACAATAATATTCCATTACAATCATATACCACAACTTGTTCAGCCATTCCCCAGTTAATGGGCATCCCCAAACTTTACAGTTTTTTACCGTGGTAAACATTTATTAAGCACACACTCTCTGTGCCAGACACCATGCTAAGTTCTGGAAATACAACTGGAGGCAAAAAAAAAGTCCTTGCTCTCAAGGCACTGACTTGCTAATAACTAGCATGACACATAAAAGGAAGCTGGCAAGGACAGGGTGCTGACCAGAGGACTACAGTCTGGTCAAAAATGAAGGACAGCTAACCTAAGTGCTGGTTCTGTCCAGTGTCCCCTCCACCTTCCCTCCAGTCAGAGAATGGGCCTCAGGGTAGGGGATGCTTCCAAAGGGAGAGTGTGAGTTGAAGGGATCTTCCAGAATGAAGAACTTCCTAAAAGCATGATGGAGAAGTGCAGAGGAGTACAGCATGATGGGAAATGTCATCATCCTTCTTCCTACATCAACATCCCATTTCTCTTTAATAATAATCGTATTATAAATGCTTTGAAGTTTGAAAAGCATTTTAAATGTATTCTCTCATTTTTTCCTCAAAACAACCCTGAGATATAGATGCTATTATCTCTATTTTACAGATGAGCAACTGAGGCAAAAATAGATTAACTGTCTTGCCCAGGGTCACAAAGCTAGGAAGTGTCTGAACTCAGGTCTTCCTGACTTCAGGTCTAGCACAATATCCACTTTGGCACCTAGCTACCTAGGTAGCAAATCTGGTAAATTCCTCTTTAACATTTTTGTTTCCAGAAAGCCAGGGCATTATTATGTATTTATCAGATGCCAAAGAAATAAAATAAAAAATTAATTTTTAAAACCTGTTACTTGGTACCCTGTGGGCCCAAGTCTATTTCAGAGCCTCCCTTCACCCTCCTTCAAATAATGAGGTATTACCCAAGCCACTAAAACAACCTTTACAAGGAGGAGAACCATATGAAATGTGTGCTTTGACTGATAAACATTTTTCATTTCTCTTTCAGAATGTCTGCTTCATTTTCCCTCAGTTTTTATACCAGTTCTTCTGTGGATTTTCACAACAGGTGAGTCCCAAAATCTAGATAAGGACTTTGCCTAGCCTGATTCTTTTTTCCCAACATATTGAGAGAATGAGGGTAGGTTGTCATTCGCATGCAACAGGTGACCTTTACAGAAAAGTGAGGAAGGAGATGGAGAAGGATTGATGGAAAAGAGAGGGTTTCCTCCAATGTGATCACCCTCTGAATTGTGTGTGTCTTTCCTTATCCCTATGGCAGACCTGGGGTAGAGGAACATTTGGCAGAACCAAGATAGCATTTCACTTTGGTGGGTCTCTCATTGAATTTTAGCTCTCTAAACCATCTCAAAGTATTCTAAATATTCTAACACTAATATCGTGCTTGCTTTCTGTGCAGTCACAGCAGTGACAAAGGGATTAATTCTCTGCTGGGCCTGGGTAAACAGGAAACGGGGTAGCCTCCCCACTTTAGTTTGATGGAGTAGCTTAGGAGTAGAGTGCCTTCTGATTCCAAGAGTCAAAATCCACTCCAGTGTCCCTTCAGTCCAAATCCCTTTGCTCTGCCCTTTTTGGTGAGTTTTGTTAGCATATCCAATAGCGAGACAGGTCATCCTGGGTTGATAGGGTGAGGACATCCCCGTAAGCGTTATTGGGAACCCTTCCCTTTTTATAGAAACTCTTCACCAATCCACATTGTTGGGAGCAATTTTAATGGTGAATATTTTGGTGGTTATTGGTATTTGGTCTCTGTATGTGCTAAGGTGAAATGGTTGTCCTGAGATTATAGGGTGAGGACAGCCTTCCTTTTCATAGGGACTCTTCAGCTATTGGCATTATCAGGTATAATTTTAATCCTAACTACATAAAAGTTTAGAGGAAGGCCTTGATTAGTCTTCCTTATGCAGGATATCCCTCCAGTCTTAGTGCGGTTGTAAGCCGTAGCATGTGTGGTTCTTTGTAGAATTAAACCATTCCCAGTTACAGTAGATGTATGTTTTGATTATTTTTTTTAATGCAAAGGTGTATGTGTTGCTTTAAAAAGAAAAACGATTCTTTTTTTCTTCAGCCTTTATATGATACTGCGTATCTAACGCTGTACAATATCAGCTTCACTTCCCTTCCCATCCTCATGTACAGTCTGATGGAGCAGCATGTCAGCAGCGATATGCTCAAGAGAGACCCTTCACTGTACAGGTAACACCGCTGAGATAACGGCTTAGTAAAATGACTTGTTGAGAGCATCTGCTGCTAGCAAAGATTCCTAAGTGGGAAATCACCCAAGTTAAATAACGTACCTTTATTATGTGCACGTGGTTTGTGCTCCATTCATCATGCATATTATTAAGTCATTTTGTGTCCTATGTTTTCTGGTGAAGTTATAACTCTGAAACAAGAAGAGCAACAGTAGTTGATGTTAATATAGCCGTTTAAAGTCGGCAGAGTAATGTGCTACTTCAAAGCATTTTATCTTATAGATTTCCTGCCTACATTTCCCTTAAAAAGAAAACAAAAGGTGTATTATTTCAGAGGGGAAAGAGAATTGTTTGTCTTTTAGTGAACCTTACCTCACTTGACCCCTTTATGCTAAAGGGAGTCCTTCTTTCTTCTTCTTCTTTTTTTTTTTTTTTTTTTTTAACAGAACTAGGCCTTTGATTTCATTGGTATGGGGCACTCTCAAAGACAACTCCCTTGGCCAGTGCTGATCAGAGCCTGCTCTGTGACTTAGAATCCAGGAGAATTACCTGGTGGGCCAAGGCACTAAGAGAAGTGACTTGCCCAGAAACACATAGCCAGTGGATACATCAGGTGGAACGTGAACCCAGTTTGACTCAGTGGCCAAACTCTTTATCCACCTTGTCATGCTGCTTCTCTTAATTCCAGGTCAAGGGAAAATTGGCCTATCTTATGTTTCCATTGGGACTTTTGACAAATGTGATTCCTTGCTTTAATTCTGTGATGGATTATAGGAATCTACTGACTGCTGTGTTTCTTCTTCCAATAATAACTTGTATATAATCAAAGAGTATCCTGGGATAATGAACCACAGAAATGAAGACTCAGATTAGGGAGAAAAAAGGCCAGAAATCTCCAATGAGTTTTATTGTTGGGTTAGTGCACATTGACTGGCTTAATGCATAAAGATGGGAAGAAATAAAATTATGTTTGTGAGTAGATTTGCATTTATGTGTGGGTGTGTGTATAGATAATCACATATATCTGATTATAACATTTATGTACATGCACGTGTGTGTGTGTATACACACACATTGTGCACATATATAGGCATATAGAGAAGAAATATTTAAATATTCTCTTTTCGTGACTTTTTGAGAATAGTATTTGTTGGAAAGCGAAAGAGCTTGATCAGCCACTCAGGCAGCAAATTAACAGTATCAATGTACAACATAAGGCAACATTGTGTAGTGGAGCCATGGCTTAGGAGTCAGAAGATGTGAGTTCAAACCTCAGTCAGGCCACCTCATACTAAGTAGCCATTTGGCCTTAGACAAGTCACACAAGCTTCAGTGTTCTCATCTGTAAAATGGGAAAAAATAATATTGGTACTAATTACCTCCTCCTTGTTGTGGGCAAAATGATTTGTAAACCTTGAAGTGCTATATAAATGTGAGTTGTTTTGTGATTGTTATGGAGTTACTAGGAAGATAATACATTGAGGAGGTAGAATCTGAATGGGCTCTGCTGGTTGGAGCTCATTGGGAGAGGGGATTCCAGACAGGGAGACTTTTCTTTAGCATATTCATTAGAATCCTAGGATAAGGCGTTTAGCTGTTACAGACATTTGGATACACTGAATATCCAGGTGTGACTCCTCAAAGAGAGCTAGAAAGTTAATAAATTACTGCATGGCCTAGTGAATGAAAGACCTTCCTGAAGATGGAAAGGCCTGATTGAGTCCTGCCTCTGACACATAATTACCTCTGTGACCATATACAAGTCACTGAAATTCTCCGTATTCCAGACACTCTCTTTAAGCTTTTGTGCTACAGACAAATTGCTGATCCACATCAGTAGAAAGAATTTCTACTGAGTAGTTCCTCACCCTGATAAAATCAATGATCTAGTGAGGGAAGAGCTAATCATATTCCTCAACACCAGTATTTTAAGATGGAGAGTGGGGAATGGGAAGGATGTCTGCCAACCTTGGGTTAAAAAACAATCTTCTTAAATTTTGTTTTGTGTAGGGATATTGCCAAGAATGCTCTACTTCGCTGGCGAGTATTCATTTATTGGACATTCTTGGGTGTATTTGATGCTCTGGTATTTTTCTTTGGTGCTTATTTGATGCTTGAAAATACGGCAATGACCATCAATGGACATGTGAGTATTTTACTTGATTGATGTTGGTTTTAGAGGAAAAGAACTTTGCAATCCTGAATGATCATTTTTATCAGTATAGTATTTCGGGGTTGCTTGGGAAGACTTCCATTGGGTTTTTGCATAATAGAATGATGCTGGAAATGGTTTTGTGTCTTTAGTGGAGATGCTGCAATAAAAAGCGAAATATCTTATGTTAAGTTGATAAATGAATGGAGTCCTGTGTATAGCAGTGTTTTGATTGTGGAGAAGTAGTTTATCCGATTTGTTCTTTCTGTAACTAACATTTCATCATTAGCTGTTTACCCTCTGTCTCAGGTAAGTTGTTAGTGTGCTTTGTTGTTAGTTGAGTGTTATTTCGTATTTAGTATATTTCATTTTTCCATGTGACATTATTTTAATAATATTTTCTATACAGTTAATGGATTTGTTTTTTATATACATTCTTCATTCTAGTTGTTGACACATTTTCTGGGGGGTTGTTTTATTTTTATCTTGCTTTTTTTCCCCTTTTTGCTACTTGCTTCTCTTCCTACCCTCAGATAATGACTACCAGCACACACATGGTAAGAGGATTGTGGTTTTGTCCCTTTCTCTGTGTTCTTGGACCACATCACAAATAAAATATTTCTCGTAAATATTTTCAAATGTGACTTTTTCAGTGTGCTTTACTAGTTGAAATATTCCTAGCTGCTGCTTTCTTTCCAGTTGCTTTTAGGAATAAAGTTGTCTTAATAGAAGATCAAGAGTATCTATGTGTACATTTGACCATCTTTTAATGGTTAATGCTTTTTCTTGTTTCCCTGAGCTCAGCTGAGCCAAGTGTTTGAGGGTTTTTTTGTTTGTCTGTTTGTCTGTTTGCTTTAGATGTCTAAATTTCTCTTGGCTTTAATAAAAAGATAAATACATGTAGATATGACTAATAATATTCGATAGAACCTCACTGGGAAACTCATTTGTGAATGTTATGTGCTCAGACTGCCTAAGAGAGTGTTGAGGCAGCAAGTGAGAGTCTTCAAAGTGGCTCTTCTTGGCTTCCCTAAATATTAAGTAATCCCTCCAAATAGACAAGTCAGTAACGGATAAAGAAAAATTACTTTCTTCCATCCCCTTCCTACAGTCTACTTCATCCCCACCCCTAAGAGTGAACCCAAGTCATGAGATCATGAATTAGAGCTGGAAGGTCTCCTCCCAGGGAGGGGAACCTATGGCCTTGAGGTCACATGTGACCCTCTAGGTCCTCAGGTGCGGCCATTTGACTGAATCCAAACTTCATAGAACAAATCCCATTGATAAAAGAAATTGTTCTGTAAAACTTTGACTCAGTTGAAGGGCCGCCTCCAAGGTCCACTCTCCTCATTTCATAGATGAGGTTCTCCCAACTCCATTTACACTGTCCTTTCTCCTCCGCTACCAGTTCTTTGGTAAGTTTTGTACCCCTGTGGTTCTTCCTCTTCCACTCATATAGCTATTTACCTTATTAGAGTCTATTAGATTGAGATCCAGATGTCTTAATGCCTGTGACTTGTCTCCTAGATCTCGTTTAATCCTGTTTTCATCCATGTGACTAGAAGCTCTGTTGTCTTTCCATGGGACTCAAATCAGTTGCACTGAAATGATCTGTTGAATTATCCAGATCTTTTTCTGCTTGCTCTTCTGATCTCTCTATTTCTGTAATTTCTCATTTGTCTTGGTCCGTGTCTATGGTTTAACAGTTGCTACAATCCCCAAATGCCACCTGGCCTTATTAGATTCAGACCAACCATGTAGTTTTCGATGGAGCTGTCTTTAGTGCTTTTATGTAGCTGCTTCAGAGCTTGCTTATGGGTCAAGCTGTAAGTAAGTGACTTGCATGCAACTCAAAGAGCTGAGATACCACAACCTAAAAACTGAAATTTCCAAAGGATTTCCAACTGATGTTGAAGGGTAAAGTTCCTATGGATGGGAAGTGATTATTTTGTAAAATGCAAATGGATTTACCCTCTATTTTAGAAAAACATTTTTTAAAAAAGTAGATATGAATTTCCCATTTATGAGGCTGATGGTCAGGCGAAACCATATGGCCAATAATACGTTGCTGGATGTGAAGTACCTATTCTTAGTTGTGTGTTGAAGGTGTAAAACCCTATATGCTATGATAGGATCCAGCAAAGCTAAAGATTTCAAAATGGAAGACAGATAGAGTAGATAGGTTTTTTTTCTGGATGACCAACTTCTATTTAGTTTGGTCACTTGAGACCTGGAGCTGTTGCTAAATGTTAGCTGAATAGTGATAGAAGTTTAAGCAGGTAATTTCACTAAAGCTCTCAGGCACAGCCCAAAGCATATGTGATGATGCTTTGTTAGAAGGCTGATCCAGAAGACTAATGAACCCTCTAGCAATGTTCCCATTAGAATCAGAAGGTCCCCTGCCACCACGGTCTTTGAAGTTCCTATTCTGTCTTTTGTCATTGGTGGGGAATAGTTTTTGAAAGGCGTTTGTCCCTGAGAATGTTGATCTAGCATCTTTAAAGAATGGTGCATTAAAAAAACAAAATCATGATTGGAGCTTTTTTGGGGGGGGAGGGGGTTGTCCTTGGCCCTAAACATTTCTCATAGTAGTTCCATTTATTGATATTGCAAGATATTGCACAGCTCACTTGCAGGAGCTGTAATCCGTTTTTATCATTATTAGTTCAGCAGTACAGTATTCCTCACAGAATACTTACAAATTTGGAATGTGTTAATCGTAGACATCTGTAAACATCAAGAACAAAATGGAATTGTGTGGGCGCAGAAAAAATTCTGCAAGACAAACTTAATCACTTTCTTAGTAAAAGCACTGAAAGAGTAAGTGAAAGGAATATAAGAAATGCTCCTAAAGGAACCATTTCTGAGAAAACTGATAAATCATTGCCTCATGGAATTTCACTTATAAATGAAATTTAAATTAGTTTGGGCTTGAAAACCTGGACAAGAATTGAAACTTGCTAAAAGGTTCCCCCAATAAAATTGGCTAATACAGAATACAGTAAGTTGGAGAAATCTCCGGCGTACCAATGATGATTGGTACTAGACCTCAGTTTATTTTAACATCTCCATTAATAGTTTAGGTGAGATGGTAAAGTTAATTAAATATATAGATGGTGCCAATGAGATGTATTAAAACAAGTTGAAAATTGTGTCCAGTAAGTATTCTTTGGGACCTAAGATTATAAGAAACATGAGATTCATTACAAAAAGTTGATTCCACTTGGACATTTTTTTTTCCTTTTCTGTGGAAAAACACTTTGAAAGAAAAAAGTATCAGAGGAAGACATGAGCCCTCATCATTTATGCTCCTTCTCTCCCCATCTCCATACTAAAGGAAATAGTACAAAAACCTAAACTAACACAGCCTGATAAGTAGATGGAATCGAGGTCCCTTTGTAATAGCAGCAACTTGATATCCCTGAGGTCTTTGGCTTATAGTTTGAGAATATTGCCAGTGAATACCATTCATGGTCTTAGCACTGAGCTGAGGTGTTAGGTGATGATGGCCAAAGGTGTGGTCCTTCCCTGGATAGGAAAAGGCAGATTTTCTTTTAAATGGATAGGGCCAATCCACTCTGCCACCTCCCTTTTTTCTTGATTCTTCATCTGATCATTTTATTTTTACTGTGAGGGAGGATGCCTGTTGTCCCATGGTTAACTGTCTCTTGTTAAACCAGACAAAACCCTGTTGTCAAGAGAGTGAAAATGCAGATCTCTGTGCCACCTCTGAAAAGCTCCTAATCCCTAGTCTTAATAGCAGCCAAAGGGAAGGTCCAAATGTATCTCCCCAGGCCTTAATTAGAACTATATCTCTTTTCTTCTACTGCTTCTTACTCCTGTTAGAAGACAGAGCTAATAAATAGAAAAGTGTATAAGTCAGGAGTAGCTCCCTCCTATCCCCAAATAAAGAAATTAAAATAAACTAAAATCCATGTTTTATTCTCATTTAACCCTTTTAGTTTTCTAGCTTGTTGACTTTAATAAAACATATTTTGTTATAATAAATACCAATGTTATTGTCTTATAGTTAAATGGTTACTATGGGAAACAGCCTTTAATATAGGAATAATTCACAGATGTGGACAAATTTTAGCATTGTGTACCTCTTTAATCTGAGGAGAATGAAGGATTAAAAACCTAGGCTGGAAGATAGATTCATTGAGCCTACTTTTAACAAAGAAGAAAATCATTTTGAGTAGGTACTACTCTTTTTTCATGTCTTCAACAGATATGCATTAAGTTCCTACTAGTAATCATAGACTAATAGAATGTCAGAGCCAGAAGAGACCTTAGAGATGGTCCAGTTCAACCTCTTCATAAATGAGAAAACTGAGGCCCGGGGATGTTAACCCAAAGCTAATTCATATCCTTATTGCCACATATCTGGACTGTTGGAATAACTTCTAAATTACACTTCTGCCTCTCCTCATTTCTACCTCCAGTACATCATGCATGACACTGCACAAAACACCACCTTGATAATACAATCCCCTTGTTAAAAAAACTTCCAAGCCGATATCAAGTCCATTTCGTTAACTTGATATTCAAGGTCTTACAGAGTATGATCAAAAACGACCCTTCCAACCTCATCCCCTGCTATTTTTCTCTTAATGAACTTTTCATTTTAGCCAAACAAGTCTATTCATTGGCCCCTCTAAAGTGTTTCACTTTCTGCAGCCTTTTATGCTGTTCCCCTGCCCTGTGATGTCCTCTTCTTTGTTTCCAGATCTTATACAGACTTAAAGTCCCAGCTCAGCTCCCTTCTTTTCCATGAAGCTTGCACCGGCTGCCATTGCAGCGCATAGTTATCTTTCTTTTTGATTGTATAGCTCTCGTATTTTTAACACTTGTGTCATTGTTCTTTGGCTTCCCAACCAGACTGTAAGCTCCATGAGGGTAGGAGCCAAATCTTATCTAATTTATATCCTCCTCAGTTCTTGGCACAGTACACAGCACACAGCAGGCACCCACTAAGCGACTGGCTGATCCCTACAGGTAGTGATTCCCTAGTGATCTAAGGAAGTTAATACATGTCCACATAGGTCATTTTATTTTATTGAAAAGACTTGGAAAAATTAGTTTAAGCACATAGTGAAAGCAGGTTCAGAAACTCAACTAAGGCTCTGCATGATCTCCCTGGGCCTCCATCTGTGAAACTGGATCATAGGTTTTCATGAGAGATCATGATGCCCAATTTCCTCATTTTAGATATGGGGAAGCTAAAGCCCAAAGGGGCAAAGTGGCCCCGGGTGTGATGCCATAGGAATGATCCTTCATCGAGGAATGCTACCTTAATCAGTCCTCCCTTCTTCAAAGAGATGTTTTGGGAGTGCGTTAGACTAAGGAACTAAATCACGTAATAGTAGAAAGCATTATTATATTAGCTATATTATGCATACTATGTTTCTAGCTTTTTTTTCTTTTTTACAATATAGAGAACGCATTTTTAACCTACTATATTTGTTCCCAAGATATGTACTTAGTTTTATGTACTGTTGTTTACTTCAAAGGTTCATAAAATTTTTGAAGTACTTTTTTTGTGCCAGTACATGGGTTTAAATTAATATATTGGTCCGTTGTTCTAGTCAAAAAAGGAAGAGTCCCAGTTCTGGGGACAATCATAATTTCGAGGTAGAATGTAAGAGAATATGATGATAGCAGAAATACTTTTCCAAGAAGGTTACAGCCAACATAGTTCCTTGAGAAGTGAGTACTGGAAACGTGCCTTAAGAAACAGTTCTTCCCAGAATTAGAAATTAGAGAAGAACATGGTTCTGACTCTGTGACTGATTCATTCTTTTTTATCTTCGTTATCTCTCCATTGAAGTTAGTCCTTTTTGATAGAGACCGTACTTGGCTAGGTATTCTTAAGCAAAAGCTGATTCCTCATCGATAGGTGGTTGACTTTGTATAATTCACAAGTGTATGGTTTTCATGGGTTATAATTCACCCTCACTTTGACCAGTCTCAGCTTTTCATGTCATAATTCAGAAGCCTCTGAAATAGGAGAGACTCAGAGCCACTGTACTCCCTGCCTGTCTTTTGCTCTGTCCTTGTGGCCAGACTTCTTTTGCCTCCCAGAAGTCTGTCTCCTCAGTTTCAATGTGGAGAGGCCTAAGTTCTAGGAGTCTGCATTCAAACTGAGTGCTTCAGGGGCCTCTTCCCACCACGCGCAGCCCCTTCCTAACTGGCCTGCTTTCCTTTCTCATCCTTTTGACTCATCATATTTCAGAACTGTTATCACCTCCTCCTGTTAACGTTACTTATCTTGGAAATGCCTGTTGTTCTTACTGAAAGTGATCGAGGATCCAAGTCCCTAAAAACAATTGGCAGTCAGATTAATACACATAGGTCAGAGGCTTTTGAAGAGTAAGACATGAGCCCTTCAACATGACCGCAAAGCAAGGTTTATTTAGGTAACCAGACGTGCCTGTTGCTACCAAATACCAAAAAAATTCCTAGTTTGGAATCTACTAAAGCATATAATTTTATTATTTAAAATTATTTTAATTTAAATTTAATTTAAATTTAAAAATTTATTATTATTTAAAAATCTTTTGCTGATCTATATGTATTATTTTCAGTATTACTGACATTTTAACATTTATTATAGTGTACAGTGTAGAGGGGCAGCTAGGTGGTGCAGTAGATACAGTGCTGACCTTGGAGTCCCGAGGAGCTGAGTTCAAATGTGACCTCAGACACTTACTTGACTGGGTGACCCTGGGCAAGTCACTTAATCCTGTTTTTTTTTTCAGTTCCTCATCTGTAAAATGAGCTGGAGAAGGAAATGGCAAACCACTCCAGTATATTTGCCAAGACAACCCCAAATGGGGTCACAGAGTCAGACACAACTGAAAACAGTTGAACAACACACAGTGTACTGTGTGATGCTCTTAAATATCTACTTTGACACATCTATAATATTTATATCATTATATATTTTATTATTTATATTATGTTTGTTAATTTATGTATTTAATGTAATTACATATTTTATAAAAATTTAATATTTAAATAAATTTTTTTTAAGGAAAAAAGAGTTCAAGATAGGTAAAATGAGTGGGTTGGGAGACAGTAGTCAAGTAATTTAAATAGGGGTTAGGGCAGTGTTAGAGAGAAAAAGTCCTTTGCATCAGGACATAATCATTGCCACTTCCTGTGATTAATTACAAAAAGAATCAGCATGGAATTGTGGATAGAAGATCAACAGTTTTCCAGGACTTTAAGATATGGATGAGTTATCCATCTGCATTGGTGGTAGGAGGGTCGACATCAGGAGTTCCTTGTCCCAGTGAAATCCCAGGTCTTCTCAGGTATTATCAGAAATTATTCCTGGGGTTGCTGTTGACTTGAGCATAGATGTGTTTATACCCAAGGATGACAGTGAAGCTTGTTCTATTCAAAGGGTTGCTTTTTGGTGTGAAGAGTGATGCTGCTATGTGGTCAACAGATGACTTGAGATATGTTTTCCTGCCAAACAGGTATTTGGAAACTGGACCTTTGGAACAATGGTGTTCACTGTGTTGGTATTTACAGTTACACTAAAGGTAAGGTCATCGATATTAATATTTTATCTGCTGGTCTGATAATCAGTAATATACATAGGTATATACACTTAGCTTCAGGTTTCCTCATCCATAACCTCCTTCCAGAATGAACTAATCCTATAACCAGTGATCAGCTATGGTCATAGCCTACCAAAAAGTATATGCTGCCTCCTTTGGGCCCAACTAGTTTAGGAGGTATAATTTAACCATCTTTAATTAAATCCAATGTATAAAAATTTGAATTTATACAAAAGATACATTAGGAAGTGAAGACACACTCACTTCACAGAAGGATTCATATTAGGATTCTTTTAGAAAGCAAGTACTCTGATATTTTAAAACATTTTATTTACATGAATTAAGATTTTTACAAAACTTTTCAGGAAATCTTAGATAGCACAAAGTTTGCCAGTGCTCTGGAAAACTAACTGATCATATGATCACTGTGGGGTCACTGAAACCGAAAGAAAAGCCTCATCGACAAAGCTCAACACTGGTGCTTGGAGGGACCTGGCTCCAGTACTTGGAGCACTGTGTTAACATGAGCCCTTTGCAATTTCCCTAAGACCTTCTAGGTTGAGAAATACTTACATAACTAGAGATCCTCCAAACCCAATGTAAGAAATGCCAGAAGGAGTTCCCTTTCACCCCAGGTGCACTCCTTGTCTCTGTGAGACAGGTTTCTTTTGTTGCCCAAAACTGGCATAGCTAAAAAGCTAAATGCATCGAGCTTTCTTCAGTAATTTTAAGGTTTCCTTCACTGTCTTGTTCTAGCTTGCCACTGGTTAATGGCACCAACACCAATCACTCTTTTTTTTTTTGTCCCTTTTAGCTTGCCCTCGATACACACTACTGGACTTGGATAAATCATTTTGTTATTTGGGGATCTCTGATTTTCTACATTGTCTTTTCTCTACTCTGGGGAGGAATTATCTGGTAAGGATATAGTCAAATCATTTTTGAGGTCCTTAAAAGCACTTGGCTTTAAAAAAAAAAATTTTATATTTAAGTATCAAATAGCCTCCTTTCACTGTCAAGATATAGACCTGGGCCAAAAATCATCTCTTGCATTTGAGGTACAATGATAGGCCCAGTAGTATGTTCCTACCACCTATTCTTCTCCTTCTGCCAGCTCCCTTTACCCCTTTTTTCTATAAATCTCTTCTTAGGGAGATCTTTCATAGCTTGGGAACATGGAACCTTAGATCTATCTTAAGAATCCCTAGACAGTACCCAGCAAAACTGAGTATAATCCTTCAGGGTAAAAAATGGTCATTCAATGAAATAGGGGATTTTCAAGCATTCCTGAGGAAAAGACCAGAGCTGAATATAAAATTTGACTTTCAAATACAAGACTCAAGTGAAACATGGAAGAGGTAAACAGGAAAGAGAAATCATAAGAGACTTATTAAGGTTGAACTGTTTACATTCCTGCAGGGGAAGATGATATTTGTAACTCATGAGTCCTTTGTCAGTATTAGGGTAGTGGGAGGGGAAAAAATTATATGTATGTATAGATAGATAGATAGAGGGCACAGGGTGAGTTGAAGATGAAGGGATGATATCTGGAAAATAAAATTAAGGGGTGAGAGAGGATTATACTGGAAGAAGGAGAAAGGGAGAAGTAGAATGGGGTAAATTATCTTACATGAAACAGACAAGAAAAGGCTTTTACAGTGGAAGGAAAATGGGGGAAGGTGAGAGGGAATGAGTGAATCTTATTCTCATAGGATTTGGCTTAAGGAGGGAATAACATACACAATGGGTTATGGAAATCTATCTTACCTTACCGGAAACTAAGAGGGGAAGGGGACAAGAGAGCAGGGGGTTGATAGAGGGGAGGGCAGATTGGGGGAGGGGTAATCAAAAGCAAACACTTCTGAGGAGGGACAGGGCCAAAAGAGAGAATAGAATAAATGGGGATAGGATAGGATGAAGGGAAATATACTTAGTTTTTCACAACAGGACTACTATGGAAATGTTTTGCATGACTACACGTCTATAACCTGTATCGAGATGCTTGCCTTTTCAATGAGGGTGGGTGGGGAGGGAGGAAAGGAGAAAATTTGTAACCCAAAGTTTTAAAAACACATGTTAAAAATAAAAAAAAATTAAAAAAAAAAAGAATCTGTAGACAGTTCTAAAGAAATTTACATAGGAACCCTTACCTACCTGGGTTTAGATCAACAGTGCATCATTTACTTTAATATTTCGAAATTGGAGATTTTTTTCCCCTTAGTTAAGTAGAGAAGAATTAATTAAACATCCTGAGTTTGACTAGGTTTAGAAGTCCTTCTTAAACTAGCCACTGGACAAAATATACAAATCGGCAGTGTAGCCAAGAGTCCTCTCAGTCACTTGCAGAACTCTAAAATTCTTCTGCCAAAACCTTTCCCTCTCACTTGCTATATGCCTTTATTATATGTTGTAATACAAATAATGGATTCCTGCTAAATGGGAAACACTGTCCTGGACTCCTCCTCACTGACCTTACTTAGACTATACTCACCAGTTGCCAGTGTTGGGTTACCACCACTGTTCATTTTCTCCTCAGGGCTAAGGAGCATGGCTAAAGAAAAATATGGCAACCAAGGTCACATTCTTGCTATCTCATCCCAACTGAGCCCATCCTGATTCTCAGTAGTCCTTTTATGCATCTCCTGTTGACAATGAAATTCTCCATAGAAACTCCTATAAATCCTTTCTGCTTTCTCAGGTTCTTGTCCCCACCTCCAGCACTCTCCCAGAATGATTTTTTTTTCTTTATTCAGATTGAGACTGTCTAAGAAGAATTACACACGTGTCCAATTTTTCACGTCAAAATGTATTGGTATTGCTCCTTTTACTCTGTCTTAAGAAGTTCCTCCCTCTTTTTCAGAGTTAACCTGTCTTCTTGATGCCATCTCCTTCCTCATCCACCAGGATTTTGTTCCCACGGTTGTCCCATCTTAATGTTATGTCTTTAGTCTCTTCTGCTTCACTGGCTTTGAACCCTCTGCCTTCATCCATGTTCAGGTCTCCTCTATGCTTAAAGTATAAATGAAAGACAGACAAAAACTCCTCCTGCCTCCTGAAGCTTCCTTTCAGTTTTTCTCCTTTTTCAGGCTAACTCCTCATTGCCTCATTACCTACTGACCCCCTCAAAGCCTGACTTTTCCTTCTATTGAACTTTCTCTCTCAAAAGAGTCTTAATGACTCCTTTGCTCGGTTGGCCTTCTCTTTAACCTCTCTATAGCATTTGACATTGCTGACCATCCTTTCATTACTAAATTGAATCCATTTCCTCTTTAATTTCAGTATTTAGAGAGATTTCTGGATTATTGTCGTACTTCTCTGCTCCTTCTCTGTCTCCTTCATTTACTTCTTTTTTGTCTTTTTCCCTTTCTTTGTGCTTTTCCTCAGTGATCTTGTGCATTCTCACAACTCTCACTTGTATTGGTATAGTTTCCCAGTCTATATCTTCAGCCCTGATTTATCTTTGATCTTTTACCTTTATTTATTATTGTCTTTATTATTTATCTGTACTCCTGCACTTCCAATTGTCTGCTAGACATTTCTGGTTGGTTATCCTGTTGCTACCCCAAACTAAAATCAAGCCTTTTGCCCACCAAAGAGCTTTATAGACTGGAACAATCACAACTCATGTGTGTTACTTAATGTCATTTCATTGTTGTTGAGCTCCCATCTCGTCCTGTATCCTGGAAAAAACAAATCCCTGTAACCCACAATAATACTCTCCAAGGTTTTTGAAGTCATTTTGCCTGACTAGATTTTCCATCTAAACATTTTTTGGCATTTTTATCAATGTTTGTTGGAGCAACCTACAAATGAATTTTAAAATCTACACCTCTGGGAGGTGGGTTTAAACCTTTCATCAGCAAACGGTCACCCATCCAATTGGGGACCCCTTGGAGCCAAAAGAGATTCGAGCTTCATAGTTTCTGAGCCCTCCTTCTGGGATCTGGAGACACAGGATGAAGTTGATACTGTTCCATTGATCCTGATAAGGACCAAAGAACCCTCCGAGAGCACTAGTGACCTCTCCGAAGCAGTGGGCAGGGTAGGGATCCTTTCTTGGGATTGTGCCTTCACCAAGAGGTGATGTTTAATGCTCAGGCTGCCATAGGGGAACTTGGTACTGGAATCAAGACTGAACTACACTGGTGGACTCTTGCACCTCCAATTTTAGGCCCCTCTAGGAAAGAAGACAATCCTCTGATTTACCCCTGCCTTCAAATAAAAATTTAGCAATTTGTTCATATAGTCTGCTTCTCATCCATGAGGCAGGAGTTGGGGAAGGGAGAATGTGTATAAATGAAATGAGACATTTTTGCCGTTACTACCTCCATTTTTGCCTTCTTTTCTCAGGTGGCCATAAAGTATATTTTCTTCTTTTCTCTCCAAAATTCATTATTTCCTTTCATCATTAATGAGGCATCTAGATGGTGCAATGAATAGAGTGTTGGACTTGGAGTCCAGAAGACCTGAGTTTAAATCCTGTCTCTGACACTTACTAGTTGCATGACCCTGTGCATGTCACTTAACCTCTGTTTGCCTCTCTTTTCTCATCTGTAAAATGAAGGTGGTAATAATAATATGTACCTCTCAGCGTTGTAGTGAGGATAAGATGGAGTAATATTTGTAAAGTACACAACCCTTAAAATATTTTATAAATTCCATCTTTCATTATGAACTTATTTTAACTGGTAATTTGTAGTCATGACTTCCCCCCACCTCCCAAAGAAGTTTGTTTTTTGTTTTGTTTTGTTTTTTGTTTGTTTTTTTTATTCTTTTAAACAGTAAACTCTACTTTTGAATTTCCTTAACTAGAACTTCCAGCGTGATGGAATAGAAAGTCAGTAAGCATTTGTTAAGTGATTCTTCGTGTGCTAGGCCCTGTGCCAAATCCTGGAGACACAAAGAAAGGCAAGAACCAGGAGTTCTGATTCTAATAGGGGAGGCAGCATGCAAACCACAATCTACGTATAGGACATGTACAGGATAAAGTGGAAGTAGTCTTAGAGTGAAGACACTGGTAGGAACGGGCCAAGGGTTGTGAAGGGATTTAAAAGCCAAACAGAGAATTTTATAATTGTTCCTGGAGATCCTAGGGACCCTCTGGTGTTCACTAGGGGTGGAGGGAAAGGATGACATAGTCAGACCTCTACTGTGAAAGCTAAATGGAGAATGGACTAGAATGGGGAGAAATGTAAGGTAGTAGGGGAACCAACCGGCAGGATATTGCAGTAGTCCAGGCCTGAGGCAATGAGGACCTGTACCAGTCTAGCAGCTGTTGGAGGAGAAAAAGGGGCATATATGAGAGATACGGATGTAGAGCACGACATTTCACTCAGAAGTAAAAGTCATATCTACACTTCTTTACAATAGAAGAAACATTCTCTTCATAGAGGATTTAAAAAACAAGTATATATGTTAGCTTTTTTCCCCTATAAATACGTACTTTCTCATGTGTTCCATTTTTTTTTTTCTTCTCTCCTTGGTCCTATAGGCCTTTTCTCAGTTATCAGAGGATGTACTTTGTGTTCATACAGATGCTATCTAGTGGTCCTGCATGGCTGGGCATCATTCTGTTAATAATTGTCAGCCTTCTTCCGGACATTCTCAAAAAGGTTCTATGTAGGCAGTTGTGGCCTACAGCAACAGAAAGAACTCAGGTAAAAATCACTTTTCTCTTCACTACTGCTTATTGTTGTAAGATAAGGGTTTAGTGTTTGGGAACTTATAAAAGAATAAGCTAAAAAGTTTATTGTGTTCAGTAAAAAGTATGATTAATCAAAAATATTAGTCAAAAATTGAACATGTTCTGTCCAAGGTTCTACGCAAAAATATATTTCAGAAGCAGTCATTATTTTAAGGTTAGCATTATTTGTCAGGGGGTGGTGATGGGATGTTATGTTGTTATAACATTGTTATGTTATGTTCAGTGAATTTAAGTAGAATTCATAACATGATAAATAGGAAGTAAAGGCCCTGGTAGATTGGGGTACTTATTTTCCACACTCTCAGTCTGTGGCAAAAAAAAAAAAAAGATATCTGGGCTCCAGAATAGATTTCTGGATCTTGCCTTTTCTCAGAGAAGTGTTTGTTCCCACCACCTAATTATTACTCTTAGCAGAGCCCTTTTACGTTTGCTGTGAGCATGGCCCCAGTCTCATAATCATTTGTAATCTCCAGAAGATTGGTTCCTTCTTCCTTAGACTCATGGAGAAGTGGGAGTCATTGTTGGGGACTGGAATAAAGTACCTCATAGCTCCTCAATATTGAAGATTCCCTTGCTTCTTACCCCCTTTCTGGGCTTTTTTCTCAAAGAATCATGATGGAGTAGAGGGAAACAAAGGAAAAAGAGGGTAGGAAGCCACAGATTAGATTGGAGCAACTCTAGCAACTTAAGTATGTGGCCAGAACATGAAGCTAATTTGAGTAGTGAATGGGGAGATATAATTAAAACAATAAAGAGGAAGAAAAAGACTATATATATATATATATATATATATATATATATATATATATATATATGGAAGAGAAGGCAGAATGAAGGATTGTAACCATGTTCTTTGAAAATTAGTGAACACTATTTAGAACTCTATTTCACCCAGTTTTTAAATCCAAATGGACACAAGCTTTGTTGGAGTTTTTGTTTTTGTTTTGTTTTGTTTTTTCATTCCAAATGGAATTTGCTCACTTGAGGTGGAAAATTAGCATCCCTATATAATGACCCATGTACGATCATTTCCCAGCAAATAGAATTGAATTCTTATTTGCAGTCTTTAGGAAAGTGTTTGTAGTACTTGAAATTAGCTTTATTTGAAACCCAGTGCTTTTAACTCCTAGTCAGGCTTTTCCCTTCTTTATGCTTCCTACCTCAGTTTAAACAAGTCATTCTCCAGTTACTAAAGGTAAAGAAAAGTCTACTCTAGTAGTTCAATATTATGAGCTGGTCCCTTGGCAGTTGTTTCTTTGAAAACAGACAGGGCAGGACAAGAATATCTTCAGGTATCTAAAGCCTCTTTCACTTGGATGGATAGCAAAATAATTATGGCTCCAGCCAAAGCCCATATTGCTCTTCCAGAAAGTAGGAAGGAAACAGCTAAAGAAGGTAGGTAGTTGGGAGCTTTGCTTTCAGTCTCCTAAGTAAGAACAAATCTTTAGTCTGTGGTGAAAGCAGGAATTTTGATGGGTCTCCCTGTGAAGGGGACTTGCCCTGCTGCCTTCTGGTGGATAAGATGAAGAAAATCAAATAAAGAAATACTAGATACTTCCAAAGCCCTGTCCTATGAATAGCAGAACTGTTAGGGATTTATTTGTTTGTTTTTAATCTCTTGAATAGTAGTAATTATAGATGAGACCTTTAATCCTTAAGGCTGGCTCTGTACTTACTTAGTCAGCAATGCAGTTCTGTATTCATGCTATTGGGGGTTCCTTTATTCTTCCATGAGGTGTACTATGAGTCATAGAAAAGGATAATTAGAGGTGATTTTTTTTTTTCCCTAGACAGTGGAAGGTGTCTCCTTAGTCTTATAGATTTTAAAGTAACACTGAATAGTATAAATGTTGCCATCCATTCTTCCTACTACTATAGGAGTTAAAAGTCCTCATTGTAGATTCATGGGGCATTTGGTCAGTTAGGATAGAGGGCTAAAAGGGAGTAAGAAGTAAAACAAAAAACCTAATAAGCATAATGCTGGGATGGCATTGTTGAGAGCCATGGTTAGAAAATGAACAAGTCATGTTTGGGGATCTTAACAATGCAAGTGTCTGTTTTCTTAATGGGGTCAGCATTTATATGCACTAGGAAGTTGTTAGCTTTTAACCAGACTTATTATCCCCTTGTGTTTCTCTCTCCCCTCTCCATTTCCTTCCATCTTCCAACCTGCTTTGCCTAAATAACTGCTACTTATTTAAACATAAATGATGTGCATGGGTACCTCCTGAACCTTCTGGGAATGGCAGACTAAACATCAGTGCCTTTCTGTTGAGCAGTCTACCATCTTTATGCTTTCTCAGACTTCCAGCAGTCTGAGTTTCTAACGGAACACAAGGTGACTCTTTTTCTGCCTTTTTGCATGCTTGGAGGACAGTAGATGTTTTACTATAATATCAAGGACATTTATTACACACTCATGTTTATGCTGGAGGTATCATATAGAGTGCTGGACTTGGAAGAGGAAAGACCAGGGTTCAAATCCTGCCTCTGACACTTACTAGCTATGTGACCTCAGGCAAGTCACATTACTCAACTGAGCCTTGGGACCCTCTGCTAAATTGTCCACTAAGTTGTAACCAGGATTGCAGTCTGCATTGGCAGAGGGAGTGCCTCTGCTGCAAAAATCAATCATCAATGTATCTTGTTTTTAACCATCAAAAAATCTTAACAAAGTTTCCCCAGAAAAGTGGTAAATATAAAAATTAACTGTTTACCTATATCAGTAATTATTAACTAAAATACTCAATACCCACTACCAACAGAAGACTTGGTTCAAACTCTTAATATGTAGAGAGCGACACTGTAAGGCAGGTAGAAGAGGCATCATTGTGCCCATTTTACAGATGAAGAAACTGAGGGTCAGAGAAATTAAGTGATTTTACCAGAAGGTCTCACAGCTATATAACCAGGACAACCCAGGGCTCCTCCTACTTCCAAGTCCAGTGTTCTTTTACACTACACTGGACCCTTAGTTACTTCCTGAGAGACCAGTATTACACAGTATCTTTATCTCGTGAAGTACTATGTAGAACAGATCTGATCTATATTAAATTTCCATAGTCACATTTCAAATTCTGATATTGACACATAATAGCAAGTGTATTTGCAGCTCATCTGTACCACAAAAAGGCACGCCCTTGAGCAGGATGATATTGGTGTTGGCATGATTTCCAGCTCTCAGCTACAATTCTAAAACAAGCTCATTAAAGATCATTAAACAGCTCTCTGATATATCATGTGCTATTACTGGGATAAACAAGGGAAGAACGCCGTTTTATACAAAAGTTTGAGGCTGCTTAAATTCATGGAATAAAATTTGGTGACTTTTAGCAGAAAAAAATTCTGGAAAAAGCTCTAGATTTTTTTAGATGGCAATAACAGCCTAAGCCACAGCATTATAGCCTTGTGTGTAGCACTTTCTGTGGCAAAAGCCTTTTTTTTTCCCCCAGAGCCAAGGTTTCAAGGGAGCTGCATCCTAACCCATTTTTTGTTACTTGTTCATACACTTAAATACATTTAGTCTGCTCCCAAAGTAAAGGCACTTTGAAAAAATGTGTTTCTTTAGTTCAAACAATCTCCAATATTTGGATTGGATATGTACCAAAATTTCACATTTAAGTTGGTTGTTTGAAATGCTGTTGAGTTTTCCCATAAGAACACTGTTATAAATGGTGGCTTGGGTTTCCAAGTGTGACTAGAAGAAATGGCATTAACATAAAATGTATCTGATACTGTATTGTAAGTACTCTAAAACCTGACAGTCATGTGTAACATAAGTGACTCAGAGTCCCATCTGGAAGGCCAGAAACACACCTGGAATCCTCCTAACTATGAAGGATAATATCAGTTAGAACTGAGACTCTCTAATCTCCAAGTCACTGGTGGGAGTTGTATATGGCCTGAGGAACTGGTGATGAGAAAAGAAAAGGTGAGAGAAGAATAGGTAGAGACAGGGAATCAGAGATGAAGAGGAGGGACCAGGTTTCAAGATGGGGCTAAGGGTAAGACACTGTAAACCACACACCCCCCCAAGGATACTTTTTTGGCTAAACTTCCCTCTCACCTCTTTTCTTAAGCATTAAGGATTGTCCTGCCTATTTCCCAGATAAAAATTAAGGAAGGAAATTTACTTTTCCTGTAGGGTCTTAGGGCGCATATAACAGGATTAAGCAAGATTCATTTGTATTTTAGAAGAAAGGTAGACTTTGGAGGTACTAAGCACTTTATCTCAGGAGATGGAGCTGAAGTTGGTACTCTGGGCTGGGGGGAGGTTGAGAACTGAGTCGGCAGGGAGGGGAGGAAGGAGAAAATCGAGGAGGGGGAGGAGATTTTGGTCTGTTATAGGTTTTAAACACTAATTTGTTATAACTGCCCCCCCCAGGACTGTCTTCTTCCTCCTCTACCTGTTGAGTTCTCAGATGAGGGAATAGAAACAGGAAAGGAGATGACATTCCTGTGAGCCTGTTCCCCCAAACTCTCCCTCTCCTCCCTTAGTTTCTTTTAATAGACTTCCCACTAGTACTTGGCGCCTAATAGTAGATGTACATGGAGGGATCGAGGAGTGAGAGAATGAATGAATGAACCATCTTCTCAGCCCTGCTTCTCCAAAGGACCCATCGTCTTTTCCTTAAAGCTCCCTTAGCTCAGCTCCAGGTCCTGTGATGAAAGGCCTAATACCATCCACGTCTGCTTTTTCGTTATATAAGAACAATCTTCTAGCAACACCTGGCTCAAGAAGGCATATGAAAGTTCTCATCTGGATCGGCTGTTTCTAGGGTGATTGTTAGTATATAACAAATGCATCTCTGTTGGCATCTGATATTATTGCCATTTTACTGAAAACAGTATATTGCACAAAGTTTTTTAAAAAGTGGGGAGGGACCTTTTTTCTCTTAATGAGTGTTGATTGAGAGGGAATGTACCTTGATGGTGAGCCTGCCTTGGAGTCAGGAAGACCTAGGTTCTAGTCTTCCACCTGACCCGGAATGACTTTAGGACCACTAGCAAGACATGTAATTCTCGGTACCCTGAGGAACTCTTTAAAACTTTTAAGTTACAGAGCAGTCACGTAAGTGGAGGGAGTTTCCATGCTAGCAACTCCCTAAATTGAAATCATAAGTCCAGACCAAAACAAACAAAAAACTCCTCAAAACCAGTTGACTGGCTATACAACTTAAGTACTGTTTAATTGACTAACATCATAAAAAAAAGTCACTTTCCTTTTAAGTAAAGTTAATTCTAGTCCAGTTTATTTTTTTTTATTCTAGAGTCATCAAAATATGTTGTAGTGAATCACAGAATTCCATCTTTGTTTATTTCCATATTTGAAAGCATGTAGGATGAAATTATTAGGAATGTCTTAGTAAGGCAGAGATGGTGCTAGGGGAATTGATTTAGCCTTCTGAAATTCAGCTCAAAATAAATATTCTAGAACTAGTCTAGATTAGAGACCTAAACTTAAAGAGGCTGTTTTACTTTTAAATAAGCTGGAACAGGTCATCACTGATCATTGTCTTTGATTTCCACAGCAGCTGAAGGCATTGAGGCTTTTAGACCATTGAGCATTCATCTCTAGGGGTGGTGAACAACTATTTACAATCACTTTTTAGCCATGTAAAAATGAACATCAGTAAACCAAAACCAAAACATTCACTGCACGTGCAAAACACATTTTCTGTGACGGAATTTAACCTATCCAGTGGTCTGCAAAACTTTGGAGGAATCAAGCATTTGTTTAACCTATATGTGGACTACATTTTGTTGTTTTCTTTTTCCACCTTTCTCTGTAAAAATTATCATAGGCACCAATCGCCTTTCCTTCCTCCACTTCATCTTTTTTTTTTAATATAAAAAATTATTTCTGCAAAGTGCACCAGTTGCATTTGCTTCGTTTTTCCTTTCCCTTATTTTATGTGGAGGCATTCCATCAATGCAAGTTTAAGCACACCACTTACAGTTGTCCATCACTCTTAGAAGGACTCTTTTTCACATTTGACTGGGAAATGACCAAGTCTGAGTAGAACATCTTAAGAAGGCCAGCCCCACCCATCTGGGACCATTTTGAACATCACACTGTTAAATCTTTTGGATTTCATTTCTCCTGCTAAGACTCTTCCTTTTTGTTTACTGGCTGTCATTTTAGTTTTGTCCAAGGGGCCATTGAAGCCCCTTGAGAAACCTTCGGCAACGCTCTTTGCAGAAGAGCAGGAACTTTGTAACTGCCTGGGGAAATGGCTCAGAGGGCCGTGTGGACCATGCAGCGGGCTTCCTTGCTCGAGTGCTCCTGGAAGCCCACTCTGTCTGTGTTCTTGGCAGGTCCTGTGGAATCTCCCACCACATTTCAAGCAAGATTGTGCCCATGAATTTGGCTTCTTACTGCACATGCATTGGGGACATTCAATGACTTCACTCAGGTTCTTTATCTCCAGAATACAGCACACGTATTGGGGAAAGTGGGCTCTCCTTTCCCTCCTCACATACCTAACCTTGGATACAGTTGTCTCCCAGTCCGTTCAGCAGCCCTGTCATGGATGATGAGGGAAGCCTGCTGTTCCTTAGTGTATTTCCTGCATGCCCTGGAAATTGGCAACTCACAGATAAAAAACCCATTTGCCTTCATTGATTTCTCTAAACCTGTGCTTTCCTTCCCCCCCCAGAGGTACTTAATTGCGTTGAATATTTAACAGCCAGTGGCAGCACACTTTCCTACTGCGTGTTTGACTGTATGATGATGAAAGCCCCATGAGCAAAACAGAGATAGTTTCCTTTTTACGTGATCCAAGAGGCACCGAAGAACATAGCCAGAGGTGGTGTCTCATGGTATAAAACAAGTGTCTTCAGCTTTCATCAGGTTTGTATTTAGTCTGGCAGCAAGATCAATAATGGGCCCATATGTGCAGGTGAAAGGGTTGAAGGGATGAGAGTCATAGAGACAGGGCCTCATGAGCCTAGAGCTGCCGAGCTGGGCTCTGGACTGAAGCTTTGGGAGTCTGTCTTGAGGTCAGGGAATCAAGACTCTCAGACCTCCAGATGACCCGTTCAGATTTCCCTCATGTGTGTGGCAACAGTCTCAGTGTTTTTCCTCCATCCTTGCAGAAGATAATGAAACATAAACCAACTGTACAGGCAGTGGCGACCTACGATGGGCCCCTCCTTGAAGGACCTCTTACGGCGTCCGAAGCATAATTAGCTCAATGATAGGTAACCGTATTGCATAGATGGTGCCAATTTGGAGTCACTTTATTGGTGTGCAGTGATAACTCTGAAGCTATCCATTTTTCCTCCAAAGTTTTTGCTGTGCTTTGCCTTTTTTTTTTTAGTCAAAATTAATGATTTGTAGGAGAACCTAATTTTTACACTTAAATATTTGATATTCCCAGGTAAGTTATTTGCCTGAGAGTGATAATCGCATAACAAAGTGTATCATGTGTTTATGTGTGTGCATATGTGCACATTTATGTATGTATATTATGACTAATGTTTATCAGTGTTCTCAATGTGCAACATTAGCTGGTCTGACTTGCTAATATTCAGTGTAGCCAAAATATCCAAATCCTTCTGAGCCTGTGAGGTGTGAGGATTTTAATTTAAAGGGTCAATCAGGAAAGATATCAGAAGTTAATGCTTTCTGGGACTTTAGTTTACATTGAACATTAGTCAGTCCCTCAGACTAATGTTGGACATTAGCTGTACTGAATAGAACATAGTCTGGTGCCTAAAAGTATGTGGAGATTGTGTTGAATATATGTGTTCATGAAGCATCTCTCTAATATAAAGACCTTGGGTTTGACAAGCACATTTATCATCTAATTCTGGAAAAAAATGTCCGTACTCTGTCAAACTTGAAACACACATTGTATTAAAAGTTTGCGATTGCTCGGTTTTTGTTTATTCTCTTCCTTCATAGTTAAACTTGTTGTTTATGACATAGCAGCCTTCTTAGGCTAGTAGTGAGAAGTCACACAACCACATTGGTCTGTGGCATGTACAAAAATATTAAGAGTAAGCTCTGAAGATGATCTCGATGTGCTTAGTCAATGTGGCTGTTTATCCTTGAATCTGTGTGTGTTGGGAAAGGATGCGCTGATGCTGGGTGAGTCCTCGTCTTCCTGTCTTTGTGGGTCGGCACGTTGAGGGTCAATAACCACACTTCACTCATGCTTTTGGGCTTCACTCAGCTCCCCCTGCTCCTTGCCATTCCTTGGGTGAGCAGCATTAGTATAACTGAGGAGGGAGAGGCGGGGATAGAGAGAAGCTGCTTTCTAGGATACTAATAACCAGGTACTAATGGGCACAGTGTCAATTTACAGTATTCTAAACCAGAGGGGAAACCAGCAGACCTAATCATGTAAAACCAGTGACTTGGGTGTTGACTTCCAAATGAAGCAACTCTTAGAGAAAGCATGTTATCCAGCTCAATTTTGAAATAACACAGAATCGTTTTAGGATCCTTACCCACTATGTTAGGCACTTAATGTATTTTCTTATCTCTTGACAGAATTCTCCAAGGCAATGTCAGGACCACATTTCAGAATTCACCCCTCTCGCCTCTCTACCAAGTCCAAGCTATCGAAGCAATGAGCTCACCAGTTCCCCCCTGGCCACCAGGTCTCATTCTCATTCTAAAAAAGTGATGCTGACATACTGGAACAGTCATGATTATTCAGTCCTCCCGCTTGGGTTTAATTTTTCCAATAATTATTGCAAGTCCAGTACAAGACATTGCTACCATGGGTCAGGTTTGGAAACGCCCGTATGACAGATCACCAATTCAAGCCTTTAAAGAACTGCATTTTTGAATGTGTGTGCATGTGTGTGAGTGTGTGCGTGTGCGTATGTGTATGTATGTGTGTATTCTGTTTCCAGAAAAGGGAACAAATACATAATAAAACTTAAACTAAGAAGTACTTGGCTCTGACTGTCTGGAGTAATGATTAGGCAGACAGAATTGAGAGCCTGAAGCCTATGTCCTTCCAGGCCTGATGAGGCCTCTTCAAAAAAAATTTTTTTGAACTGCTAAAGCAATGAACATCTTACACAGTCTGGTGTATGAGGCAGTCTATGAGGCTGGTAGCACTTAGAAGTCCCCTTGTTCTGTGTTAAAAAGTTTTGGGTTTTTCTTTTTTCTTTGTTTCTTCTCTTTTTTTTGCACATACGTTGCTTGCTTCTATTGTCTTCAGTTACTTCCTATTACTTGAAGTGGATAGTTTCAATGAAGGACCTACATTTTGATATCAACAGTTCAGTTTTGAGCCAGAAGCTATGACCTCAGATATCTCCAGTGACAGTCACTTCATGCATTTCCCAGCTGTTTCTGATACTTCTTTTTGTCATCCTTCCCTGGCTCTCCCAACCACTTTTCCTCCCATGCTTTGTCCATACAACAAACTGACATTGCCTCTGTAATCATATCTCTTGTCAGGAAACATTCTTCTAATGCTTGTATTTTCCTAAGTGGCCAAATTAAGCATCTGTGTAGTCGTGTATATCGGTTTTCCTAGTAGAAAAAAGAGACGCCATTTTTATGTTCAGCCCACCAAGGGGAAGCTGGTTGTTGTGTGTAGTAGTGGCATTTTGCATGTCAAACTCAAAATCACTTGTGCTGAATGTGTTAATTTATCACGATATGTCCTAGAAAATTTAGAGCAAATTCAGTTCATTTTTGTTCCCTCCCCATCACCTCGCTGCCTCCATGGATAGAAGTGTTTTATGTGTGTGACTGTGTGAGCGAATGTACTTGGTACCAATTAGGAAATGTGGATATCTTAGCTTTTCCTCTGAGAGCTCTGAGATAGTATTTTGTCAGACTTTAAAGGATAGAGCTTTTTGGTTCCCTGTTGATGGAAAATTTTATTCCAGGGCCTTTAAGAAAAGGGGAGCTGAGTTTAGGACAATTGCTAGGGGACTTTGGCACAAATGATTGACTATAAGGTCATTATATAGCACCCTATGTTGTAATGAAAAGGGAAGTCAGGAATCTAGTTTTCTGAGACATAACCACCAGGTGGCAATTGTCTTTCAAAATAGACTTAAAACTTATTTCAGATTGAAAGGATATAGTTACAAGATAGCCTTTCAATTTTTTAAAAGCAATACAGCCAGCTTGTACTTCTTCCAAGGCTCTCTAGTGTTTACCAAACTTTGCGCTAATTTTATAACTAGGTGTGTCCTTTGTCTTGGGATTCTGTCCAGTGTTCTGTTTGGGAAGGTATAAATGACTGAAGGATTGCTTTAAAAGTCCCCATTATTTTTAACGTACCCAGTGTTTGTTTATATGAACACTCTCCATGACATATTTGAATGACCATTTAATTAGCATATTTCAATTTGAGTGTCAAACTTAAACAGTGAATACTTAGTCCTTTTTAGAAAAGCCTCGTCCAAGGACCACATATAAATAACTTTGCCCGCTCCCAGAACGCCTAGTGTGATGATCAGAAAATGGCGTGTGTGGGAATCAATACTGAGAGCTTGTTCTTAGACGTTTGATGTTAGCCTTATGGGTGTTAAAGGTTAGTCATTTGAAAGTATAGAGTTTCACCTATAAAATATTTATTTGAATTATAGAGAATTTTTTTTTCCTAAACGGATCACTAATGACAAGAACCAGTGAATTATTTTAAAGTCGTTGGAATGTTTTAATGAATTATGAGCACTTATCATACCAAAGATTAGACTGAATAAAGTTTGGCTGTCAACACAAAGTCATTTTACTGCCCTAGAGACTAAAAAGCATAGCATTTTTAGCTTGAAGATTTAATGTTAGTATTTCAACAAGAACCCTTTCAGTTTCAAGATAAACCATTCTGTCATGGACTCTAACAGTATTATAAACTTAGTCATTGCCTCCTTGGATGTCACACTCAGAATCATACCATTCATAAACACTGGTGTATGTATTTTTTAAAGATTTTTTTAAAACCTAATATGGGTATAAATGTAATACCTGTAGTGGTAACAAATTTCCTGTGCATTTAGTTAACAAATTATTTGTAATGTATTTTTTTAGAAATCTTAAAATTGCCTTTGCACTGAAATATTTTTCATAGCTGTTTATATATCTCTTTTATGCATTCATTTGTTAACACACCATTTCTAATTTTTTGAGTATGTTTTGAAAAGTTTTTTAATTTTATGGGTTTTGGCCACTTTCCATTTAAATTTTGCTGATAGTTGTGACTGAATGTTTAAAAATCTGATGAATGTGAAAATTTCAGATTTGATTTCTTGCTTTCTCTTTCTCCTAAACTATTGCTGCTTCTGATGGTAGTAATTAATGTAAGGCACATCTCCAAATGGTAGTTTGCGAAGTTTTTTTCACCTTAATCCTATGTAACTTCATCCTACCTTGGTTTTTTTCTCCTCATTTCCATCCTTTAGCCTTAAATAAGAAAATTCTTGCTTGGTGACTGAATATGCTGGATTCCTGCTCTGCCTACTAACCAAAAGTTTACTACATCCCTTGGACAATTTAACTCTTTCATTGAAAATCACTAAGACTTTACAGAGTCTAAAATATGTTTTAGAAAATAACCTGAAGAATTATTAAATGGTCACATGCCTAGGTATTTTAAATAGATTATGGGGGTGGAAAGAGATGCAGATGTTTGGCCAGGGACAATGAAATGGAGAAAAGGAGGACCGCATTAAGTTGCATTTTTACATCTGATTCAATAGCAGATTCTTTACATTACTTAGTTCTTATCATATTTGCCTTATAATGTTGTAGATTATATGAGAACCTGCTTCAGGCCCTTGGATTTAAAAATCCTATTTACTGCATTAGATGTATACAATGCAGAGATAATGAGAAATCTATAGTTTCACCGATGTGTGGAACTCCTGGAGTGGTGGGGAGTCCAGACACCAAAGCAAATGACAACCAGTCTGTGACTCTGAAATTAAATCCTAAGGAGTTACTTGAGGCACGTAGCAGTTAAGTGATTTTTCCAGGGGTGCTGAGCAAGTTTCTCGTCAGAAGCAAGATTTGAACCCTGGTCTTTCTGGCCTAAAGCCCTGGATTCTATCCAATATGCCACAATACCTCTGTGTGTCAGATATTAATAAGTGATAAAGTTATGATTTACCATGTTTGAATGCAAACTTTACTGCTCCCACTCTTTCCTTAGAAGTTTTTCTTTTTAATATACCAATACATGAGTGATTTTGTCTATATTTTCATCCCTCTATTACTTCCAACTCTGTGGTAATTCATGATGTCGCACACATACATATACACACACATATACATAACCACACTCCTTTCTTGAGCCCTCATCATCCTTCCCTTTTTCCTAAGGTGGTTCCAGACTTCTTTCTACTCCCCCTGATAGAAGTCTTTGTCCACCTCTGGGAAGGTGGAATTCCCTGTGCATTCAGCTGATAGGCTCTCGGCATAGGCATACCTTTCTCCAGCAGGCAGACGGGTTAGGCACCACATCACCACAACAGAATTTCTTTACTCATAAGTGTAAAGGCTTCCCTGGACAGAGATCTTTCTCCCTCAGGGAAACTCCACATAAAATACCTGAATTTCTGCTTACTATCCTTCAGTTAAGTGAGCTCTCTGGGGGCCAAAAAGAGGGGATATGGCTTCCAAAGAAGGTACTCCCTGTTGTACTTAAGTGCCCTCTGGGGGAGGCTGGGCTGCCCGCTGTTTGGTAGGGGAATAACCCTATTCCAGAATTCATCTGGAATAAGCAAGTTCTCTCTGTGTCCATTCCAATTTCAAGAAATAACACAAAAATTCCCTATGTATTCAATTCAGTAGAGTGAACAAGGCAGACCAAATAAGAATGAAGTGTGAGAGTTATATCTCACATTGGACATTGACATTCATTACAGCTAATGTATACAAATGGTATGTACAATTTATCTGGGATAAATTTGGGGGGATGAAGCATGTTGGAGAGGGGAGGAGAATGACAGATTGTGTATCACTTCCTAGCTTGCCTTGATTAAATTGTTGCAGCTTTAACAAAAATGTTTCATACATGCTGTTAGAACCATTTTAAATAGACATCAACCAAATGTTCTGTGAAAGCTGGAGAAAGTATTTCAAGCTTTGTCTTTTCTTAACCACTGAATATTTATGTATTTCTGCACTGGTTAGTAAGAAATGATTACCATTCTTTTTATCTTATAATATCATTAAGATTATTTATTTGACACATAATATAAAGGTTTGGATCTTATTTTCTTGCATTACTCATTTTTCTGGTGTCACCCATTTGTCTGGATCCCATTGGTATGCAACTTTCAAACAGGGTGAAAAATGTCAGTGAGCCACTGCAATCCTTTTTTTTTTTTCTATTTTTTTTTTTTTGAAAGCCAGGGTTTAGGGGAATAGGGACAAGAATCATTCTGATAATGTATCTATAAACAAAGCTTTAATGGAAACTTGTTGGAAGTATTATAAAAGTGTGATTCTACTTTTGCAGAAAAAAAATCTAAAGATCAGTTTATATAGCTTTATTTTTTACTTTATCAAAATATACAGAATTTTAATATACTGTAATTGTCTCTGACTGAAATTATTATGTGTGTATATGCATTGCCATTGAAAATATCCATTCATTATGTAATATAAAGGCAAATCTTCCAAAAATGCCATTGGAGGAAAAAATAGTTACCACTGTATTTAACATAAATGGTATCTGTAGTTGTCATCATCATGAAATATTGGAATTTCTTTTTTAATTGTTAAATTCAATAGGTGCATTTAACAGACAATAAATCAGCCTTTAAACAGTAATGTTTAATTGATAACAATTCATTAACCTCTGAAAAGTCAAACTGTGGACTCAAGTAATTCCTACATTTCTGTAAAGTTTATTTTGTTTGCTGCTGTTTTTAACTTTCATTTTGGAAGGTATCAAAATATGACCTGTTAAAATTCAGTTTTGGACTTTTCTGTAGATTATATAAGCAGGAAATCAGATTCTGCTCGCAATAAAGAAAAAAATGGCTGGTTTAGTTTCTTCACAAACAAATAAAATCTCACAAGGGATGACTTTGCCAATTTCTGTTAAGTTATAACCAACAGTGAGTCTATAGAATTAAAATTTCCATTAATGGCTTTGTATTCCTAATTTGAAGAAGAGGGCTGCTTTACTTTGGTAAGTGTTTTTTTATTTGTAATTATTTCCATTGATTATTATAAAAGAGTTTTAGTGACAAAAAAAACAAACAAACAGAAAAATGATCCATTCCTTACCCTGTCAAGCTAAAGGAACCTTTCTGAGCTCTTTCTCTATTCACAAGCAAAAACTAGTTCAGAATTAGACTTGATAGACTATTAGTTGCATAGGAGTGCTACCCCTTTCCTAGCTTTAATATCAGCCTTATTAAAATGAAAGACCTTTGTTCTCTACTAAGGTATAAGACTAGACACCCAAAATCATATGCATAAACTATCAAGGTGGAATTTTCTGCCCTTCTTTCTTGATTGTTTGGAAACTCCATCTCTAGTTACTGTTTTCAGATTTCGAAATTTGGATTTGGAGTTAAAAGACCTGGATTCTGATCCCAGCTCTACTTCTTAGTTCTTCCATGACTGATCTGGGCAAGTCACTTCATAAAGTTGTTGGAATTGTCATCAACCCACAAAGAAGTGGGAGTGGCGGGGTTGGGGGGAATCTCCTCTCCATACTTGCAATTAGTATTGCCATTAGTACTTGCAATTGCAAGTAATTGCAAAACCTACCAGGTGATGAGATCCACAAAAGTAGAGACCTGACTTGTTCATCTTTGTACTTACTAGCTTCTAAAGTGCTCTAAACATAGTAGATATTTAATAATTATTTGTTGAACATAATCCTTCCCCTTATCACTATACTGAGATAACACATACATTCACCAGAAATGCACTGATGTACCTCATGAGTACAAATACCCGTGCAGCCTAAAAAAAAGTAAAAAGCAGAAGCAGTTTGAATCCATTACCTTAATGTTCCTTGATGCTGATGCAAAAATCTGAATTAGATAGCCATGGTTCCTACCCTATGGCCAAACAATAAAAGCAAATAGACAAATTAGGAGGGAGGCACGGGATGCAAAGAATATGCAAGAAGGTGGAATATAGGTGTATATGTGCTGCTTACACCCATCATTTTTTTACTTTGAATTATTTTGTGTACTCCCAGTAATCCATATGGGGTGAAGGGCAGAGTAAGAAAAACAAAAGAATTAGAAACACGGTCATTTTGGAAGGAAGGTCTAGAAGGGAAACATCAAAGATACCTTTGGCCCCCCTCTAGTTATTGTTTCACAAGACTGGACAGTTGATCCCACACATTTAAGTCTTTTAAAGGATAAGAAAGGCGAACGCATTTTCCACAAACTGCTTCTGCTGCCTTTGCTTTTGCCCCTCTGTGCCTTCTTATCCTGAGAGATTCTTTACCATTTTTGCCCGTAAATTCTCCACAAAGGCTGTATCTCATTTGGCTGGATGTTTCTCTCTACCATTCTTTTTTGTATTTTAGGGCTATCGAGGTACTCCTTGGGCTGACCATCAGAACTTTCCTGTTTTCTCTATATGAGACAATACCTCCTTTCTAATCGTATATTTTCTTCAGTATAGTATCTCTTTTGCCACTTTGCCTGTAGAATTCATTAATCACATGCTGCAGCCTCTGATGCCCAGTGGGTATGAGCACAGCATGATTTTTTTTAAATTAATTCTAAATCAAGAACAGAATTTAATAAGCATTTATTGAAGCACTGTATTACGTGCTAGTGTTTTTCCCAGTAGTATAAGCAGGTAGAGGGGAAAGGACCAGATTTAAAGTTAAAAAACCTCAATTTTAATCCTGGCTCTGGCCCTTTACTATTTCTATGAATGACCTTGGACAAGTCACTTGGCCTCTAATCTTCTCCTTCCTTATCTCTAAAATCAAAGGTATTGGACTCGTCAAGGGAAACTAGGTCTTGCTATCTCACTGTTATCTCATGATTTCAGTTTCCTATTAACCCTTTTTATATCATTATCCTTACCAATCCAAAGATTGTCCTTGGCAAAGAAAACAATCAAAATAAGGTTGAGCAGTTCTGCCTTTTCTCCCTCATGTGTTATCTTCCCAGCTACTCAGACCAGCCTTCCTATCCCTATTTTAATCCTCTTCTTTTGCCCAATATAGTTATTTTTGAAGGTGGAGAGGAACACATTTTTTTTCTCCCTGTGGCTATTGCCTTACCTCTGGTATTGGTGATAACTTGTCCAAATGCGTGCGTCCTACCCCCATAGAACAATGCCTACAATTTCATCCCTTTTCTGTACTTGGAATTAGGAGACCTGGTGCAGTGACAGGAATGCCGGATTTGGAATTAGGGGACCTAGCTCCACTTAGCAAATCACTTGTTCTTTTGGAGCCTATAACTAACCAATCTGAAAGCTGCCTTCCGGTTCTTAATCCATGGTCCTATGATCCCAGCTCTAAAATTCTGGATAAAATTGCTAGAGTAGATGGGGAAAGTGATGTGGAGACAGGAGGATTCAAGCATAACCATTAAGAACACATGGGGGCGGCTAGGTGGTGCAGCGGATAAAGCACTGGACTTTGAGTCAGACACTTGACACTAGCTGTGTGACCTTGGGCAAGTCACTCAACGCCAATTGCCTCACTCCCCCCCCCAAAAAAACACATAGAATTGGGACTGATAAATGAGGAGGAAGTTGGTCCAGGAATGGGGGGTAGGGGAGAAGTATCCTAAATTAAGGTAAAGAAGAGGGAATGAGAGAACTTTGAAGAGACTCATTTGAGTTAAAGAGAAAATGTTTGGATAGGAAGATTAGGAAAGCATTTAACATTTCTGAAACAACTCTACTATGTCAACTCATAATTAACAGGCACATTTTATGAGGCTTTGTAGACAAAGGATGTTAATTGCCCCGGAAAAATCCTCTGTCCCCAGCATGGCATCAGACAAGCTTCTAGTTCACTTTCTCACAAAGTAAATGCAGAGGGTGGGCCTGAAAGTACAAGGGATGGGCTTTTGGTTTTGTTTTGTTTTTTATTATGGGACACCTTCCAAATCTGTATACCTACTGTAGGTGAAAAGAATGTGTGGTCTTACAAATGAAGGCAGCTGTGGCTGTGGATGATTGCATATTCAGCTAGGGACACAGGTTTATTTAAACCAAATGATGGCACATTGGATTTGTAGTGCTGTAGGTACAAAAAAAAATGGTGCTTTGCACATGTATTTAGGTGCATAAACAATAATCTGATTCATTTGGGAAATCTCCCACCATCTGAAATTTATAAATTTTGAGGTAAGTTTCACTTTTTGGGGGGAAAAATGAGAACTTTACAAATAGTTTCTTAATAAAATGAGTGCAGAAAAGGAACTTGGAGGAGCCTTCTTCCTGAGATCAGGAAAAACAAGACACTAGGGCATGATGAGTTTCCCCGTTTTTTTTTTTTTTAAGATTCGCATTAGGGGCAGCTAGGTGGCACAGTGAATAGAGCTCTGGCCTTGGAATCAGGAGGACCTAAGTTCAAATCCAGCCTCAGACACTTAATACTTACTAACTGTATGACCCTGGTCAAGTCACTTAACCCCAATTACCTCATCAAAAAGTAAAAAAAAAGAAGACATTCGTATTCATGCATTTTCATGAAATATTCTGTGACATTATAATAGGTGGGTAAAGTCTTCATAAACAGAACTATGGCCTGGATAGGAACAAGAGGGAAGATTGTGCTGGACTAGGAGGCAGGAGGGACTAAATTCCTGCTTTGACACATATTTTGCTAGCCTTATGACTGGGGGCAAATCACTTAATTTTTCTGCTTATCAGTTTCCTCATCTTTAAAATGAAGGTAGTACCAGGTATTGGGCCTGTTTCATGCATCGATTGTAAAAATGAGATACAAGATGGAGAATGAGATGTTTTGGACATAGACAATGCGGGGATTTGTTTTACTTGACTGTGTATTTGATATGAGGGTTTTTTTTTAATTGGGGAGAAAGAACTAGAGTTCCCCTTGCCCCCTCCCAATGAGATTAGACCAGAAAGATGATCAGAATAAAAATTCTTTAAATGGGAAAAAGATAAACTTCTTTCAAAAGGATCAAATCAGATGCACTACCTTTAGATGCGTTGTGATTACATAATTAGTAGTTAAAGCCCTATGCAAATGTCAGCTCTATTATACAAACAATCAAAAAAACATCCAGGGGTTTCAGTTGTTTGCTTAGCATCTTAGGAATGAGACTAGGCAAAATCAAGGAATACATTTATCAGAACCAAAGCATACATCAGGAATAGACAGTAAATGTCATAATTTTATGTCTAATGCTTTATTGTAAATAACATTTTTTAAAAACTCCATTCTTGTAGCTTTGATTAGTTGAATAATTAGCAGGTGCTTTGAGAAGCCATTCCTAATTATGTAGCGTAAACATTGATAGTTTCTTACATTACTAGCCAATTTGCAGTTGATTCCATTCAAGAAATAGACAGTGTTACAAACATTTACCAGGAAATATCATGCTTACAAAATCAGAATTTGTACAATACAATTATCTAAAGATCCTACTCTACCCATTCTGCACTAAATTCAGATTGTAGTAGGAATAGGATGATAGTCCTGGAAATACATATATAAATTCACAGTCCACAGGTTTAGAAGGAAAGGACCTTAGAGGCCATCTAATCCAATCATTTTATTGATGAGGAAACTGAGGCACAGGTTATGACTTACCAAAGGTCACACAGATAGTAAATGGTATCTGTCCCCCTTTTCTAATGTATCTCAGATCATTTTGGAAAATGATTTAATGGAATTTTGAAAGGTCTCTTACACTGGCCAATGTCTCAAATGTCACAGATGGGAAAGATTTGGATAATCTAGATGTCTATTGTCTAAGATTTAGTTCCAAATTATAAAGATTTATACCATTATTTGATTTGGTCTGACATTTAAAAAAAAAAGTAATGCAGTTAATTATTAAAACAACTGCAACAGGTTATAATAAGAGCTTAAATGTAATCCTTAAATGTAA